TACATAATGTGACAGAGACCGAACTCGGGTGCACGAGCCATAGATAAATCCGATTTGTTTATGATATAGCCTGATAGGCGTTAAGTTCAAATTCCGTGTGGTCAGTGATCGAAGTTGCATATTGTCATTAGCAGACAGGCAGGCACACGTAGGTGTCAATAAAACAGACATTGACTTTTGTCTGTGACAACGACATATCTATATCACAGTTAGAAATTCTGTCAATGCTAAATAATGACAGTGCTCTTAAGTATCGAACTGAGAAAGTGACACGGTAAGAAGAACGTGTGGTTTTCCGTCTTGAAATGTCGAACGCCTCACTGGTTGACACATAGCTGAGTAGATCTGGAGGGCAGACTGGGATAAAAAGCCCTCGGACAAAAAAACACTAGGCTAAATGCCTCCAAGACAAAAAGCCCTTGCAAATTTCCACCCATAGGATAAAACACCCTCTGTGTTTGTTTTGAAATGGCAGGTGGCATGATGTTTTCTGAGCAATTCCTCCCACTGCTGCCAGTTGTTACAGGCTCCTCGGTGACGATGTTGTTATTTTAACAATGGAATTAAATCAGCTAAATGTTGTTTCAGAGAACTGGCTTAAATTGGTCACTTCTTCTTATGTTTGATTTTGTTGGGCAGGTACTCATTCTGGCATGTCATGGTGTTTATTAAGATGGTCAGCGCTATTGTTATTTAATTAAATTCCTGATTTCCTGCTTCCTTCTTTAAAGTTTGGAGTAGCTTATCAATTAATGATGTATTAGCAAATCATCCTTCCCCACCTGTATATAAGAGGTTTAGATGGTCAAGTCTAGTATATCACACTGCATCGTGGAGGTTATTAGGAACAATAAAGGTGGTGTCATGCTAGATGGGCATATGTTTACCAAGAAAAGTTCAAACAAAAGTCGTACTAGGTGGCAGTGTTAAAAAAACTAGTTGGTCACGACCATCCATCAGTGTGGGCAGCAATCGAAGGATTTCAGCAAGACTACGCCATGTGCCTGACTGTTCTTCTGCAGGACGCCAGGGGGGTTCGACCAGCGCCCAAGCGTGTGAGAAGAAAGAGGGATATGCACAAAGGCAGATTGCGAAATCTGTGCTCAGACTTCAACAGTGGTGACAAGTCATTGCCAGAGTTTCTGACTGGTATTGGACACAATATTAGACTATTTTCATGTGAGAATAAATCCATGTGCTGCAAAAAGATTTGCTGGTATTCTATTACATCTCTTCATTGAGGACCTTTTGTCCTACCCAATGAGGGCTTTTTGTCCTGGGGGCATTTAGCCTAGGGGTGTTTTGTCTGAGGGTGTTATGTCCTTGTGGGCCTATTGTCCTACCATCGTAGATCTAGATCCTAACAAGGTTCTTTTATGAAACGAGTAGATTATTTACTATTTGTTTTGATTAGACTACTCCTGCTCACGACCTTATAATCCGGACATCCCGCTTCCAAGCTGCGCGAACGTATTCACTGCGCATGCGCTATGAGCGCAGCACAGCTGTTGAAACCACTTTTCCACATTTAGTGAATCGTTTGAACTCCGATTTCGCGGGGTTTTTTTCATCGCGTTATTTTTCAACTTTATTAGTTGAATTTGCATTTTTGATGATTTGTATCTGTAAGTCCATACCGAAAGGTATCAGAATCTGCAAAGTTGTATTTCACGTTGCATGTGACCTTTTTAAAGAACGCCTTGTCATTAACGCTCTAACATTGAAAGTTAGTATTCATTTAGTTCATAATTGATGGCGCTGTGTGTGTGTGTGTGTTTTATGATTGTTTAAATTAAATTTTTTGGGGGTGGGTGGGGTTGTCGCCTATTTTGTTCTGGGGAGGGGGTCATCAATTTGTACACACACGTATTAGGGGGTCAGCTATTTTGTACATGGAAATATTTAAAAATTATGCTTAAAAATTATGGGAAGGGGTAACTGATTTTGTACATGACATGCAGGGTGGGGTAGGGTTGGGGGGTCGCCTACTTTGAACATAAGTTTTAGGGGGGCCATTCATATTGTACATGCTTCTCCATAAAAATCATCATCATCATCCCTAGCCATAAATTATGAACGGTCCCTAATAAGCGCCTGAATTCCAGACCCGGCGCTTATTAGAGGCCCGGCTCTTCTGCGCTTACTGGGTGTCATTAACGTAATTGAGCTGCACCCTGCACTTATTAGAGGAAAGACCGTAGCCTTAATTGTATGGCGTTAGGGACCGTTCGTGATTCATGGCTACTGAGGATGATAATGATTTTTATGGAGATGCATGTAAAATGTGAATGACCCCCTACAATTTATGTGCAAAGTAAGCGACCCCCTGCATATCTTGTTTAAAATTGCTGACCCCCCATAATACGTGTGTACAAAATTGATGACCCCCTACCTCCCCAGAACAAAATGGAGACCACCACCCCTAAAATTATCATCAAAACCACCCCCACCAAAAATGCTTTTTAAATAAATTGGCATTGAATCTGTTTTCAAACGTGAGGATTGCGTTGAAACACTCCCAGATTTAATATTTGAATACCTACTGTCTATATATATGCTGTACTTGCGAATTACTGCCTGTGAAGGAAACGGTAGATACTCCCTGCAGTCACGCCTATAATAGATTTCTGAAACTAAATGCAAATACGTTGTCATTACCCCTCACGAAGATTTTCAACCAATTCCTTCAGACCTCTGCCTTCACTGAAATATAGAAAAAAGCATCAGTAGTTCTCTCTTTTTATCAACTTCATCTTTTAACCTTTTATATGTTCATCATTATTCACTTAATAAATATGTTTTTAAAGAATAACAATAACCATTTATTATACTACATCAATATTAAATTCCAAATCTCAATTACTCTTCACGTATTTCATATTTTTTTCCAATACTAATTCGACCTCTCATTTAAAAGTTTTGTTGTTTTTTTGTTTTGTTGTTGTTGTTGTTTTTTGTTTTGGGTTTTGGGTTTTGGTTTTGGTTTTTTTGGGGTGTGTTTGTTTGGGGGGTGTAGTAGTAACACCACTCATTTAAAAGTTTTTGTTTTTGTGTTTTGTTGTTGTTGTTTTGTTTTTGTTTTGGGTTTGGGTTGTTTTGTTTTTTTGTTATTGTTTTTGTTTTTGGGTTGTTTTTGTGGTGTGTGTGTGTATAGTAGTAGTAACACCACTCTTTCAAAATTTCTATTTTGTTGCCCCTCATTTCTTAATAAGTGTACTACCACGTCGCCGAAATACTTTAGTTGTGCGTGCGACGGTTAATAAAGCTAATACTAGTAACTAACTAACTAGTAATTCCCATCCACAAGAAAGGTAATATTGATGACTGTAGCAACTATAGACCTGCAGCACTGACGAGTTGTGTTTCAAAAGTATTTGAACAATGTGTACACAAATATGTTTCTAATTTCTTCAAAGATAACGATGTCATAAGTGATATGCAATCTGTTTTCACTCATGGAAATTCGACTAGTTATCAATTTAATAGATTTATATAATTTTATTTCGAGTTCACTTGATAAGGGTAAGGAGGTAAGGACAGTATTCTGCGATATTAGCAAAGCCTTTGATAAGGTATGGCATGAGGGACTTCTGAAACAATTGCGTTCTGATTTGTTTGAGTGGCATTTTAGAAGTTGCTGGTATAGAGATGACACAACTTTATGGATGATCAACTGTTAAAATACAGAAGTTGATCATCCTTAAAGTTGTGTCATCTCAATTACGTTCTGTTGGAATAGGTGGTAGTCGACTAACATGGTTCGATAGTTATCTTCATGATAGAGTACAGAAAGTCAATATAAATGGATTTAATTCAGAATATAAGCATGTACTAGCAGGTGTCCTTCAGGGATCTGTGTAAGGGCCGCTTTTTCCGATATACATACCGCAGTTAACTTTAGTGTCCTTACATTTTATACATCACTATTGCTAGATGGGACACTTAGGTTATTGTGTGGTACTGTGACTTGCTATGGTGATGTATAAAATGTAAGGACATTATTACGAGATTTAAAAGTCGTTATCGCGAGATTTAGACTCGTTATTACGAGATTATTATTAATTTCGAGGTGGGGGGTGATACGAAAATATCCCTTCAGGAACTTCGTAAATGAGTGATGGTTAATTTGGCATTGTAATATTCAACAATGGTGTCGGTTTTTTTTTACCTTTTTCAATTCCATAGAAGAGAAATTAATTTTTTATCCTTTCAGTTTATAAGTGTCAATTTCAGTTATTTCGTTTATTTCAGTTTATGTCGCCAATATGCAAGAACGGGATGGCTGCACTAAAACTAACTGACAGGCTAGAAAGATTAGGAAATGCCAACTTGTTCAAAGCAAGCATCATAGAAGTCATGTCTATAATTGCGGTTGAGACTCTTGTACAATGTATGTGTTTTACACCATTTCTTGGGATATATTACATCAGATCTCGATTGGTATTACAGAACTTTTCCTTTAATTTTTATTTTAGCATATTTAGAGTTGGTGATCTAACATCAGATGACAGTGTCAACAAATTAGTGTTTTTTAAAGGCTGTACTTAATTATACTCTGCCAAATTAAATTAATAGACGTCATGTCATATAGTGTCCAGTTATACTTGTTGTGAATACTAATGTTGGTCAGCCTACATTTATCAGTATATAACACCTTCAGTGATTTTGAAAAGGAAATAAAAGAGTAAACGTCTGGATTCTTTTCCAATCCTGTTGATTTTAGATAAAAAAAATATGGCTGCATCAAAACATGAAATTTGACTAAATTGATCCGTATCTGGGCAGTGATTTTGGGTATGGTCTCTGGGCCATAAACGACTCGCATATAACCCGTGATCAAGGATGATTTTCAAATTGTATTTTTAGCTGTGACTAATAAAATGACCATGTGAGTTCGAAGGGAGTGAACGGCAATTTGCTCTGTGAATGAAGCGCTGTTTGGCATGCCTCTAAATATACCGGAGAAATCTCACATGATAATGACAGAAAGACCCGGATGATGACATCAGACTTCATTTGGCCGCCATCTTTGTGCTGCAGTCATCTGTGAAGCAGGTTCCCGTTACTCCTTTAGATCTTCAAATCGACGATTGAAATTAGAATTATAAACCACTATGTAAGTGCATTTGAAGTATTATTTTCCTTCAGTCGTGCAGTGAGTTGATATGGCTACCGTAAACCCGAGAAAGGGATATTATTAGCCGAGGCACCTTGCTACAGATTGCAGAACATCGCTTCCGCTTTGACAGACCATGTTGTCATCATTTATGACGCTATCAAATAACTCCGTCAGTCTTTATCATTTAGATCAGTATTGCTTCGACATTTATATTTGAAGTGAAAATTAAATATGATGATAATGTTATGAAATGTATGTTCATTGTGGTAAACACGTAGAATACAAATGGACGTTTTTGATTGCCTGCGTCAAGTTCCAGTTGTCAAGTAAACCGCTTGACGTCGAGAGATCTAGTAAAAATATTTAGATCTGCTTCGTAATAATCACGAATGTCATAACGTAAAGACAGTATAGCTCATACCGTCACCGCTTTGTGGAAATAGAGCTTATGTAGTATCCATAAGCAAAATACGTCCTGTGCAATTTCGTCATAGCATTCTTTCTTGGTTCCGGATAATTGTCATTTCCACGTCGGAAGACCTTATCATAAGTAGCATATGAAATATATTAGTCTGTTTTTCTGGCCATAATAAGCATAAAAATCTACATCATCACGATTTATCAGATTATCTGTGTCATTCTACCACTATTCTTGAAGGAAATGTATGTGTGAGAAATAACGACATGTTAAACAGTGTTTCCAGTGCTTCAGCTATGGGCCCAGGTGTACCAGACTCTAAATCCAAGCAAGTTCCCCCAACATCATTACAAAACAATATTTTATGTAATCGCATGACCATATGTTTGATTGCTTCTGATTAGTTTCATAAGCAATGAGTCACTTGTACCTTAGTTCATATAGATCTCAATAAACTCGTCTAGTTATATGCTTGACTGCTAGTACCTCAGTTACATCAATTTTTAGACCTGTTATTTCGAGGAATTTATTATTTGTCTAATATGATGTAAAACAGAGGGTTAATGTGGATGTTACTGACTGAAAAGCAAGCATTAGTTCTTATGTGAAAGGCTATTTGATGTTACAATTTGCAGAGCAAGCTGTTGCCTTAGCCAGTGTGTGCATATCCACAAACATGGCAGCCTGTACATATTAGGACTGTTATGATTCATCCATTAATAACCAGGAATTTTATGAAAATGATTTTTTTCCCTTGAATTTAGATGTTATTTATAAAAATCAGAAATACAATATGGAATATATCCATCCCAGACGGAATAATAGCAAGCACCCTTCATATATGTTTACTGGTAGTTTGACAGTAATGTGGTTACTGGTCATTGTTGGCATTAATTATCCCTATCAAAAAGGGGCAAAACAGGTCACAAATAATTATTTTGTTATATATAAATATATTGAATAATATATCAACTACTCACTTGTATTCATTACCCAATATTTGTGATATGTATCATATATGCCTCATAGTGGATTTATTGCTGCCCAAGCATGTATCACTTAATATGTTGAACAACATGAGACTGAGGTATGTGAAACTCCATTGGGACCAGTTGTTTTCTAAAACGCCAGACAGCATTTTACATAAATCACAAGTCCCACATGAGCTGAGGACCAAATTAGATGCAATGCATTTCTTCATTATTTTAAGAGAACTATTCCACTTTACAAAACATTCCTAAGGCAGAATGCATATGGCATTAGAGATAACTATGATAGGGCTAACTGGGATGTTAGGACTGCTGAATATATATAACTTGATTCAGTCACAAAATAAATTGAATTGTAAGTACCTGAAAAGTGTAAGTTATTACCCTTGACTTGCCTCAACATAGCTGCCTTTCTCTCTGATGTAGTAGTCTAATTTGGTGTAAAACCTCTCACATGTTTACCTTTAGCACCTCCATGACACAAGTTCAGAATATGTCCAATACATCTCAGGCTTTCCTTCAGTGCTTACTAAATGACAATGTGGTCACGATGTGCGATTATGTATCATTTTACCCCAACAACGTAGACCTTTGCTCATGTTGCAAAACATACAGAAGTCTTGTGCATGCCAAGATGGTTATCCTGGCCAAAATCTAGGACGGTTGGGTAGCCTAGTGGTTACAGCGTTCCCTTGTCATGCCAAAGACCTGGGTTTGATTCCCCACATGGGTACAGTGTGTGAAGCCCATTTTTGGTGTTCCCTGCTGTGATATAGCTAAAGTAAAAGAGGCATAAAACATAACTCACTCACTCACTGTCCTAAATAGGGGCATAAAATGCTGAATTCTCTCAGGGGTGAATGGGACTTATGCTTGCTGATATGAATCCTGGTTCACCCAGTTTATGTTTCTGGGTATATCAGCAATATATCTGTGCTTGTGGGTTTCACCAAGGTACTAAATAATCCTGCGTCCAGTGTTCACGAATGGCGTTGGACCCTCAGACACATCCAGCAGATTCGCAGATGGTCTGATGGAAGTCTACAACCCGCCGGCCCCAGTGTCCAACTGTATATGTCACAGTGACTTTGACTGAAGTTATTATATGTGACATGTGACACTTGTTTGCTGTTTATGAATATTACGTTTGTTAATAATTTCAATGCCAAATATAAATAAGAAAAGTTAAATCTGAAATCTGTGTTTAATAGTTTATTTTATGGGTCCTGTGAATTTTCAGTGGGTCAGACAGACATCTGAAACTTACAGAACCCAATGTCCTGTTACTTTGAAACACCATTTGTGAACACTGTGCATCACTTCTGACTCTCCTCCCTGAGTAGAAGTGTTGGCTGATATACTGTTCAAAGTGGCATGAACAGTGGCATGGATCCGTGAAGATCAAGGGTAGAATTGATCTTCAGTAACCCATGTTTGTCGTAAGAGGCAACTAACAGGATTGGGTGGTCAGACTTGTTGACTTGGATGACACATGTCATCGTATCCCAATTGTGTAGATCGATGCTCATGCAGTTGATCAGTGGATTGTCTGGTCCAGACTCAATTTATAGACTGGTGCCATGTAGCTGGAATATTGCTGAGTGTGACATTATGTAGCAAGCAAGCTTTCAATATGTTCATACATTGCCCAACCTGATATGCTACTAAAACAATACAGAATACAGTCTGTAGCAACAGTTGCTGTTGTTGAAAATAGATGAGTGTGTAATTAAGCACAGTAGAAATACATCTGTGGTACACCTTTTCACATGTTTCCATGGCATTTATATGGTATTTCTATTCAGAAACATTGCCATGATTACCAGTATGGAACAGGCCACTCAAACTGAAGTCAAATTATATTTAATCTGTAACTGTATGAGTTCTTTGAATTCTCGAGAGAGTGAAGCATGATTCATAAACTGTACTGTGGGCCGTTCTTATTGATTGATCCCTTCCAAAGGTCTTTGTGTCAGGGTACGTTATCAGCCTTTTTGGCAGTGATTAATATAAATAATAATACATAGTTTATGATATAACCTAGTGTTTAGACAGTAAGTATACCGTATGTGCCATGAATGGAATACATTTCCATGTGTACACATCTTGTGATTTGTCAAAGCTGTGAAATAATGATATGTACTGCATGAGGGGCTTTTAGTTTGCATTTAAAATCCATTTTTTGAAATTTCATTTGTGAGTTGATTTGATATGTCTTTAGACATATATGTATTATTAGGCACAATGATGGACTTTGGATGAAACGGTCTAAACATATTGTACCACTCAGTTTGATACAACTCGTTTCAGCTTTGTGATTTCTGTGACTATCGTGAAATTTTTTGTGAGATTATGTTTTTATATTTTACTACAGACAGATAACTTTATTTTACATAGCATGTTGGCAATTAGTCCTTGTTATGTTTTCATAACAAGAAAAACTGCCAACCCTGTATGCTTTAATATGTGTTATAAATTTGTATTGCATTGCACATCTGAGTAACTTCAGGAATGATATCATTATTACTTAACTACAGCACCATAGTGACCCTGTCTTTTTTCAACTTGTTTAGGTCAGAAGACAATCCCTATGTAATAGTAAGGTATAATTTCAAGAAATAGTCAGGGGACTTTCAACTGACAATTCTTTGTATTTCTATTAATATTAAATGAAGGCACTGAACATGTGGAACAAAGTGATCAAAGGGAGATAACTCTGATTACTACCTCCTGCAGCTTTGATGTACTTGGTATTTGGTGTAATTGGATCAAGTGTCGGAACAAATTATCAAAACATTGTGTTCAAATGTATAAATGTAGAGAATCAATATTTGCACTCAATGAATGCTGTCATAATTTTATTCAATGAATAACATTTTTCAAATGCAATATTTATTTGTTTTGATAAGAAAGATTAATTTGTTATTGCACCTATCAAGGTACTGTTCCGAAACCAATGGTCATCTAAACAAAGTTGCACAGAGCATTTGGCAAGCTTTGGCTTTTTAACATATTAACTGAGGAAAACCATTTGGATTTGTCAGTTGGAACCCCCCTGATACTTTTATCCAGTTGCCAGGACTCTGAGCATTGCATGAGCAGAGCCTATTTTCTTGGAGGATATGGGTTTTGATCTTCCTTCTTTTTGAAGATGTTCATGCATTAGGCATATATCATTCTCTTTGTTACTTCAACAGGTTAAGGAGATACTTTTGAATTTCTCTCCATAAATTTATGATATTTCTATTTACGATATGCATAATATTGGGGTTAAGGTCGTTTATCAGCTTTTCCTGAGTACCTTATGTCAGCAATGTTGGATCATTTGCACTGATTTACGTTTTATTTCTGAATTTCAGTTTCTTTGTTATTTTTATGCCATTTACCTATTTACCATTTACTCTTTCATTGTTTTATTTTAGCATATTGTTGATTTCTTTTGTTAAGTTTTTGCAGAGAGCAGGGTCTTTAGGAATTGTAAGTTAATTTGATGGACAAGAAGGCATGAGAGGTATTATGTGAAATTGCCCAAATTTGTCCCATTTTCAGTGGTTTTTCAGTTTGATATTTCCTTTCCCTTGATACAGACAATACCCCTGTGGGGATTCAAGGTTAGAAGGTGTTCTCAGCAACTTATGCTGCTCAACCTATGACAAGAAGTGTCTAATTGGGTCGGCTGGTCAATACTGTCTATTTCATGTATTCATTCCCCAATTATCTGGATTGTTGATCTCAATATTGATGACTGAATTGTCTGGCCCAAACTTGATTATTTAAGGGCCACCATCATATGTTGAAATATTGCTGAGTGTGGCGTTAAGACTAGGCACAAACACACAAAACGCACATTCCACATTTCTGTGTCAAACATCAGGCAGAACATTCTGAACATCTCAGGTAATCTTGAGTGAAAATACTGTTTATTCAGCATGCACATAAATCATGACTTTGATGTACCTCCTGATTTGATAAATAATGACTCGTTATACAAAATGTTCATGTTCATATAAATCAAATCAAAGGGAAGAAAAATGTCAAAACAGTGCTAACATCAGGGCATTTAATTGATGTTGACAAAAGTAATAACTTGTGATATTTTTTGAACATTGTCAAAGGAGTCTCTACTTCCTTGTTAGTTTTTAGTGTTAGCAGTATGCATGAAGACAAATTTCATATAATGTTTTGTTTTGATTTTGAGTTTTTGTGCACTTTATGATCTGATTTTATAAGTTGGGAGCCATATCTTCATGGTACTTGGTGTCTAGAATTATGAGCCCGAGCAAGTGTTTAACTTTTGGTAAGAATTCCAATATTCTTTATCAGCAAACATTTTAATATTAAATTTTTTATTAATAAGATGAATAGATGGTTTTCTTCGAATAATCAGCCCATTTCAGAACATCTTTATTTTGCATTTTGTTTACTTCTTTTCAACCCATTTTTATGCTCATGAAATGGCATGCCCTGATGAGATTTGCTATGTGCTTAGTGACAGGAACAAACATTAAGGAAAACATTCAAGCATGTTGTTTTACATGTTTATGTCAGGGTAGAGACTGCGATCTGGTAGAATCTCCGATTCTACCAGTAGAGATTGCGCTCGGAGTCTCTACTAGTAGAAATTACGCTCGGAGTCTCTACTGGTAGAATCTCCAATCCTACTAGTAGAGATTGCAATCAGAGTGTCTACTGGTACAATCGGAGATTCTACCAGTACATTTCCAATTCAAATGGTAGAAACTCTGATTGATCTGTGGGCAAACAACAAAGATGACAACAATTGTACAAATTTATGGAGAGATGGAGAAGTGTAATAATACTTTGGGGGCAGGGCCTGACGAAGATTATTATAAAAATTACATTCTAAGCAGAAGTGATATTCAGACTCAATAATGGGTACAACACAAAAAGGGCATAATCTTTCACTCTGTGCTAGGCCAATCTTTGGTCTTTCCTCGATTAGCAGTTGATGATTAGAGCATCGGAGCTTATAGAGTGCATATTGTTTTATGTTTATATTCGATATCTTCCATTGAAAAGTGCACACATCAGTGATTATTGATAACAAATAATGTCACATTTCTGATGGACCTAAATGTTGCTAATGTCATTTATTGATGGACATAGCTGACATTAGCACTCACAATGAAGTACATTGAATTTTTTATTATTTTTTTATTTTAGCATTACATTTATTAACAATAACAATCATAAATGAAAAGAAAGTAACAATGTTTTATTTTCATTTTGTTTGTAAACATCAAGTTAGACAAACCGTGTGCACTTTTCAATGGAAGATGTCATTCTACAATATACAAAAATAAATTTTGTTTTTCTAAATATTCACTTAGATTGCAATCTCTACTAGTAGGATCAGATTTGAGCTTCTACTGGTAGAGATTGCGATTGTATAGGTTATTCTATATAATGAGACTCCGATTGCAATCTCTACTAGTAGGATCGGAGATTCTACCAGTAGAAACTCCGATCGCAATCTCTTCTGGAAGAGACTCCGATCGCAATCCCTACTGGTAGAATCTCCGATCCTACCAGATCGCAATCTCTACCCTGACATTTAAATTATTTACATTCTAAACATCAAGAAGTCAAATCTGAAAGTATAATGTTTAGTTAGTTAAGTTTTTGTTGTATATACATGATGTTCTTTGGTTGTTTTCTTTCTATTATTTATTTAGTTTTAGGATATGGTGTTATTTTCTCCTTTGCTAGTCTGCAGGACACCTTGCGCGTTGATCAGTAGGGGTTAGTGGGCTGTTGGAGTTTTGACATCAAGAAATGTGATGTCTTTCTTTCATTATTTTCACTGACTACAAATAGTTGATTTTTAAGTGATGATCAAAGATTGTTCAAAACGACCAGTGTCTGTGTTCAAAATTGTGCTGGGGGTCCTTCAGGTTTATTGTTGTAGTATTTGAACCTGGGGACTCTTTAAATGTTCGGTCAGTTATGACAAGAACCCCATGACTTTCATGACCAAATTTGAACACTGTGAACTTGCATTACCTTAAATCAGGTATAAAACAAGCATGATGTGGTTCTGATCACTCTGTAACTTACTAAGTGTAATAGAAACTGGACAGAAAGCATGTTAAGTCTTGTGACAAAATGGCCCACTAAGCAAGTTTGAGTTGTATGATAAGCCAAACAAAACAGCAAATATTTGACTCAAATCCCATGCATAATTTTGTTTAACTAACCCAGCCAATGTATTTACCATGTTGGTGCCAAGCCACTTCCCAGAGCAAAGCAGTTTTTGACTGTGTAAAGTGGGAAAGTTGTTCCTTCAAGTTTTAACAAGAACTTCTAAAGCCCTAGGAATAAGTACCCATTTATCATTCTTATAGTATTCTGATTTGACCAAATTTAAGAAACAAACAAACCCTAAAACCCAAACCATTGTAGAGTAAACATGAACCTCATCGTTTGTTTCAGCCTGAAGTTGTGTAGGTTAATAATGTGTATTATGTATGATACCAATGGTTTGTTTGCCACATCAGGTCTGCACCACCAGCACAGAACCCCCAAGCCGGGCCAGGGGGGCCACCGTAAGTACACACTACATGTGTTGCTGTTGTAGTAGCAGTAGTCATCTTCCCTGGGATGAGAAACTTTCACTATTTCTACATTCCATCCTTGCCACAGTGTTAGTTCATGTGCACAACAGATGAGATAGGTCACAGTGTTGATTAAGTTCAGGCCTTGTTCCCCTAAAGACAGTCATAATTCCCATACTTGAACATTGACTTGTAGCACTAAGATCGCTCTGTGGAACGGAGCCCAGAGCTCCTTGTTGTGGTACCTATGTATTGTTATGAGTGTCTAAACACATCAGTGTTAACAGTAACTGTAGACTGGCTTCTGCTTTATTGCTGATAATGCTGTTGTTCCAGTCTTGTGTCCCCAACAATAATCTGTTGACAAGGACTTGACTGTCACTTTTAAAATTGAACAGGCAATATTTGTTTCTTTCACAGTTATTTTGTCACATTGTTTTATTGTTCATATTCATGATCTTCACGGGCCGGTGGGGTAGCCTAATGGTTAAAGCGTCCGCTCATCACACGCCGAAGACCCGGGTTCAATTTCCCCACATTGGCATGTGTGGAGCCCATTTCTGGTGTCTCCTGCTGTGACCTTGCTGGAATATTGCTAAAAGTGGCGTAAAAACATACTCACTCACTCACTCACTCGTGATCATCACGAAAAGCCTCATTTTGCTGGCAGTCAAGTTATCAAAACCAAACTACCAAGTGAATCTTGTTTGAACTGTGTGGCAAGGATAAATGGAGAAATATGAAAAACAATTGGAACCCTGGGAAACTGGTTGATAACCATGCTGTTTGTGTTGTATCTGTGTACTTCTCTTCTCATTACTCTTATAACCTGCATGGCTTCAGCATAACCAACTGAGGAGGATTCATGGTATATTTAGACCCTCTTGCACAAATCAGTTTTAATTGACATGAGGCCATCAGTAGGCTTTGATCTTGAATCAAGGTGATGACTCTTGGTATTGAAACTGTTCTGTACAATAGGACATTTGGCTATGCTATAAGCATGCAAGTTGGTTATAGTATATAGTATGTGTATGGTAAGAAATTACAGAGTTAATTCTACTGCTGTATGTAAATGTAACTTTATTATGTGTAAAGCATTAAACAGGGGTCAGAGGTTTCATTTACTGGTGATATTATTTTGTGACATGCAATTTAAGTCAAAACATAGAATTCTTGTATGTGTATTTTATTTGAAAGTGATTACGAGTTACTGCTTTGTGAAATTTATGATGAGTTCTGCATGTTTTAACTGCTCAGTGTTGATTCTGGAGTTTCGGTTTTCCAGACTTATATTTATTTAAGTCAAACTTAGATACATCTGCTTGGGTCATCATGCTATTAGTTGTCTCAGATGTGTCGATATAACCTGTCAGATTAGCTAAATTGATCTTATAATATTAAGCTCAAGTAATGTCTAAAGTGAAGTCTAAAGTTTCCTTTGAAACAGGTTTGCTTTAGTTGACCAGTAAATTTCATTATGATGCGAAATAACCTGATAATCACTCAATTTCTCATCTATCTTTTAATTGTAAACAAAGACAGGAGAGGTAGGTGACAACCATTGAAAACCATGTGAAGATACAATAATTGTAGGTTACAATTTAGGCGTTACTCCTGTAAGGCCTTGACTTGTAAGCTCCAAAAGTCAGCTTCCAAGTTTTACCATTAATACCAATGTGATCTATGCATATGACTAACATCACTGCGGGCCATTCCACCTATATGGAACTGACTCACTCATTGCCTCACCCACTGGAGCATAGCCAAATGGTTAAAGTGTCCGCCCATCACACTGAAAACGTGGGTTCAATTCCCCATATGGGTACAATGTGTGAAGCCCATTCTTGGTGAATTGACACACTGCGAAATAATATTTAACCACATGTTTAACCTCACTCACTACTGATGGGCTTCAATTTGGATGTAAGGCTCAGCTATGTCCTGTCAACTGTTTGTCAGCCGAGGAGTTCTCTTGATATATGTTGGCACATCTTGTGAAATAAACACTCTGTTGTTGCTTCCAGTAAAGAGGTTGCACGTAGTCTTTCTGTTTACTGTGCACATGAAGCTCATTTGTTTGATGAATTAATGTGTGGCATTTCTTATGTAAGATGATTCAATTATTGAAACATGATTTATAACATAAAATGATTTTTGGTGAAATGTCTTTCCGTTATTGATATGTCATTTTTGTGAGTGGTTAAAAATGTCCAGAAATAATCGGGTTCTTGCAATTACAAACATGTAGAAACTATTTGTTATCTACAATATACAATTAAAATGGGCTGTTTGTTTGGATCCAATATCGTCATTAATCATTTCACTGAATTTATCCTGGCAATTATATTGATTTAGTCTCCAAACTTTGCAAGCAGTTCATCTGTAAACCATTGGAGACACTGTATCAGTGATGAAAAAAATTGGCAACACATTTTCTCCTAGATACTGTCTGCCAGTCTGGATTATTATATTTCAATCTGTTTTATTTCTATTTTAAAGTGCCTCCATGGAGTAAGTTGTATTTTCAGCTTGACGTTTTTTCCATCAATCTTGATTGGCGTGATTCTAATTACCAATAGCGTAGCGTCACTTTGCAGCTGATTGCATGGCTCAAATGGCACTTGAGGGTCATGCCTTTTGCACTTTACAATGTTTGTGTGATTTTCTTAATGAGATTGCGTACTGCATATTCAACATATGCAAATAGATGTGACTTGATAGTTATATGTGGCTACAATGTCATCGCCTGCAGTGGAGACCTTTGTGGCTATAGTAGGGGTTCCTGGAGTGGGGTACAGAATTAGTATTGCAATATATGTCACTGAAGCAGCATGATAATGATTGGTGGTAATGCCAATTTGAGTCCGCATTGGATGAGAACAGTTGGACTGGCTGATAGTGTATCATTGTACCATGATTAAGATTTTCTCTTGCTATCAACCATTGGTTTGTCAAGCCAGTTGTCACTGCTTTATATACTGTTACTTACTTCGAATGTAAGACAGTATTCACTCGCTCACAGGGATTCTACCGTGAAGATCCAGGTTATAGTTGATCTTCAGCAACCCATGCTTGTCATTAGAGGCAGGGGCGGTGGGGTAGCCTAATGGTTAAAGCGTTGGCTCGTCACGCCGAAGACCCGGGTTCGAATCCCCACATGGGTACAATGTGTGAAGCCCATTTCTGGTGTCCCCCGCCGTGATGTTGCTGGAATATTGCTAAAAGCGGCGTAAAACCAAACTCAGTCAGTCAGTCATTAGAGGCAACTAATGGAATCGGGTGGTAAGGCTTGCTGACTTGGTTGACACATGTCATCGTATCCCAATTGCGTAGATCAATGCTCATGCTGTTGATCACTGGATTGTCTGGTTTAGACTCAGTTATTTACAGACCACTGCCATATAGCTGGAATATTGCTGAGTGTGGTGTAAAACTAAACTGACTTATTCACTCTCAGGGATTCTGAATAATAACTATCAACAAATTAAATGTGACACACATGGGTATTTTTAGTTAAATAATTGGTTGGCGTTATTTATGAAATTTTCCTGATTATTTTTGTTAATGGACAAAAAAATAAAGAAAAAACCATGTAGTTCTTTAGTGTTTTTGCAAATTGCACAAATGCATTTGCAAATTTCACATCTTTAAAGGATGGCTAGTATGTTAGGAACATTAATTCTTAGAGTCTTTAAGATAAATTCAATCATGACATGGAATGGGCTTATAGTGGTCATGAAATGTAACAGACAAAACCAACCTTACCAAAATATTGTTAATGCAAACAAGTATTCCAGAATTGTTTGTGTTCGATTATGAGAAAACATGATCGATTGCTTGGTCAATTAGTGACTGCGACCAATCTTCGATTATTTCAATTAATCAGACCACCACTACATCACACAGATGGAATATTTCTCAATGGGGACAGAATCAATTGAGTTTTGAAGTGTTTTATCAAACATAAGAAAGTTAAAGTAAGATACAGGGATTTACGGGACGCGAAATTCCTGCATCCTATACACATAGAAATTGACAATGGACACAACAAAATATATACTGAGTCAAAAAAGAAACTTCACATTCTTTCTTCAGGGCACTATAAAAGAACAAGAGATGGTAAGATGGTTAAATTGTTATTATTTCATTTCTGAGATCTGTGTGATGTACTCGATACACTGACAGTGTCATAATCAGTTCCATTAGGCTACACCGCCGTTCCAAAACATGGGTATACAGAATGTGAAGTCACAAGAATAAAAATGCGAAATTTCTCAGTTCAATATCGTGTATGGCCGCCCCGCGCATTCATCACTGCCAAACACCGTCTCCTCATCGACTGCCTGATGCTTGTGAACACGTGGTTGGGGATTCTGCGCCATTGCTCTTGCAAGGCAGCGCCAAGTTCCTGCAAATTCTCAGGTTGGTTCCTAAGACCACGAAGCCTTCTCCCAAGTGCATCCCAAACGTGCTCTATTGGATTAAGGTCAGGGGACCTCGATGGCCAGTCCATGACGTTGATTCCAGCGTTTTGAAGGAAATTTGTGTCAACATCGCGGTATGCGGCCGAGCATTATCATGCTGGAACTGTAGACCTGGGCCATGAGCCGCCATGAAAGGAACAAGTTCAGGGGTGAGCACCTGGTCGTGGTAAGCAGCAGCTGTGAGGTTTCCACGGATGACCAGAAGTCGGGAACGGTTGTTCCCACAGAAAGCACCCCACACCATGCAACTTCCGCCCCCCGAATCTGTCGACTTCCTGTACACAACATTGGGCATACCGTTCACGACGTCATCTCCAGACTCTATGCCTGCCGTCCGCGAATCTGAGGGTAAACCTGGATTCATCGCTAAAGACGACTCGATTCCAGTCTCTCTGGGTCCATCGGAGGTGACGTTGGGCCCACAGCAGACGTTGATGTTGATGAAACGGCGTCAATATTGGCCCTCGATATGGACGTCGAGAATTGAGATTGGCAGCCCGCAGCCGATTTCGAATGGTCTGTGAGGACAGTCGACCTCTAAACATCCCAGCCCTGGTTCGTGTAGCCGGCAGAAATCTGTCACGTAGGTGACGTAGGACGATTTGACAGTCTTCTGCTTGTGACGTCACACGGGATCGAATCCGACCTTTGGGCGATCAGAAGTGGTGCCAGTTTGTTGTAGACGACCTCGCAAGTCATACACAGTACGACGGCTGCATCCCATAGCTCTTGCGACGTCAATAACTGATCTTCCCACTTGCAACATGCCAACGGCACGTTCACGTTGCACATTTGACAATCGTGGCATTTCAAGTACCGTTAGAACTGTGGTTTCAAAGTGTTTTTCAATTCTTGAGGCCAATGGAAACACGTGCATATGAAGAAAACTTCGATGCGAAGTTCACGTGATCGACTGCACGTGCAAAACCTGATTTGGCGTTATTTTTATGACGAATGGATGGGTTTGAGTGGGTTTTGCTACCGTTTTTCTAGAGTCGAAAGATAGGGATCCCATTTCGGATACATAGATGTATCATCAGAGAAAAATTATTCATTATTTTTCAAATTACATTTTGTGAAGTTTCTTTTTTGACTCAGTATATTAGCGCATCCACAGGGACGCAGAAAAAGTCCAAATCCTTTGTGTAAAAATTCCAATCAAGTAGCAATAAATTATCAAAGAGTTTGCTACTAGCTTGGTTATGGTATCATTTGCAATTCAATTACTGTAACAATTAATGTGATGATCATGATACACAATACCACAACAGTATTAATAATAATATTTAAGTGTCTGGGACCCCCATTTTGCTGTCCAGGACCAGTGAAAATTAAGAGTATGAGTCCCAGGGACCCTAAAATAAACAGGACTCAAGGTAAATCCCTGAAGATAAGTTTTTGTACTGATAGTGAATACTCTGCAGTCAGTGGTTTTCCAGGAATATCACCGTGGAGCCTGAAATCAGAGTCAAATACATTAAATAAATCATGCTTTTCAAAAATGATTATGGGTTACAAAAGGTTAAAGACTTTATTGTGATCTGATGAACCAGTAACACTGGCTGATAACGATGTCACACAAAGAGCATAGAAAGATTTCATTCATGCCTGTTATTGACGACCAATAAAAATAGCACAAAATCAGCTGAAGACTTAAGGCATCAGCCATTACTTTTATTCAGGCCCCAAACTGAGTTATGAGAGTTATGGCACATGTAAATGTGAATTTTTAAACTTATCCTATCTCACGACTAGCACCCCTCTCTCTTGCTTCGACTTTTAGTGGAACGACTAAACTTTTTTCCATAGGCCTCCTTGTCCATGCGCCTGTGCACTCCATGCTGCTCTCCTTAATTAGCTTCCTTGTTCCTAATAAAGCTTGCAGCATGCTCCACTAATTGCCCACATGACTACCTTGAATGATCATTCTCTTTCTTGTCGCACGACTGTGTGGACGTGCTGTATATTAGGGACATTATTTCACCCTAACATCATGGGGAAAACTGATAGCCAGTCAAGGGAAAGGAAAGTTAGTGCTCAATGCAAGACGAATTATTCGTCCCTCGACCCTCAGTCGTCAGGAACAAACGATGTGGCAAGTGTAATTCACTAAAAGATGAGGATTTTAAGGCCTACCTTCGTGTTTGCTCCTGGAGAATCGCCGATAGGGACAGGAAATTAACAGAATCTGATCCCACTCCCGCCAAGCGTATCAAGTTACAGCGACAGAAAATCATACCTTCACGCAAGAGAGCGACGTCTGTGGTTCAAGAGGATTTCATGGACGCTTCATCAGATTCTTACATATCTGAGGACGTTCGGCACCTATTACGTACGCATCAATCAACTCCTTCCATAGCGTCAGATCACTCGCGGGTGGTTGTGATCAACAATTCTTCGTTGCCTGTCCCATTTACACTACCAGGGGACCTTAGATCGACACTATGATCATCCAGATCATCGATACATATCCCCTCGACTGTCTCAGTTTGTTTGGAGCCTGGCCAACCGCATTCAACCAGCCAACTGTCTCCCCACAGTCCATTGAACCGGACGGAGCTGTTCCCGAGTTGCAGAGTCTACTACGCTCCTATAGACTTTCTGACCAGTCCAGGAAGTTCAGACCTCCGGCCTGGGATCTGATTTCTACAGATTAAGACAAAGACTTCGAACAAGTGACATTCAAGACGTTCTTCCTGGTAGCTTTGGCTACCGCTGCTCGTATATCTGAACTGCATGCGCTTGATGTCAACGGGTGCGGTTCAAGTGGAAGAAGCATGGCAAGGCTTTCCTGGGTCTCCGCTGGGACTTCATTGCGAAAAACCAACTGCCAGGGCAACCGGACCGGATGTTTACCATTCCCCTGTTGTCAACCATTCTTGGGCCTGATGATAATAAAGAATGGACACTCTGCCCCGTTAGGGCTCTACACGTTTAGCTTGCTGCCTCCAAGGATCGTCGAAGGCTACGGAAGCTCCTCTTCATACCCTTGTCGAACGCTTCAAGAACTGAGGTTTCCCGGACCATATTGGCCTTCTGGATGCATGCCATGATCCTGCGAGCCTACACCTTTGCAGGGTTGCCTCCTCAAGCCGCTTCCAATCCTCATGAGACTTGTGCACTAGCCTCTACGATGGCCCTCCATAGCAACTGCTCCTTGACCGCTATCATGGAAGGTTGCTTCTGGCGTTCTGATACAGTCTTCTCTTCATATTACCTGCGAGACCTGTCTGTCATGGATGTCCAGGGACTACACCAGTTCGGACCTCTTGTACTGGCTCAGCAGCTTACATCGGCCCAACAGCACAGATGAGGAACGGTTCCGCATTCGCCTTACTACTTCCTTGTATATACTGAATAAAAGTTGAACTGGATCTCAACCTTTTGTTCTCATTATATGGGTTTAAGAACTACTTCACTTGGCCTCCATACCAAGGCATCGGAATACGCCACCTAGCATGGCCCTACGAACCTGAGGCACAATCAGTATGACGATGCAGAGGTGTTCGACATTCACACTTACTGACCTCTACTCCACGGAGCAATTACGTCAGTGAAGTGTGACACTCCCGAATTCTAGTGGATTTTGTTGCGTTCTGCCTCCAAAGTTGCCGGGCACATCCTTTGACTAAACCTTGGAGATGCCGAGTTGTGTTTCTCTTTCACCCGCCTCAGTCGGTGTCTGGGCCTTCTTGAAGCAGGGGCTGGCCCGATTCTAGTCGCAAGACTTTAATTACGGGGTACCTTTGTAAATCCTGGCGAGGCGGGGCTTACCTGCCGAGTTGCGTCCCTTGTCTTGTACATGGTTGCGGCCGAACACCACATCGCTCAGGAGCACCCATCTCCCTGGGAGTCGTTGTGCTTAGTAAGCCAAGGGGTTCCAGAGAACCCACTACAAGCATAGGAGTTGCGTGCATGCGTAACAGGCCTCCCTTGTAAATCGCTATCTACGGTTGTCATCAGTCCACACAGCTCCAAGACCAGCTGTTCGCACTGTCCAGACAGAAGGGTAATCTGCGGCCCGCTGTCCAACCGTGGGATAAGTGCAAGTCGTGAGATAGGATAAGTTTTAAAATTTGGAAATTTTAATATAAATTATATATTTATATACTTATCCTATCTTATGCGATGGATGCCCGCCCGGCCTCCCCACTACTCAGATTACAACGTTGGCTCCAAGATGAGAATGATCATTCAAGGTAGTCACGTGGGCAATTAGTGGAGCATGCTGCAAGCTTTATTAGGAACAAGGAAGCTAATTAAGGAGAGCAGCATGGAGTGCACGGGCGAATGGACAAGGTTGCCTATGGAAAAAAGTTTACAGTCGTTCCACTAAAAGTCGAAGCAAGAGAGAGAGGTGCTAGTCGTGAGATAGGATTCGTATATAAATATACAATTTATATTAAAATTTTCAATCTCTCTCTGGTGATTGTTTGTCAGTATCATAGGTCACTGGTTGTATTTCAATCAATCTTTGACCAGGTCCAGATTGTATGATCCCCAGTTGTAGAAGTTGTAATGATATTGCTTGAATGTGAGTGTCTACAGTTTGAGACAACATTCACTCACTCACTGAGAGAATCTGATGGTAGTTCAAGTATTCCAATCAGCACTAGTGTCAATATGACATGTTTGATGTGAGTGCTGATATTCTTTATGACACCTGTGGTAATACTAGCATCATGTGGAGCTATTGAAAACAAACATAATTGATAATATTCATGTTTGTGATTCATGTCACATGACAGTGTGTAATAGTAGCTTTTGTTGAAGAGAACAGATGTTTGGAAATATCAGGTAACTGTCACATGACATGGACACTCTGCAAAAAGTAAACAAATTGTTTTGCAGTGATAGACCCATGCCACTTAAAAGTGTTATGTACACGGAGTGTCTACAAGAATTGGGCTGTCACCATCAGATAAAAAAATTGCATATTCTTGTTCCAAATAGGAAGTGTCTCATCCTTGTCATGATAGCTAACTAAAATGGATGATCAGACTCTCTAGCTTGGCTACTGTGAGGTTAGTCAGTCCCCAATGACCTAGCAAAGGATCAGGTGCTCAGGTTTTGTTCACTTGGCTTTTGCGTGTGACTTTGCTCGTAACATTAACCACTGGTTTGCCTCACCAAATCTGATTATTTACATCTGGTTCTGATAAGGCTGGAAGTTTTTTAACTGTTATGTAACACGACAAGAAGGCCTGCAAAACTGAAAATTCATCCTATCATATCAGATTAAGGTATCAAAAGTATGATATTGGTCAATTTAATGTTAACCAGATGTGAATTTGGCAGTATATATGTATAGAAATCGAAAACAACCACCGAGAGATAAAACCACTGGGATTGCAAACATTTGTGTACTTGCTTCGAAGTGAATGCTGCATTTTCAAAAAGAGGTTCCTCTGAAATTTTTGTATATTAGCATTTAGAAAATGTGATGCTTCAAAATCTTCCAATGCTTGCTAGGAAACTAGACAGCGAGTTAAAGGCTCTGAGTCTTCCTTGCCAATAAATACATAACTCAAGTAAATCACTGATATGGCCAGTCAACACTGAAAAAACTGTTTGCAGCATTTTCTTGACAAAAATAATTTTTGTGGTCTTTCATAATGCATATATTCATGTAAAATAATGATAAGCTGAAAAATGCTTATATCTCTTGTGGTTAGAATTTGGTTAAATTACTGCATGATTTATGGACAGTTCATCATTATGGAAATAATATGTTGTGTGGGGCCATGACATTTTGAACATTTAACTGTAAGTGATGATAATGACGCTTCTAATGGCTCCATTAAGGGAGGACCCAAGCCAAACCCAAGCCAAACCCACGCCAATCGGTGCTTGGCGTCATAAGATTATATTGTCTAACTGTCAACCCAGAAACAATAATAGGGGGCAGATATGTTACACTTTCCAACCAAGTCTGTGAATGACACACAACATCAGGATTTGTCATATTGCCTTTTGGATGTTTGTACCTTCTTGAGTGACATGTATGTGTTTTTCAGTTTTCATGCTTTTAATTGTCTTATCTGCATGAATTCTCTGGATGAAGATATGGGTCAGGAATGAGTGACTCATTCGTGTGAGATTGTTTCCTTTGTCTTTCACAACTTGTATTACTGTGTCAGGGATATTTTCTATTTTCCAACAAGTTATTGTGCAAATGGAGCGACAGTGCGCACGTAAAACTGCTGTTATTCAACTGACTTATTGCATTGGAATGAATTCTTGGGATTAGATGAAGTGATATTGTGATATGGCATATATTGTCATGGGATATGGATTGCACTACCTTACTCATTGAAACCATTAGAAGGATAAGTTACTGTAGAGAGACAAGCACAAAATAGGCCTCCACTATGCAAGATGTTGTAAGAGATGACTGAAGTGAGGATTAAGTGGTAACAGTGTGTGACCTGTCTTAATGTGTGTGGGCGGTGGGGTAGCCTAGTGGTTAAAGCGTTGGCTTCTCACGCTGAAGACTCGGGTTCGATTCCCCATATGGGTACAATGTGTGAAGCCAATTTCTGGTGTCCCCCGCCGTGATATTGCTGGAATATTGTTTAAAGCGGTGTTAAACCATACTAACTCACTCTTATTGTGTGTCTTTGTATCCAGACTGCAGGGGTTGTTCTTCATGCTATCAGATATTGATTTGTCTGGCAAGGCTGCACTGATTCACAGACGTCCTCTGTGGTCTAGTGTGAAAGAACATTAGTCTGCAGTTTGATCCCTGACTCAAAAGAAGTTAAAAAAATTGTTTTTGGACAAACCCTACGTTATCCTTGGCATTAACAGTATAAAACAAGGATTGGTCAGCTCTGAGTAACTGTATCGTGTTCGAGTTTGGTGTCTGTGCCAAAGTGTGGCATAGATTATCAGTGGGCTTGGACTAGAAAACTGACATTAGTCAGTATTAGTACTAGCAACCACACGTCACATACACATTACAATATGTGTAAAGTTATTTTGAATAAGATGCTGACCCATCTTTGTTCATCATCCTATCAACTAGGGTTCTTTGCAGTGTGAAGATTCACAAATTTAACAGCTGTCATGGGATAGCTGACGTTAGGGTAGTAGCAATCCACTGAATCCATGCACACAATATCTTCAATATCATTTTATTTCATTGTAGTTTGATGGTCATGTGGTCGATGCAAAGATTTGCATTTTGAGAATGGCAATAATATGTTGAATGCAGTTTTTCATCCTGAGATATGTAAAGTGAGACCCCTGTGAAATTTATTATGACTTTTTAGGAACCTTTTGTCTTGGATATTTTAGTTAATTTTACTTTTCCTGTTCTTTGATGAGAAATTCCTGTTACAGGAAGATCACATTTACACTATTAGTTTTGGCCTACGCTTTTTTTCTATCTTTTATCATGTTACACAGTGGGTTAAGTTAAACTTACTTATACAGACATACAAGGATGTGGTAAGTTGCATTTGAGTCAACAAATAGATGTCTTTCTATGAACTTATGCACTTGTTTTGCAGATTGACTATATCATGCACATTTTGAATTTGAGAAATTTGAAGTTATTATTAAACATATCCCTGTTTCATAAGTATGTTACCAGGCTTTTCGAGTTTCATGCAATGGTTATTGTCCCACATAAGAATGTTTATAAAAACATTATGCCACTTGTATTATTGAAAAATTCCATTGCTTTGATGGCATCGTCAGTTGAAATTATCATCCGTATACTCTCAGTGGTAAAATTCCATGGGATATGTGACATTATGTGGTTGACTAGATGTTTCTGTGACAGATTGAAAATGTAAAGTAAAGAAGTGGAATACTTTGATATAGCATATTATATTCTGGTATCATGGATGTGTTTTACCCATTGGTTAATCCTATTCCAATTGTAACTTGACTTTGAGGATTAGAAGTTATGGTAATGTTGCTGAGCTCCCCTTTCCCTTCACCGCGCTGTCAGTGTTTCTGTCACAGCAACTCCCAGACTGTTTATGGTGGACTGTGTGGTTTCAGGTCAGGTGGACCCGGAGGCCCCCCTCGGGAGCAGAGCAAGAGGCTCCAACAGACTCAAGCTCAGGTGGATGAGGTATGGCGCCATGCGGAGCAAACTAGGCCATCATGGCTTGTCCAGCACATTCTTTCAACATTCTCATGTATGATTAGTACTTTTGGGTGAATCTGTATACTGTGGTATCAGTAGAACTGCGGTATTTTGCCTTGGTTTCAGTATACCGTAATGCAGTCCAAAAATTCATTATTTTTGGTTTTCGTACCGTCATTTCTATCTAGTCATAAAATGACAGTTTTATTCATTCAAAATAACAAAGATTATGGTTTTCTTTTTTTTCCATGTTATTACACAATGTAAGGTTTTGCTCTCAATTTTCTGCATTATGATCATGTCTCATATACCGAACCGAAACGGACTGAACTGAAGTACCGCAATACGTACCGTACCATGGTGAGAGCGTACCATTTCACCCCTATTAGTACTTACACTTTTTCACTTCCAAAATGATCCTTCATTGATACCACAACTGCTAAATGTCTTTTAGACGTAGAATCAACATCTGTTGAAGACCATTTGAACACTGGGGATACCAGTTTCGAATTGTTTTCCAGCAACCTTTTTCTATTCATATGTTGCGACTACAACAGAGACTGACATGGACATGATGGTCATAAGTTTGTTGAACTACTGGATTTCTGAAAAAATAGAAGATGTCACTTCATATGAACCACATGTCTGAAATGATCTCAAGGGGTAGTTGGATACGACCAATGGTATCCACTACTGCTTACTTGATCAAGTGGTGAGACTTCATCCCATAGGACGTGGGATCATCAACTATTGTTTTTAGGCTAATGTGACAGACCAGGAACTATCAGAGTCAACAACGACCAACAAATAAATATAAACCTTTCAAAGTAGTACTTGACTTCATGAAGTTGTGTGTCACTGTCAGATTTATGGACTGTAGCATGTAGACATGATATTTAGAGATGCTGTGTATATTTGTTTCAGGTTGTGGATATTATGCGAGTGAATGTTGACAAGGTGCTGGAGAGAGATTCCAAAATAGCTGAGCTGGATGATAGAGCTGGTATGTATGGCTTGCAAATCAATCAAGGGCATCAGTAATTAAATGTCAGTTCAACCAAATAAGAAGAGAAGGCTTTGCACACACTCAAAGGCCCTTGAAGACTTTGGTGTTTTGGAAAGGTCATGGGTTTGAATTCTTCATTTTCTAACCGATACCCATTTCAAATACATGATCTAAATAAAACAAAATATTGAGTTTCAATGAAACTTGAGTATACATATAAGTTTTAAAGGCATTTTGTGTTCAATAGTTTCATGGCAATAATCATAGAGTAATATCTCCCTTGCAGTAATTGTTTGTTTCTTGTTAGCTTTTGGGCTAGGAGCATAACATGTTTTTATTTCAAGTTCAAGTTGACACAGTTTTAGCCAAGTGAATTGAAGGAAATAGAATTTTCTTAGGGATGCTGAAAGACCTTTGAGATATAGACCTTGAAGTTTTTTCGCTGTGCTCCAGGACAAACAGCGTTGAGAATGGCTGAGGTTTGTCGAAGTGAATTACCTATGAAAGTTTCAAGTGATCGTTGTACTCCTCATAAACTCACAAACAAGATTTCCATCTTTGATTTTCATTCCAGCAAACCATGTTTTTTGTGATGAATGTTTTTCAATAATATTAGAACATTACAATTAAATGACCTTTGTCAAAATTAATTGTATTAAAAAAAGCCATCAACTCTCCTTTCTTTGCATTCCTGTCTCAAAAGTATTGATACATGATGGCACTGGTAGGAATAATGCACTCCCTGATGGCTTTGAATAAAATAAATATTTTTTCAGGATACCTTAATTGCTTCGGGTTTGATATTTTGATTATTGCAAAGACTTTAAGGACTTTCAGTCTTAAGTCCGACATTGGATAGGGAAACAGAGTTTTGAACTTGAGAACTTGAAGTTCTGCCTGTCAAAACCAGTCAGATCAGTGCATTTATATACCGGTATGTTTCTGGGGAGTTTGTGGACCCAATTATATCTATATACCGCTGATATTGTGATGTATTTTGTTACAGATGCACTACAGGCGGGAGCTTCTCAGTTTGAAGCTAGTGCTGGTAAACTCAAACGAAAATATTGGTGGAAGAATTGTAAGGTAATGAATAACCCTGACCTATTCAGAATATTCTCATTAGGAAAGGTTCATTGGTCACTTGAATTGGGAAAGTGTTAAAACCAATTTGGAAATTATTACTGGTACTCACATTTGCAGAATCCTTGGGCCAAATATTGGTCTTTGAGCAGGTCTCCATAAATTGCTGTTTTTCATATAAGATATGTATTCTGTGATCTAATTTTAAGAAAGTATGTAGAATTAAAGGGGAATTTGCTGTCTTTTTGCACATTGTTTGGAGATAAATGCTGTAATTTGTATACAACTTTCAGATGTTGATAATCCTGGGATCAATTGTTGCTGTAATTGTAATCATAATCATTGGTGAGTGAGGGGCAGTACTTACCCCAACCAGATCTGTGGATGTTGTCGTGTGTTAGCACATCGATGTGTCGCTAGTCGCAGATTAATCACTTACTCCACACATACCATGTTTTTAGATTATTATTTTTTTTAAATATGGAAATAATTATTTTTACTTTGGATGCCCTTAATCAAACATAATTAGAAATATATAAATACATTTATGGTTGATCAATTCCAGCCATAGCAAACTTGTCATCTGATCTTTGCACCGAATCAACATCAATTGTTGCTCGTTGTCACTGAACCGAGGGTGAGAAGTGGAGTATTTTTTCTTCTGTTGCCCTTTCCAAAACTATTTGTTTCACCATCTCCATCTGACTGAAGGTACCAGTTACAGTCCAGGAAAAAATGTCACAGGTCCTTGACTAAGCAAGTTTCAGACTAGCGGTCCTCTCTCCTAACTATGAAAAGGGTAACAGTGGAGAAATATGTTCCATTTGTGAAAACATGGTGTGTGGAAGATAGATTGTTATGTTAGTCCTGATTAGTTTTGTGTCACTTGCATCTAAGTTTTCTGATGACTGTTGTAATTAGTTAGTTAGTGTGCAGTTATGTCTTTCACTTTTCTGTCACATTGCCGTTATCTTGCTTTTCCAGATGTGGGCTATTCTTATTACTATAATTCTAGTGATAATCATTATCATTGTTGGTAAGTTTTTGTTTTATTTGTATTTGGGGTTTGGTTGCTTTCAAACTAATTTGATTCTGTAACACTGTGATCAATATTGGTGTTTACTTGTATATTCTTGCTTCTTAAACATCCAGCCTTTCCTTAAAATCAATCCAGTGAAAAACATCATGCTATTGACTGTAGGATGATTCACATAAACATTTCTTTTTTTAGAATTTTTGTTTGTTTGTGGTTGTGTGTGAAGGTTAAATATTGAGAAATATCTGAAGTTTAGTACTGATTCTCACACTTGGTAAATATTTCATTTGGCCCATATCAATATATATTTGCAAAACCTTTGTTAGAAAAATATCTGATTCTTTCATATTACATGTACTGTATACTGCATGTATGGTTTTAGGCTTAATGCGTATGATGGCAGCCAAGGTTGAGACTAAATATAATAAATAGTCTGCTTATCAGGACAAGATGATACATGTATGAGATTTGTAAGAAGCAAAGGCTGGAATTTTAAGACAAACATATCATGGAAGCAATCTTAGCTGCAAAAAGCTTACATGTAGCAGCTGCAGCCATTTTGCTTTTCCCATGATCACACTGGAGCATATAGAATGTTGTTAAATAAGATTAAATTACTGTTGCTTTTTTCTTGAAACATGTCAAAGGTAGGTTGACAGTGAGTTTGTGTGTTTCTGAAACTCTTGATGGAAAAAGTAGTTACATGGATGTATCTGAAGATATTTTCATATGATGCTTGAAACGGAGCACCTACAAGGCTTGATATCAGTCGTCCTCATGAAAGACTTGTATTCTGTCAGTGTGGTAGGATTAGATAAAACGGTCACCCTTAGCTCGATACAGAGGATTGCAGTCGTGACAAATCCATTGTACACTCATGTTCTGTTAGTCTTCCAGTATCAACTTGAAGATTAAACTATCAGTGTCCTCCTTTGCCTCAGACTCAAAATACAGCAGGGTCCTGTTCCATAAAGTATCCAAATCTTTGACAATCATAATCAGTGTTAAAATATGACAGTCATAGATCGCTTTGTGAAAATGGACTCTGGCTGCTTGTTAAATGATCTCATTTAGGGCTCAGTTATCAGCTTGTTGTGTAGTAGTGTTGTTGCTTGCAGTCCAGCCTTGCAAGAAATTGATATGGGGTCTTATACCTCATACCTCAGTGACTGTTTATACTTTTTTTCCTTTAGTGTAAAATGTTGACAATCCAAGCTTTCAGATGATAACACCTATATTAGTTGGTATCCAGCATTTTCAATTCAAGTTCTTCTCTGAAGCATCCTGGAAATATCTTAAGCCAATCCAACTTTGGCACAGAACTTGCTATGAGCTCAGGATCAACACTGAAATTTGACCAAACAAAGGTTCTAAGCCCCATTTTACAAAACAGTGTAACTACTTGACTGGACTTACAACAGTTAGTGCTAAGATTGCTTTGTGGAAGAGGCCCCAGACAAAGTATAAGACACAGACTGATATTTGACCAGGGCCCCGTTCCTCAAAGCGATCGTAGCGCTACGACAGTCGTAAGCCTATGTTAAAGTATGGGAGTTACAATCATCTTAGCGCTACGATCGCTTTGAGGAACGGGGCCCTGATCTGTCCACACAAAACATGATGCCATGATACAGCTGCAGTATTACTGAGGGAGTATGAATTCATGTGCTAGTTACTTCGTCACTATAGAAATGGTGAGCCTGCTCCTGTTAGGAGTTTGCTAAATTTTATTCACACCAGTTTAAATTGACTTGGTATAGATTAGGATGCTAGTCATGTCTTAATTGAATATTTAACAAACTTATATTAGTCTCTTGTGGAAGAGTGCATACACATGATAAATGAGCCACGGTAGAGAGAAGTAATAGAACAGATCTTGCTTCAAGCAGCATAAAACCTTACTCACTCACTCTCTCCCTTATGAAAATGACACACATGCTCAAGCTATCACCTGACACAGGAGAACTATTTTCTTCCAGTCCAGTGAGTGTTAGGATGAACTGATATCAAATATGCAATCGTGCAAACACCTAAAGCTATTACAAGTACTAGTAATCAATCTTTGAATAAGCAAGCTACAGTATTCATTTACCAATACACCAAATTCCCTTGGTAGATGCACTCGGGGCGGTGGAGTAGCCTAGTGGTTAAAGCGTTGGCTCGTCACACCCAAGACCCGGGTTCAAATCCCCACATGGGTACAATGTGTGAAGCCCATTTCTGGTGTCCCCCGCCGTGATGTTGCTGGAATATTACTAAAAGCGGCGTAAAACCAAACTCAGTCAGTCAGTGGTAGATGCACTCAGGAAACAACTGTTGCTATCATGAAATCAGTTCATTCTCACTTCTGTCGTAGTTCATGTAGCACTCTCTAACCCAGCTATCAAACTGTCCAGGAAGTTTCATCCATAACCAACACAAACAGCAGCATGAGACATGAATTTTAAACACTGTAAAACAAGCAAAAGGTGAAGAGAAGCATTTTCACAGTTTTTGTATCTTCAAAGCTTTTAAAGCTACTTGCTTTTCACACATTTCTGTAGGAAAGCACATACAAAATGAATCATAGGTTGTATATATGAAATTCATTTTTGATTGTTCATGTTTATTTGCTTTACTCAATTATGTGATTCTACAGTTTGTTTCTCACTAATACATTATCAGAAATTGCATGTTGCAATTATATTAGAATTAAAGAAATTATGTTAGAATTAAAGAGAGACATTTCTGTCTTAATGCTGTCGGCAGTGTGGGCAACCTCGTAATGAGCAGGTAGATTGTTGACTGTACTATCAGTAGCTAGCTACTGTCTGTGACTGTCTAGATATCACATATATCATGCATACAGGATATACCATGTATATAACCCACTTTCCCAGGAATAATTTCATGCTTCTAGTTATGGTTATAGTCGAGATATGTCAACTGACCATTGAGGTATCTCTAATTCTGTGAGTTACCCTTAATTGCTATTGTATTCTATTGTCTGAAATTTCTGAATTATCGTGTTGAGATTGAAAGGTGCTAATTTATTGCATTCTGTGGATGCTATGGTTGCATTGCGATATAATGTTCCTGGAACTGAGCTATTCAGTGCAGAATCAATGACTCCTCATTACTTCCAAACAAGATTTTCTCCAAAAGGACTTTCTGTTGCCTGGGAAAGTATGTGTATGTATACATGAATATCCTGTATACAGTGTTCAAGAACCCTCCTGGGGATGCGGTGTAGTTAGTCAAGTACCCATACATCCATGTTGTGTTACATATTGTCCCTAGATGTCCATACCACATCAACAAGCTTTTTTGGTTATGGGATAGACACATTGTAGAAGACAAAGTCAGTGTTGTGAACAAAGTACATACATTGTGAGCACTCACAAAACATTCACCAGTCTAAACAAAGTCAGGTTTGAGAAAATACAAAAAACTCATCAAATATAAGGGATAAATTCTTTGGTAATCAATAAAAGTTTCATATCTAAGTGTTTTTCCAACTTTAAAATGCTTATTGAAGAGTTGAATATGTAAATACTTCCCACAGATTAGGATCGTCTTACTTTGCTGAATTAACTGTCCAGACAGACATTTTACAACATTTGGCTTATTAAGATGTAGCCTGAAATTGGGTTTCGCTGGATTTTGGTGGTGATGTTTATTCATTGTTGACAAAGAGATGCAGAGTTTATGTGGGAACATTATTTGAACAAATAGATTTTAATGTCACCACATTAAACTAAGTACAAGTACGAGCAATTACAAAGCCTCTTTTGGCTGTTATTGTCATCAGCACATGGTCATGATATTAACAATCACCGCATAAGCTGCCTCTGCTGTTCTCCAGAAGGACTTGCCCCCTCTTCACTATTAACCCTGTTGTTTCATCAGGTTATGACAGTGCTGTAATCAACTTGTACATGCGATGTAATTTGTTTTCATTACCAACAATGTCTGTATTCCAGTCTTTGCCTGACTTTAAAGTCTACCAGCCCAAATGTTTTTCTTTTCTTTTTTTCATCATTTAATCAACCAGGAATTTTACTGTTAATATGTGAACTATTGTTTGTCAAAGTTGTTTGTTAAAGGACATATTACAATATTTTGGCCTCAGACTGCTGACTAAATATTCAGATGTTAATATGCAAGGATTCCGGTTGACGGGTTTGAGGTGGTCGGAGTGTACAGTTGAGATTGATGTTAACAGACTGTACATGCTGAGGGACAGGTAATTCACCCCAAAGGCTATGCTAGGGTACAATGTTTTAGATTGTTTTAATGGTTACATGAAATGATACAATTAGATACAGGTTGTCATAGATAAGAACAGGTCAGAATACTTTGATGGTCTGTCAGAAATTATACATATTATCACTTGGGGAAACTAGAAGATAATATCAATTTTTGCAATCACTATTTTTATAAGGTATGTTGTTGAGATGGTAAGGTCTGATTACTGTCTTCTGTCACACTGTGGTGATTAAGCTAATGAGGCTTTGATGTTTACATGCAAAAAAGTTGAAAACTTAAGATTGAAGAAAAAAAATCAATATGTGATTATGGCACTGTCACTTGATTTGTTCTTTCATGAGGATTGAATTCAAATTTTATGTAATTAATATTCTCTCTTTCTTTCCTTCCTCCCAATGCCAAACCCTTTAGTGTATTTTGTCACCAACTACGGCTAAGGGTATTTTTGCCTGCAATCTTTTTCTTCCTTTTCAATTTCTTATTACACTTCAAGCAACTGTGCATGGTAGAAGAAATTGTCTTTCTTCAGGCCAGATATCTGCAGGGATCAGTATTGTTCAAAATATATATTGAAGCATACAACTAAGATTCTTATAGCAGCTGGGGACACATGTTGATGAAGATGCAATTACAAATATGACCCAAAAGATTTGATTTTGAGAGGGTTTGCCTGAGTTTCATCTATGATGAGTTAATTATATGTAATAATCAAAATTAATGTGAGTTGTCCTCTAAATGTGATAAAAGTAAAATGCATTGGAATTGTCATTAAATGATTGATTTTCTTTTCACTGTAAACTTGACAAAGATATTATATTTTAAGTTTTAGTGTAATTTCAAAGTTCCTTCCACTATATTGGTTATTCTTCTGTAATAATTTGAAAGTATTATGGGTTGAAACATCAGTTGACAGTAAATGCTCAAAAAGAAATAATCCCAACATTCCTTGTGGGTATAAATCCCCTATACGTAGTCATCAATGACTTAAATCTATTTAGTATCATATATGAAGAGTTTTATGTTGTAGATCATATCTATCGCATTGCTAAAGCCTCAGACTGCTGTTGCGAAGCAGCTTTCAGCAGAACCACACAACTGCATGACGTAGAATGTAGATGCATGCACTCTGCACTGTCATTCAGTTAACACCAAAAATTACAGACATAGAAAATGAAAAGGAAAGTGGGAGAGTGCTCCCCTGTTGAACTCCTAGTTTCAAAATTGTATTCAAGATATGAAGGTCTTGCAAGGGTGTGAGTCTTCTCTAGAACTGATGACAGTTAGGTATTTGAACCATATTTAAATATTAGTAAGTATTATTGATATGAAACATACAAATATGCTTTCTGCATAATGTTTGTTGCACCATATTAATGGAGTCTGCACATTTAGGATTGGAATGCAATATGTTATGCTGCTGTATGTTGTTTCTTGGAATATTTCCAAAGTAGTTTTGTACAGTGCATATCAAGTTATATGCATTATTGAACTCCTTCAAAACACACCTGTTAGCATTATTTTCACTTACCAGTTTATCAGAATTTGAACTTGTTATTCGCATAAAAATATCTAAAATGAGCATCACACCCCTTTAACATTAGTATCATGATCAAGTTTGACAATGTGAATGGTGATAATTGTCTACTGTACAATGTCTTCTGAACATTTCGGGGGGAAAACATCACTGTTGTCTAAATGGATTACCATTAATGTTGAAAGCACTCGGGGCCTATTTTGCATTATTATTTTTTTCACACAGTGCCCTACCTTTGACATATACCCCTCCAACGCCCTCCTACGTTACAATCAACAATTGGAGAAAATGCTTTTCATTTAAGATAATAAATAAGATAACTTTGATCACTTTCAAGATGGTGTAATAATATAAGGGAGATAACTGTATTTGGGAAGTACATGATGTGTTTGAAATTGCTTGTGCTGGAATACTGATAATGAAAATCAAAGGCATGGTTCCCGTCCTATATTTCTAAATGCATGTGCATGATGTAGCTATACACTAAGAGCTATCTTACATGCAGTAGAATGAGGAGTGTTTATTGTCGCAAAGAGTTAATCAGAAGTAAAGTAAAATTTTACTGTCAACTTCTGCGTGTTATCGTAAAATAAATATCAAGGAGTCAGGTTATTACCTCTGGAATGTAATTTTCACATGAAAAATATCAGTTTATCTGTTGTAGGATTACAATTTTGATAAGTATGACCAGTTATTTATGCTATCATCCATTGCTCTAAGCAGCATCTTGCTGTTTGAACTGAAATCTGTTTCTGTAAATTGATTAAGAATGTTCTAAACTCCCTTTGGGGAATGGAATTTCTAATCAACAATGCACTGTTGAGTGATTTGATATGTTCTTCTTTTTGTGACATAATGAACACTCCCCAGCCAAAATCAGTCAAGTATTCACTCCAAGCAATTTGAATTCACTGTTTTCCTTGTTCAATTCCTTTGCACTAGTACAATTTCAATACGAAACACCATTCCTTAATTGCTAATTTGATATAGAACATTTCAGTTCAGAAATGTCAGTGTATCTAGTCAGTGAGTTTTATTAAATGTGCTTATAACAGCACCTTTTTTTCAAATTAGTAGAGTTATGATTTCCTGCATTTTTAGACTTAGATAAATAATCTTTGTTGCACAAACATAATTAAAAAAATGTAAGTTAAAAATTTGTAAAGATTAATTGCTGTTATTTTAGTGTGGGCCGTCACAAGTCAAGGAGGAGGAAGTTCCAGCAACAACAACAACAACAACAGCCCTGCGACTATCGACAACAACCCAGCAAGCGGAACAACACCTGGTACAAGGCGCTAAGTCTCTCCTTCATGTTAGCGTTATACAAGGGCAGACAACTCCTCATTGGCAGTAGGCCTCTGCCCCCCAAAAGTACTTCAGCATATTTTGATACGGACATCGCAAGGACAGTGATTGTGGCGCACTTAGAACTATTTCCAACCAACACGTAGCCTTTGACATTTCTATTACTCTTTGTTCAATTTCATTGATGATGTCATATAAGGAATGCTAAAAGACGCAGTGCGAATACTTAATCTTTTCAGATTGTTAAATTATTTATCTTTGACAGTGTGTTTTGCAAGATTCACTACTGTTAATTGTATAGTATATTTTGTTGAAATGTTTCAAATATGTATCATTTAAATTAACCTTTTATTGTTCATAGTTTTCACTGTTTGAAGCTTTTTGTTGTGTATGACTCTGTATACTTTATTAACCAGCCGATCTGGTGCGAGTGGTATTATGTCTGTGATAAGTACAGCAATCAGTGATTAATTAGCAAAATAACCATGAAACTTCATTGCATCAGTAGATGTTTAAACTAAGTGGAACAACCTTCTGTAGTAACTCAAGACAGTGTGAGATATCCAGCAGGATAGAAACTCTCTTGTGCTACTGCTTCACAAATGTTTCCCAGATACTAGCCAGAGTCAGTCTTTCAGCATCATGTTCCCATACATATTGGCAGAGAGAGAGCCATGTTGCAATGGTTGCATGTAATAACTTATAAAACAACAAGTTTTGAGATTCAAATTTTATTCCTGTTTGAAGAACCTGTTAATCGAGTACGCTTGTTCAGTGTAGCTGCTCTGATGGGTTTTAAAATTCAAGTTCTGTTCCTGATTGAAGAACCTGTTGATTCAGTCTGCTTGTTAAGTGTAGCTGCGTTATATAATAGTGATGGAGGATGTGATGTCTGTTGACAATATTTCATCCTGACTCAGAGTTCTGAGAAAAGGGGGTGGAACGTCATACATTCCAGAATGTGTATTTTCATTTTCACCTCATTTTACCAGAGCGATTGTGCATTTTGTGTTGAAATCCTCTTCAATCCGTATCAAAATCTGATGAAGACTACTGACCCCTAGTATCCATTCTAAAATATTGGCTAGAACTAGTTGTGAAAAGGATGGAATAATTGTAACATAAGGTGTACATTTAGTCCTTTGTGTATATGATGCCTCAGTTTACCTATCATGTGATCATTTCTTTCTTGCTTTTTTAGACCTTTTAAGGTTTATTCATTGGTTCCATCTTTCACTTTGAGTTGTGAATAAATGATAAGCCCGAGGAAACTCACAGAAGATGTGTTACTCAATTCCTTTGAGACTTATTCATTTCTGTATCTGTTTGTTTTGCTGTGTTTTCATGGGACAAGGGTCATCAGTCAAATTTAAATTTGTTTCAGCAGCGTATACAAGTTAGGGTTTGGTAAATATCAGATTTACTAAATGGCCCTAACACATTTATTGTCCATGCTATTGTTAATCATATATATATTTGAGACTTTACTGTGTTATGAGAAGTTACTTGTTTATTGTTTGACATTTGAGAAATTAAGGAAAAGGATTTTATCTTGCCATCATGTTCCTGGAATTGAAGTATATCATCATCTGATGAGCCTTTTCAAGTTGTTCCTGTAGTTGCTGCTTTAGTTAGTTCTGGAAAGTATAAATTGTATACATCTTGCATCATTGGCGTTTTGAGAATGAGGAATTTCTTGTAAATGCAGGTTGTAAGTATGCAAGAAACTAGTTGTAAAAAGTAGTCCAAGTCTCAACTAATACCTGTCTTCTGATTGCCACGATTGTATTGTTAGCTTGTACATACAGAATATCAAACTATATAACTCTTGTCCTGTGAGTAGAATGAAGCTCTTCTTATATTGATATTTCTCTTGATGATGAAATCATTGATTTTCAAGGATTGTCTGTCAACATTTCCTGAGCTGGATTTATAGGTGATGGTCAAGTTGGAAAAAATAGAGTGAGGTAAGAGTTTCAAGAAAGATGTCCCCACCTTTGTAGTGATGTGTTTACATATTACTTCAGGACAGGGTTGGATTAATTTAATGGACAAGGCAAGTACCATTTCTTTATGGTGTTGGGATTTGTCTATATCGTTCATAACAGAATGAAGCTCAGATTCTTGGATTCAGTCTGATGAAAACCATATCTGGTACGTTGCTTTCTGTCACATTCAGAAGAAGAAAAACAACCTTGACCTCACTGTAACTTCACCCTTGGTCCATTGAAAAAATTAACCTTAAAACCATTTTGACCTCAGTGAGTGCCTGCATGGGGGTCTGTTTAAGTTTGGGTACACAATTTGTATTGAGAATATGTTACATTCCACTATAATGGATTATGGGAGTACTAAAATCTCCTATATTAGGGACTCGTCACTGCTTAAGCCTTCCTTGGTCATCAATGTTTTCACATCATTTCCTACCATTCATTCCAGCAGATTTAGATTTTGTGGTTCATGTATTACACAGTATGAAATAATTGCTGGTGAATCTGTTGAGTATGTGACAGGCTTGTTGCACAGCAGTTATATGCTACTGTGGTGAGAGACCTCAAGGTACCAAGTCTGAGAATCTCTCTTCGGCTGAGTTCTGGCTTCATCTAGTGTCACCGCCATTGTATAGATGTCATCACTTATTGTCCTACTGCACCTAGAATATGTTTACATGTTGCCATAGCAACACATAGATCTATAAAAACAACTGCTCACATCCACATCAGGGAACTGTTCTGTATCAGTTGTCCATAGATCTGTTTGAGCTGGACTTTAGGTATTTTGTGCCAGTAATAGCTGTGATGATGTCAGTCTGATGTCAATGAATGAAAAAGAGAAGAAACTTCAAATCCTGGCATTTCGATTTGTGATCTGTGCCAAATGCTTTCACCTGTGTAGATCTTTGGTATTGCTTCAATTTGACTGTATTCTTATGGGCATTTTATTAGCACAGTTTACATGACAATACATGTATGTACCAGATAGGGCTTCAGGCTAGTTAAAGGGATGAACCTGCAGCTTCATATTTATGGACTTAAACAAGCATCATCTGTATATTCTCATAGACTTTTCAAAAGGTATATGAAATCAGACTGATACTGTTAGGTTCAGTCTTCAAAAGCTGGAAAGAATTAATCTCGACTGAACATTCTTTTATGGCTTGAGGTCTGTTCTTGCTGCCCAGTGACCATCTTGTGCAACATGAAGCCCACCTCGTGTATGATTCTGAAGACTGAAAGGTGTGTCTGCTGCTCAGAAGATGCAGTTCTCTGTAGACAAGATGACAGCTGCCGTATGAATCTCGTGAGTCTTTGCTGACATTGACATCCTCGTGGATGTGGACAGTTGTCCTTCTCTGCAGCATGATGGCAGACAGTTGCAACATCATAGTGGCAAACAGGTTACAAGGGATTTTGTGCATTTTAATCAGTATTTGTAATATATATTTAATTAGCAGCAGATGCATGCTTTTCTGGGAAGGTTCATCTTCATTTGTGCAACTTGCAATAGTTCATGTATTTTAGTCAGTGAAATATCTTCAGTCTTCCTCCATCAGTATATTTTTCGTGGACAATGTCGGATGTGTTCAAGATCACCATTATTCAATGAGTAATGTGAAAAGTTTACTTTGTTTTGTCTTAATAGTCAGTAACTGATTACAGCTGTTTCCCTAGCCAGTTGTTTGTGGGTATTCTCTTATCAAACTGTACTGTTAGTGGAAGTATAGCATACATGGCATACATTTTGCTGGTAGTTCAAATGCAGATACTATGCAGAGGATCATCCAGCTTCATGCAAGAAAAGCTTTTGAGGTATATGAACAAGCTGTCTCCTTTTTTTTAATGTTTGCAAGTTTGTATCTGTATGATGGAAATGGATCTTATCAGAATGATGTGTATGCTGCTGCAGTTGATGTTGTGTATAGTGTTCACATTGTCACCCCTCCCCGTGTCGTAGGTCACTGACACAAGGCTTTCCTAGTATCTTGCATTCTCTCCTGACACTCTGCTAGTTCCAATAAATAAATGTCATGTGTATTTATCATTGAGTTGACAGATTGTATGTACATTGTAAATGTCATATGTTAATGTAATAAATAAAATTGCCTCTTGTAAATTTATATTTTAGTTTGTTTTTCTTGTGGCTGAAAAGATTAATCAAGGGGTATTGACCAGAAAAGCCAGGATACCTATTTCTGAGTATGACCAGAGACCATATAATAGATATATTATTATATGGTCTCTGGTATGACACAGCATTCCCATCGCAGAAAACTGCCTGCAGAGAGTTATATACGTTAAGTTGTCAAGCACTGAGAAAAGTGGGAAAGACGACAGAATACCTTCCGCCATCTTTGAAAACTATGTGCGCGACTCGACTCGAGTTTTTAGTACTTCGTTATCTAAGTGCAGCTTCCTTTTTTAGCCTTTGGACATCCGTTACTATCTTCTTTAGGGTTAGTTTAACGAATATGTTTAGGGATAGGGCCTGCACGCACAACTCCCAGAATTCTGTAGCTCTGTTTTTTTCAAAGACGTAAATATTTTTTATTTGTGATAACTTACTTTTCATTTTCAAAATCGTTCAAATACATGTAATCCTATTTTAATAGTTATTTTTTATTTTGATGCTCCCTTATTTTTTTCTTATTTCATAGCTCGTGCTTACCTATAATAGGAAGTGCATGTCACATTGTGGCACTAAAGAATGCTTGGTAGGTATCCGATATTCTGGAGGTGTACCAACAAGTGAAGACATTAAAGTTCTGTGGGGATTCTGGGTTAGAACTGACCCCGGCAACTTAAGCAGGTTGTAAGAGAGTTGTGAGGGGCGGTGGGGTAGCCTAATGGTTAAAGCGTTGGCTCGTCACGCCGAAGACCCGGGTTCGAATCCCCACATGGGTACAATGTGTGAAGCCCATTTCTGGTGTCCCCTGCCGGGATGTTGCCATAAAACCAAACTCAGTCAGTGTAAGAGAGTTGTGAGTATGGTTTTCTGCTTTCAGCAGTTTCACAGCAGGGATCACCAGAAATGGGCTTCAGACATTGTGCCCTTGTGTGGAATCAAACCCAGGTCTTTGGTGTGATGGGTGGATGCTTTAACCACCAGGCTACCCCACGGCCCCTATCCATGACATCACTGATCATGTGTAAATGTACCTTGACAGTTATGTGGATCAGTGTTCACAGTATTAAATCAGCCTGTTGTCTGGTCCAGACTGGCTTATTATCAGACTGCCAAAATGCCAGGATATTGTGGAGTGCAATATTCAAAATGCAAACGTTTTAGTAATGGATGTTCCAATGGCCAAAACTGCAAATTACGGAGCCCTCTGTAGAGTTCTGTCACAGACATGATGTGTATTCTACCCAGACACAAATGTGCAGCCCTCTGCTGTTTGGACGAATAGTATTACTCTTAACTATGCCATTATCTTGTTATGATTAAATCAGTTTATCCAGATTGTGATCCTCGGTACCAGAGTTCATCTTTATTTTTATGAATCGCTCCTTAGTTATCAACTTTACCCTGTAGCAGTTTTGGTTGTTGTCCCCGCCCGCAACGCGGAATGGGGGACTATGTATTCAGCGGCGTACGTCCGTCCGTCCGTCCCGATTCTTGTTAACGCAATATCTAATGAACTGTTGTACCCAATGTCTTCAAATTTGGTGACAGCCTACATTGGGAGATTATGCAGACACCAGTCGATTTGGGTGACCTTGACCTTATTTTCAAGTTTACATTGGGGTATTACACAGACACCAATTTATTTGGGTGACCTTGACCTTATCTTCGCCAAGTATGTTGACAGCCTACATTGGGTGATTATGCAGACACCATTCACAGGCCTACCATACAAACGGTGAACAAATCATCAAAACTGATCTCTTATACACCAAAACAGAACAAAAAACACCAAAACTGCAACAATATCCTCTAAAACCGAAACAATACATCTGTAATGGAAGACAAAAGTTTGAAATGGAAACAAAACTCGCGTATCAGCTACAAGAGCGCGCGAGAACGGTCGCCGAGCATACAAAACAGCATTCATAGCATCCCAACACGGCAGTCATAGCATCCCGAAACGGCATACAAATCGTCAAAGATGGCGGCGAGGGGAGACGAATATGAGTCTAATCTTGAAAATTTGATATCGGGATGTAGTGCATAAACCCCCTATTGTAGTAAGCTTCAAACCTATGTCCATACTTCTCAGTGTCAGGCTTGCAATTCTACACAATGTGGTCCCTCGTTCGACTGAATAGGATTTCTTGTCAACATGCCGTGGTCCTGTTTCTCTTCAGTTTTGTAAATAATAATAATAATAATAATAATGTGTCCATTTATATAGCGCCAAACTCCACACTAGGTATGCTCATAGCGCTAACAATCAAGGCCATTATTACCCCGGATAACGTGTTCATAGCGTCACATTCAGCATTACTATATTTTAGTGATTTAAAAAAATTAAAAAAACTTTGTTCATTCTCCGTGAATTGGGTTAGCAATATTACAGCTGTATGGCAGTGGTCTGTAAATTATCAAGTCTGGACCAGACAACCCAGTAATCAACCAAGTCAGTGAGCCTGACCATCCAATCCCGTTAGTCACCTGAGCAGCGTCAAACATGTCTGGGTAGCATGGCACAGCATGATTGGATTGGATCGGTTGTTGTTTAACGCCACACTCAGCAATGTTCCAGCTATATGGTGGTGGTCTGTAAATAATCAAATCTGGACCAGACAATCCAGTGATCAACATCATGAGCATCAATCTATGCAATTAGGGTATGATATGTCAACCAAATCATCAAGTCTGACTGCCCAATCCCATTAGTCGCCTCTTTGGACAAGCATGGGTTGCTAAAGTATAATTCTAACTCAGATCTTCATGGTTCTGACAAACCAAGAAACTTTTATGCCAAATCACTGTGGCTAATGGCATTGAATGACACTGGCAGATGTCATTGAATGTCTAAGTAGCTTCAAGCATTTAAGCTAAAAACATTTTAGGTTGAAATGGCTTAATGTCATTGAATAACAGTGGTAATGTCATGGCATGTAACATATTTTCTTGTCAATTGTCATTGCATGTAGAGTGGCTGTGGAAGTGTTCCACGATAATTTGTCAATGTCAGATTGACATACTTTGTAATTCGAAAAAATCATCAAAATAGAGTGTCTGGAAATAATTCTTTATTAGAACATACAAGTCTGATACAACTGGTGTTCAAACTTTATCAGATAACTTTAACATGAGTGGTGATGGCCTATGTTACCTTCAAATCATCTAGCTTAACTTCTGGGCCCACTTGCACAAAACGATTGTATCGCTACAACAGTCGTAACTCTGATTGAAAGGTAATTGTAGGGTCACCCGCCTCTTGCACAAAGCCATCGTAAGCCTACAATAGTTGTAAGTTACAATTGAAACCTACAATAGCCCACTACCTATTGTAAGTGCCTACAATCGATGGTAAAAATGGCGTTGTACATGGCTGCCGAGGAAGTCTCAGAAAAAATTAAATGTATTTTTAGAGATAGAACATTACATTTGGAGTTATTGACGGAAGGTTAACACATTTCAAGGTATAGGTTGCCTCGGCATTCCATATTCTCACTTTTGGAGAAAGTTCGGCCACACATCGAACATGGAACGATGCGTTCACATGCCATTTCCCCTGAAACTCAGTTGCTGGTTACACTTCGTTACCTGAGTAAAGGAGGTTTTTCGATGGAAATAGGCAATCTACATGGCGTTCACGAATCCTCTGTGTCTCGCGCCGGCCATCGGACAATCCGTGCCATAAACAACGTTTGGGACATCAAGTTCAATCCTGACGCAAATAAAGTTAGAATGCAAGACTTCTACAAAATAGCTGAATTCCCCCGTGTTATTGGGGCAATTGATGGTACACTTATTCCCATTAAACGACCACCTGCAGATGAAGAAGTGGCCTACGTTTGTCGGAAAGGCTTCCACGCCATAAATGTTCAAGACGTATGTGACGCCAACTTGAGGTAAACTTTAACTTCAGAGTAGCTTCCCTTGTATGTAAATATAGAATAAGGGAGTTAATGTTGTAACGATTTGATCACATAACACTGAAATAAAAAAGAATTGTAAAAACCAGTTTCGTTATGAGATATATGGGAAAGAATAAAGTTTCATATATATATAAAAAAATAAGTGGGAATAATTGAGTCAAAGCGAAAACGGCTGTAGGTGAATATTGGTACCTAATACATACTCGTCTCCACCCCGAATTCATACCCAAAGTGAACTCGTACCCAAATAAACAATAATTGATAACAAAGCACATTGGAGCTGGTGATTTTGCAATAATTTCAAAGAGATATCAAAATACTTTATATTTTCAAGCAGTTGTTCAAACTAGTGGTCCCTTAAGGGAAAATAAAGTCAACTGAAACGAAAATAATAATTACTGTTTATATAAGCTTCAGTTTATTCCCCTTTTTCTTATCAATGTATAATTATGTTATTGTGATTTTGATAACCTATAGATTTAGTGATATGCAATATTTATCAAAATTATCAAATGTATGAATTTAATGTCTCAAATACTATAAAAAAATGAAAACAATGAATAAAAGTTTTTAACTTTCATAGTAGTTTGCTGATATTCCCGGACTAGAAAGTGGCCACGAATTCACTCTTCAATTTGGTTACGAATCAACTTAAGGGACGTAACTCTAAATTGTTGTCTATGTTGCAATGGATAATCTTATCTTCAGCACAGAAGATTACGATTGTAACTTACAATCGCAATAGTAAAATGAGATGAGTTACAACTGTGCTACAATCGCTTTTGTGCAAGAGTTGTAAGAGTTACGATCGCGATTGTAATTTCGATTGCAAATGCCTACAATTGATTGTAGCTACGATCGTTCTTGTGCAAGTGGGCCCTGAATACAACACTTCAAAATCAATATAAATATTCTATTTGACCAAGTTGAAGATGTCACAATTATGCCCTTAGTCAGAAGTAGGAGGTGGGTTAAATTCTATTTTTAACCCATGTGGGGAATCAAACTCTGTATCTTAGGTGGGATGAGCTCTGCCCCAAATAGCACTATAGAATAATTCAGTTTAATTCCTGCTACTGTGGCTTATCAGACCATTACAAAATGGTGAGAAGGGTAATATGTTGAAGGATTTGTCAAGGATATTTAACTAAGAGCCTTTGGCAGGATAAAAACCATGAAGATTGACCTCAAAGTTTATAATGTTGATCCACATTTTGATATGTTTGAATCTCAAAACAGTTAAATAAGAATGATATACAAAATACTACTGTAACTGTACAAAAAACATCAACAGACATTGTATTTACAAACACTTCAGGGGATGGATGTATCGTTTCTAATACAACACAATGTTGGGGGCACATTCCAGTTATACATGTAAGACTTATAACTCTGTATTTCTGATCGACATAAATGACCAGTGGTCTGAAGAGTTTGATGTAAATCTCTCATTTGAAGAATACTTTTCTTGTGAGTGACCAAATATAAGTTCCGACACCCACGGGATCTGTACTCCGGTATCAAACCGTGGGTCATGCAACCTGTTCACATTCACAGGAGCCAACCACACCCCGAGGGACACATCCTCACTGATGAACGTTTTGAGATAATTAGCATTACTAGCCACAAAGTGAACCAAATCACTTGAAACAACATATCCTCCTCCAAGTGCATAGGGCAAGTACCGGTCACACAGCACCCATTCTTGTTCCTTCCATTTCCCTCTCTGTTTCACATGGGCTCGCCCATCAAAGAAACCCCAATACAGTTTTTCTTCATCTTTAAATTTCAGCTCCTTCAATAGTGCATCAAGTCGAACAAAACTGTCATCATCAACTTTCAAAAGAAATTTGAAATCGACATGTTCATGTATCCATTCTAGACTTGTCAAAAGCTTCTTGCTTAATGCTAGGTATGATTCCTCATGATATTTCAACAGCAGTAAGTCTTTACGTAGCATGTTTTCCCGCATCAATCGATCTTCGACATCTTTTGATAACTGTTTCGTTCCTATTACAAAATATGCAGCTACATCTTTGGGAAGATCATGAAGCCAGGTTTCTCGTATTGCATGGCGAATCGTTCTGCATTTTCTGGTCCAGTCAATATCAGGATGACAAGGTGAGCAGTTATCTCCGTGATTGAGCAAATATCTTTTGTCCCCATCCTGTCTTTTCCTTGCCATGGCTGTGATCATCATTGGCACGGCGATATAGGTGCAGTCCTCGCATGGCATGTTGCATAATGATAGGAACATGAGGGCACTTATTGTGAGGAATATGCCTCCTATGAGTATGGTGGTGGCATGACGATTCAGACGACGCTCAACACCAAATGACATGGCAGATGCTATCTGAAATATATAAAAGTTAATTTTTGTGTTTCATGTGAAATATGAAAAATTACTGACCACAAACCAGTTACTCACAGCTAAACTGTCCCTGATACTTAGGGTAGGGTGAATTTGGTTTCAAACCGCGAATTTCTGAAATGGCTGAAAGCTCACTCCGCAAAAATGTGACAGCTGTCAAACAGTCATCAATATTTTAGAAAGAGTATTCTTCAGGAATAAAAACTTATTTCAAAAAAAACATGTTCATATACCATCAAGCCAATTTCGGCGAAAACTAATCATTGGCAACCAAATTGTTACCTTTTTACAATATTGACAAACTTTATGGATAACAACTTGTTTTATTTCGTGAGTCTTGTACCGTTGTTCCTGCTTAACAGGTGTATCGAAACGTCGTACTCACGAAACAAAACAATTTATTGTCTGTTACGCTTTTCTACATTGTACTTCTCAACTTCTCAAAGAAGTTATAATACCTTTTTACTCATTAACGTGTCAAGACGAATCAAGATTCCACTATGCTTCAATGTGTGATAGTTTTTGTAGAAATCCCTGTCACTGTGGCTGAGGAGTGCTGAATAAAAACTCTTCCTCCCATTACTTTTATAAGTGTCATCGATATCTACATGCCTGATTCTTCTCGATATCCTACATAAATTCGACCACCAGCTGTTCAGACGCCCATCTGTTCATTTCTCTGGGCACCGCCATTTTTAAGGACCGCTGCAAATAAAGTGACGTAATTTGGTAAATAATTTTGACTGTCCGAAATGGAACCACCTTTGAAAAAACATTATCAAAGTTACGGACAAACTTACTTTTCGCATATCTTATTTCATCTCGGCATATCCACACTGAAACATTTTTTTAAATTAATTTGTGTATTTACTGCGGATCTGTTTTTGAGTAGTCATCATTTCCTGTTTCTTGAGAAGTGGAAAAATAATGTCATACGAGTTGGATTATACACAATTTGTTTCGATATAAGCTTTTCAAAAGAGCTTCATATAAAGGTATGTGAACAGCGTTTTCTCAGTCTTAATTGAAACGTAATGAGTACATCTCGTGTAAATTTAATCCCTTGCAGCCTGTTTTGTACCGAAGGAAAAGTACTTACGAAATATTTATCCCTGAATCCTGCTTGCGGTATAATGGAATAACTGCTCCATCTGGTTTGAAACAATATGTCAAAAATCATTAGAGATTGCTAATTGTGGAACGCTCAAAGACTTTTCCACCTTGAAGAACTCATGCAACCTTAGAAATTTATATTTAGCATTTCGTTAGAGGTCCAGGAGTAAAACTCCTCAGAAGTTTGTAGCGATTCCTGACTGGTGATAAAATGTTTACCTTGTTTACTGTGTTTACATTTTCTGATAGTTATTTTCATGGTTGGGTCAGTTGCTGTTTGTAGCCAAGTTGAAGCTTTGAGAACTGGTTTAGCATGTTTAGAATCAGGGCCCTCAAACACAAGGACAAGGCCTGGAGTCCCAGGGCTACCATCATATGAGTTGTACTTGCGGCTGTAGGTGAATTCGTAACCAAAACCGGTTCGTAGACGTGGAAATCCGGTGGATTCGTAGACGGATTGAGCGGTGGATTCGTAGACGTTATTAAAATTGGAAAAGTTCATCCTCAATGATGAAGAAAATCGACTGTGATACTGTGTTACTGTGTTACTACTGTGATACGTGCTGTTGTGAAAATTGTTGTTGATAAATATATTACATAACAATGTTGTCTGTCTTTTTACATTTTACGACGCTTCATCTTTATTACACACACAGTCACACAGTAACAATATTTTCGTATCACTGAAAATTAAAAATACAACACAAACCCTATATATACAAATACATGTAAAACAAGTCTAGACAAGATAGGGGAAAATATTCGTTCACTCTTCAATCACATTTTCTTGTGTCCTCAGCTGCCCATAGTTTCGTATCACTGAAAACAAAGCATACGGGAAAATATTCGTTCACATTTTCTTGAGTCTTTAGCTGCCCTTAGTTTCGTATCACTGAAAACAAAGCATAACAACTTCGTTATAAACATTTTTCTAAGTAAAAATCAAACCTAATATATACTATTATTCAATTATTTATACACGTCTACGAAATCACCGTCTACGAACCGGTCTGGGTTACGAATTCACCGCGTCTACGAACTGGTTTTGTCTACGAAATCACCGTCTCCCGTACTTGCCCTCGACACAATTTAGTAGCCTTGGTTTAGCAGACATGCATGAATTTGGAAGACAGCCATTGAATTTTTTGGGGTAAAAACTTGATGAATGTTTGTCAAGTTCAACATTTTACCCACATAAAAATACTTGATCAATAAAAAAAAAGTAAATAATTTTGTGAATATTCAGTTGTGAAACGTATTCGATCAGTGTGTCTAGTTTTAATAATATTCTAATGTATGAAGTCTTATTTGCATGTTTACCAAACAGCAGTGTTTTTCAATTGTCAATCCATATTTCTATGACTTGGCCCCAAATATTAGAAAGACAATTTTTACATCTTTGAAGTGAATTCATGTGCTGATCTTGCGTGTCTCTTCGATCCTTAGACTTAATTGTGTTAGTGGAGTTTTCCCAAATTTAACAGTCAGCCCTCATATCCCTTCTCAGATAAAACACCCTTAAGGTCAAGGCAATCCTGAAAGATTCTTAAGGTTGTTTGTTAGGGTATGTCTGAGTTATCTGTTTTAGCAAATGCTTCCGATGTAGTTTGAGGAATACCTATCCAATCTTTATATAGTTTCATGTTTACCATAGAAGACTGCCACTGTGCATGTTCATTTTGTGAACAAACACTTATTATTTGTTAAAGCTCAGTGGTTCTTTTGTGAACATGGTAAAGTAGATTATATTCACCACTTAGCTTGTCTCTGTTCATTCTAACTGAAATAAAAAAGTGCAGTTGTCATCTTGACATATCGGCCAGAAAAGAATACCCAGTTGTTATAAATGATCTTGTGATGCAATTTGTACTGAAACATTTACAAGCCTGAAATGTCTGAAGAATAGATATGACTTTAGGATTGTTGTAAGGCCAAATAAAAAAATGTTGTGGTTCCGATTACACTTCTTTGAAATTTAGGGTAGGTAGGTAGGATTTGTTCCTTTTTTTTACATTTTTTTTAGAAGTAAAGTACAAACTAATAACACATTTATCAGTGTGTAATTGTTTATTCAATCAAGCTTGCAGCCATCATGTCGAATTTCTCTATCAGAGTGACTGATGTCCGTTGGTGATGGGGAAAAAACAATGGTGTCTGAAAGCTTATTTTATTCATACCGCCTAAAAAAGATAGGGTCGGCACCAGAATTGAAGGGTCAGTCGGGTAATAGGAACCACAACAATTTTTTGTTTTAGGCCTAAGACATATTGAGTCAGATGAGCAGACTTGGCAAATTACCATGATTGACATCCTTGTTACACTTTCTGAAATTATGGTTCCTGGTCATACAGTTGACAGGTATTTCTATTCTTAGTAATCTTACCCAAACAGAAATCTGTGACATTGTTAAAGGTTTGCAGATTTACAGTTGTGGCAAATTCACAATTCGTTTTACAGTGACTACACTCATTCCCGAGAGATATAATCTGACCTTTATGTTCTTTGATCATATTGGTATTGAATACCGGGTATATAAACACTAACAGATATGATTTGTGAGGGAGAGAGAGATAACAAAAGACACTCAGGTGGGAGTCTCCATGTTGTGTCAAGCGGGTTGATGCAGAGCTACAATGATAAAACGAAAAAACCCAATACATTTATCCATGAACTTTGACAATATCCTGCTTTCATTAATACTTTCTTACAGACAAAAAAAATGGAGTGATATTAAGTTTGTTTGTGGACCAGTCAAACAGTCAAATACAGAGAGAAAGGTATTCTCAGAATAGACCCTTGTCTCTCAGCACTTGGCTTCTTGAGCATGTCTTGAACTGGTTATTCTTCTATTATGTTGTATGACTATATGAATATGATCATGATGATAATAATGAAATGCCGCCAGAATTGTGGGGAAAATAGTATTTACTCGTTCATGTATGAAAGTATTAACTCCACCATCCATCCAGACAAATTTTGGTGGTAAATCCAGGGTGGTGGTATATCCAGGGTGGACAGTGCATGTACAATACAAATTACAATGTCACTGTACATGTACAGACATACTCAGTGACAAAGAACAAACAATCTCAAATACAGGTCATGTTGTTTATTGGCATCTAATAACATCATAATTTTAAAAAGTCTGGTACAGATGTCTGCTTGGACCAGGGGTAGAAATAACCCATTGCCCGACGTCCAGTGTTTTTTTTTTCAGTCGGGCAAGCAAATTTGTATATTACGCTGTACCAGTGTCCAGTTGACTTTCCAATGTTACTTATGTTGTTTATTTGAAAAATCAATAAGAAAATCGTCCGGTATAGAGGGAAAATTATCAGGGCAAGTGATTTTACATGTGCCACTGTACCGGTGTATACTAGCTATTTTAAAGTTATTTCCACCCCTGAGGGATGACAATTCATCATCACAACTGTGGGACTGGGTGGCTGACAGAATTCCTTTGTGTTTCCAGCATTTGGAAATGGAGATGGTAGTAGACTAGTAGGTATCACGAAACCCCAAGCCTGCTTAACATAGCGGATGCAATCACTCAGCATGCTCAGGAGTAGATTAGGCACCTGATTTCCGTCTATACAGTTCATGAAACGGCCTTTGAAATTTATGTGCAAGACAACCTTGTTTATCTACCTATTTTTATTTTGCCTGTAGATGTCGAGTGGCAAGCGAGTCAACACCACTGCCACTGCGCGTCTCAAGCAGGATTACATGAGGATCATGAAGGATCCGGTACCCTATGTGAAGGCTGTTCCACTGCCAACAAATATGTTAGAATGGTAAAGTATTGCCTTTTGTGATGATTATTGCAGATTTTGCCGGTTTGTTGTGGGTTATCATTGCTCCTGTGTGTCCCAAAAATACAGCCTGTTAATCACATTATTTGCCAGTTTGAGAGCTGAGGTTATCATGATTGTTAGTATATTAGGGTTTTTTTCGTGGAGTTTATGGAAGTTGTATGCATAAAAGACCTGGTTCAGAATGTCATGTCAGTTTGTTTTGTTTTAAAAATATGGATGTGTGTCTGATAGTGGTGGTCCGATAAATTGAAATAATCGAAGATTGGTCGCAGTGACCAAACGACCAAGCAATCGATCACATTTTCTCATAATCGAACACAATTGATTTTGGATCTGCTGTTTTAGTGTTTGAAACACTTGACAATGGAAATCATCATAGAAGTTGTCAGGGCCTGAAAATGTATTTAATTCTTAAAAAAACTCACTTTACTTACTGAAAAGTCATTACTGAATATTTCTTGAAGACTCCAGGAATTTTATGTTCATGATATATTAGCCATCACTTTAAAGTAGCAAGTTGCATAATCTTACATTGGATTCTTTATCTTTTCCAGGCATTATGTAGTACAAGGGCCAGAGAATTCTCCATATGAAGGTAATCTCAACACACACAACAGGGTTTTCTGGATACAAAATATAGAGGATAGAACTGAAAATAACGTGCGCTGCAAGTCCCACAGAATACATGAACTGCATGACAGGAGGAATAATTAACATAATTAAAACATGTTCAAGTGTAGCGTTCATGGTAAATGTAACAGTAAATTTGTCTTCTGATACATAAATAAATTTCAAATTTTGATGCAGGTGAAACAACTTGTTTTATTTTCCCCTTTATATCACTTGTGTAAGGCTTCATATGATGTGCCATGCTATGAATTATTTTGGCTATTGTTGTGGTTCTTGAGTTTGACAATGACACATTGTTTCAGGTGGTTTGTATCATGGTAAACTCATCTTTCCACGAGAGTTCCCCTTCAAGCCCCCTAGCATCTACATGATAACACCTAATGGTAGATTCAAGTGTAACACAAGGTATGTCAGTGTTTGCCTTTTATCTCTACCAACCCTGTATGCATATGCAGGGCACCATTTTGTCTTGCAGAGTTATTTCCCAGAGCAACCCCAAACCCAGAGATGCCAACCCATACGATTTTATCATATTCGTTACGAAAAAACAACACAAAATATGCGACTACGATAGCAGTAAACATACAATTTTTAAAAAAATACATTAAATTAGATTATGAAATAGCATACGTAACATACACAATAAATTTCGATCACATTATATTCAGTATCAAGCTATATGTGGATACGTACTACTGATTTAGTTGAGTAAAACGTTAATAACAAGGTCTTAGACTATATATTTAATTTTGGTATTTATTATGAAAATTAATTTTGGCCAACGTTATACTAATTTTTTAATCAGTTTTGGGCCAAAATACTAATTGGGCTAAATTAGGGTTGGCATCTCTGCAAACCTATAACATTGTGTTTTAGATACCAGGTTTGCCCTAATTTTGTTTCTTTGGGTTTGTCAACTCTGTACCCATGTTGAATGTTATCTAATTCTGCTTTGTCTAATACTATAAATTTACCAAAATAAAATATGCACACTCTGCATAAAACTGCTTTATGCTGAGGATAATTGGAAATTGCAACCCATTGTTTGTTTCTTGTTTACGACTGCATTTGGCAAGTTGACAGCGATCTAAAAATAAATGAACCTGGACCAGAAAAATCCAGTGATTGACATCATGAACTTTGATCATTGCTGTTGGGATACAGTGACATGCAGTAAACAAGTCAGCAAGTCTTACCACCCAATTAGTCACCCCTTACAACAAGCACAGGTTCGGGGAAGTGCAACAAGTAAAAATATAGGTGTGTTACATCTTTTGTAGTTCAGCTTCCAACCAGCATTTTTCAGCAAAGGAGTGTAGACCATGGAAAGATAAAATGTCTGACCAGGTGTTGTTTCAGCTTTGGTTATGTACCTAATCGGTGTGTGTTGCAGGTTGTGTCTCTCCATCAGTGACTTCCATCCTGACACATGGAATCCAGCATGGTCTGTGTCCACAATACTCACAGGGCTGCTCAGCTTCATGGTAAATAATGCTGATACTGCAGAAATAGTCACTTTTACTACAATAAACTACCTTAATAAGGAACTTACTTATAACAAACTGGGTGGTTGTTGTTGTTGTTCAGGCTAGCTATTCTCGAAACGTTCGTAGCCCTATGAACTTCTTAAGCCCATTCTCAACACATTGGCTATGATCAAAGTTAAGAATTCTTAAGGCTACGAATGTTTCGAGAATAAGGGCCCAGGTCACTTGCAGAAGTGAGTGAGTGGAGTGGGGTTTTACCTCGCTTTTAGCTATATTTGCTTGAGTGAGTGAGTGAGTGGAGTGGAGTTGGGTTTAACCTCACTTTTAGCAATATTCCAACAATATCACTGCGGGGGACACCAGAAATGGGCTTCACTGATTTTAGGGGGAATCAAACCCAGGTCTTCAGCGTGACAAGCGAACACTTTCACCACAAGGCTATGCTACTTGCAGTATATTTTAGTCGGAATGCATGTAACGAACTACAGTTATACCAAACAAACATTAAAGGTCCCTTTGAGTTTGTTACAGCCATAATTTGCTGTATTTGGAAGGGTTAACTTGGTATAGTTGTTCCTCAAGCTTGCAAAGGCACATTTGGAAATGCTTTAGAAGATACATTCACTCAAATTTGTGGTAGATACTTTTGACTAATATGCAGGTGTGATTTCACAATGACAGGACTGCAGGTTAATGTTGGTTTATTAGCGGACTTCACAATCATTGAAAATGGTCTCATTCAACTACATGTTCATAATTATATCCTGTTTAGTTTAACAACGGCTTGACAAATCTTTGCAGTACACTATAGCCAAAACGGGTTTAAATTGTAACTTGGTAACATTTAGTTGATGATTAAAATAATTATTGTAATGTTGAAGTGTAAATATACTTGTCTAATGGCGTTGTCAGTGCTAAGTGTAATATTATAACTATGTCATATGATGACTAAACAGCCTTTGATTTTTTACTATTTTCTAGTAAAGTTAGTGGTGCACCAGTTTTCCTGCTGCCTGTAATAGATGCATTGGGGAGAAAAACATATTTGCACTGTAATGCTACATAAAACCCAGAGATTAAGGCTTGGGGGTTAAATCATCTTTATCAAATGGGGCGGTGTGGTAGCTTCGTGGTTAAAGCGTTCGCTCGTCACGCTGAAGTCCCGGGTTTGATTCCCCACATGGGTACAATGTGTGAAGCCCTTTTCTGGTGTCCCCCACCTTGATATTGCAGTAATATTGCTACAGGGGCATAAAAACAAACTCACTCACTCACTCTTTAACGAATGGAAATGAAATGGACACTTTTTTCAGCCAAGCGCAACATTAATGGAAGATATGAATGCACTTCAATCATGTAACTCCTGTTTGCTTGAACATGACGTTAAAATCAGCTGTTTTAAACAAGTTGTAATTTTGAAACTGGAAAAAGAAGTAGACAAGTACTGCAGCTAAGGTTTTCATTTAATTACTGATTGCTATATGGGTGCAATATTCCCGATGCGATGTAAAATTTTAATTAACTCATTTAATAATCACTAAGAAAATTGTTTATTTCAGTTGGAGAAGAGCCCTACACTGGGTAGTATAGAGACCTCTGACTACACTGTGAGTACAGCACTGGTTTACTAATATGGTTCAGTATAAAGATATTGTTGGCAGAATACATATTGATTGCCAGGTTCTTCTCCTACCGAGCTGACTGAACATTGACATGAGGTTTACACAGGCTCCTTTGTATTAATAATACTTATTGGTGACCAGAGCCCAGTTCCTAAAAGCGATCTTTACGCTAAGATATTCAAGCATGGGCATTATGATTGCCTTAACGTTGAGATCACGGGTTGGAACAGGACAGTACCAGCCAGATTATTATGTGTCCCTATTTCTTGATAATGGAGATTTGACAAATCATATTCTGGTTGTCATGGTAACCTTTGCCATGGTCACGTGAATAGAGCACCTGCCCTGAGAGTGGATGTTGATGTGTTGATCCTTGGATGCTCAACACCAAGGTGTTAAGAGATGTTACTTGTTGTCATGCCCGGCACCCATGAAGAACCCGGGTTACATTGGGTCTTCAGCTACACCTTTTACTAAACAATTCAGAAACGATAAGTCAAGATTAAAAATGTTGGTCATATCTTCAGAAACGTCAGTTGGCTGCTCAGAGTGGAACGTTCAACCTGGGTGACAAAGTCTTCTGTGAGTTGTTCTCAGACATTGCAGAGGTAAGTTGATGGGTCAGCTGTAAGTAACCATGGTAATGACATTTTGTATGTTTGCGTAGTCCCTTTTTGGGAGTGTCACTGTTGTGACTGAAGGCATGTGTTTCTTTGCGAGTCCCCTTTAAACCATGGTCTGTGTCCACAATGCTCACAGGGCTATAAATATAACGCAAATGATTCTATAATATTCAATTATATATTGAATAAAAGATAAATGAGGTTACAATAAATGACAGTTCAGATTTCTAATGCCATACAATTGGGTCTCAAAATCTAAAATATTAACTCACCAAAGTCTTGATATTCCCAGTTAAAACAGATGTACTGATTGTAGTTTGTTGATAGATGTTGAAAGTTAAATGTAGAGGAGGCCTCTTGAGTGGTCGGTCTTGAAACATCAATGTTTGCAGACAGATGAGCATAAATCCAAAGTTGTTCCCCATACATCTCGGCAACAATCCCTTATCTTCCCATTATACAGTTCCAGAGAATTCTAGTATAAGCTATGTCACACCACTATCATTTAGAGATTACTGGAATCCCACGGTCTTCCTCCAGAAACAAAACAAAGGGGAGGCAACTCCCCAGCCCACTCTCAACAGGTGAAAATCCATAGCCTAAGTTCAAGGTGTGAGTTCAAATCCACACTTAGCAACTTTTGTGACCCATAATAACTAAAAGTTAATTAATGTGACATTATGATTAACAAAACCTCATCCTCATAACACATGTCAGAATCTGAGTCATTCCATTGTCCTGTGTGTATTAGTCAGTTGTGGTAGGATCTGAGTCTTACATTATTCAGTGATGTTTGGTTCTGAATACTGAATGTTTTATTCAGTTGTGTTAGGATTTGTGTCCTACATATATTATTATCGTGTTGTTTTAGGATCCGAGTCCAGTCTAAGTAAACTTAGGCTCAGTATTATTCGGTACACTGCTAAACTGTGTCTAAAAAAGGTAAAAAGGTCTAATACTTAGACTGGATCCAAGTCCAATGTGTGTTATTAAGATGTGTTTGTATCCAAGTCCTACATATTAATCTGAATCTGACATATGTTATCACATAGTCATGTTAGGATCTATATTTTGCCAGGGCTCCCGATAATTTTTCAACATAGAGTACATTTAGAGTACTGAATGGAATTTAATGGAGTATCAGCAACTTCATATATGCATTGCTACTCTTTTGCAAACAGGTCAATAAACAATAAAACAATAGTTTTTTCAGATAAATACGTCTGTAAATGATTCTAAGACCGTACACCATTGCTGTGGTGCATGTCTGCTACTTTTTCTAAATTATTTCCTACCGTATTGTGGATAGTTTTTATCCGTACATACATCGATACGGCCCGAATCTGGAGCCCTGTTTTGCACATCTTACTTATTTTAATCAGATGTGTCAGGATCTTGATCCTGACTTTATCAACCATGTCTAATTTTCTTCTTATCAATTCCGACAGAACATCCGGGCTGAGATTCGTCGGAGGGAGGAAGAAATGCAGCGTTCTACAGATTCCAGTGGGAACATTGATGGCGGATCAAGGAATGGCCGCAGTGGCTTGCTCAATGGAAACCCAAACACTGTACTTAACGGACAAAATCAGGGATTCTTTGGGACAGCTTTGACAAATATATTTGTGATAATTGGTTTTGCAGCGTTTGCTTACACAGTGAAGTATGTACTGAGAAGTGTTGTTGATTGAAGACGTGAATTGTTTGGCTGTTCTGACCTTTCCACTTTGACCCTTCGACTTGATCAAAGGTCTAAGGAATGCCTGTATATATTGACTGGTTCTGGTGTATCACTATATCTATCTATATGTCTGCAGATGTGCTGTATAAGATGTCTGGATCAAAGGTACCCACTCTTCTGCATCATGTCATGAAAGGATTTACTTTCTGTTTGTACATACTACTTTTGTTTTTTTATCAATAATTTGTTATGCTTCAGAAATGAGAGGAACACTGTTTTATCCAAGACACAAGACTGTTGTGTAGGGTTATGGTTAAAACTTTATTGTCTTGCCAAAGTCCTGGGTACAGTTCCTCAATGGGAATCCTCACGTGGCAACAATTCGTAGGAGCAGAAAAAAAATAATTTTCATTCAAACTCTTGGATTGTGTTCGATAGGGATATAATATTTGAAATTAAATGTATTTGATGGTTCAGAATATGTATGAATGCTCTGAGTTTATGGATTAAAACATGGGGGTGGGATACAAGGCTATATAAAAATGAAATATTTGTAATAAATGAAAAGACCATTGAAAAACAAAAAAAATATGATACAATGTATCAATATTGTCAGTGAAAACAAACAAGGGTTGATGATTTGAACCTCACCTCTTCTGAATGTGGGTTGGGCTGGTTGAGAGGGAGTTCATGTGCCCTGTGGGTGGGAGAGAGTTGATGTGCCCTTGAGGGCATCGGAGAGTTGATTGAGCTCTGGTAAGTGTGAGAGGGTTGAGGGTGCCCTTAAAGGCTTGAATGAGTTGATGGTGCCCTGTGTACGTGAGATTATGTTCCCTTGAGGGGTTCAGGGAGATGATAGTGCCCTTATGAGTGGGAGAGAGTTGATAGTGCCCTTGGGTTTGCAGGGGCGTAGCTACCCTTTTAATAAAAAGCTCGGGCTTACACATGATTGTTGCTAAAACAGTTGGGCAAGCACTCAATACTATCTAAATATGAAGTTTTACAACCTATCGGGCTTACACAGAAAAATGGCTTGCTATGCCCCAGGTTTGGGAGGGAGTTGATGTGCCCTTATAGTTAGGACACTGATTGTGCCCAGGGGGTTGTGCTAGAGGTTATGGTGCCTGTTAGGGTGTGAGTAAATTGATGTGCCCTCACTACTAAGAGGGAGTTGTTGATGCCCTTGAGAGTGAGAGGAAATTGTGGATCGTTTTTGTGTGTGAGGTAATTATATTTTACACATCCTGATGTGTCACCTTGCACAAGTTGTGTTGTTGCTTTCACCATTTGCCATGGTGGAGTTTGAAGTCATGAATCTTTTAATGCAAAATTCTATTAAAGGATATGTTATAATTTGAAACAGGAGAATACTTGAAGTGGGGAGTGTTTCAGTGATTAACATGGTGCTGATGAGAAGCAAAACAAACAACAAATATATTTTCAGATTATGCATATTTTAATATGTTTGATCAAATTAGAATCTCCTTCAATATCTACAAGAACATATTGAAAAGAAAACTGTCATCTTACTCACTGCACGTCCCCAAGAGGCTAATCTGCTGGTCATGGTGTCAAAATCCCGGATTAGCCCAATCTTGGAGACATGATCTGACAATCCACAACCGCTGCTTGTAGGTTGAAGAAGATAGTAAACATCTTTTTCCCTCCCCTTCAGGCTTTCCCCACTTATAAAGTTAATATTCTGTGGTGTAACTGTAATACGGTTCGAACCAAATCAAGTAAATCATGAGTACTGACATTTATTATTTTTCAGATAATGAGGCCTGATTGTATATGATTGTTATATGTTAAGAAGGCTGCCTGTATGTAAATAAACTGTTGAAGTGAGTTGCAAGTGTACTGTGTTAATTACAGACTAAATCATGCATGCTGCAAAGTGACTCGTGTAAAAATCTTTGTTGTGTCATTTAAAATGACTAATAATACATGTACTGTCTTAGTTTCTTGAGTAAGTGGGGGCGGTTAGGTAGCCTAGTGGTTAAAGCATCCTCTTCTCACACTGAAGACCTGGGTTCAATTTCCCACATGGGTACAATGTGTGAAACCCATTTCTGGTGTCCATTTTATGGTGACATGATTTGGTCAGATGAAGAACTAATGCAATGCGTCTTCATAGGAATGGTGGAAGGAGCAGGATGGATGTAGAGATATATGCCGTTCAAACGTGTGCATTCAAACCACTACACCAAAGACAGAGGCAAAAATGAACAATTTGGCAATAATGTGTACCAGAATATAAGTCAAAACTACTGTTGGTTTATAATAGCAAGGGTGGGGAAGAAGTAGCCTAGCTAGGCCCGAATCTCCCCCTTTTGATAAAAACGCAAGGGTGGGGAAGAAGTAGCCTAGCTAGGCCAGAATCTCCCCCTTTTGATATAAGAACAAGGGTGGGGAAGAAGTAGCCTAGCTAGGCAGGATTTTTCCCTTTTGATATAAAAGCAAGGATGGGGAAGAAGTAGCCTAGCTAGGCCAGCATCTTCCCCTTTTGCTATAAGAACAAGGGTGGGGAAGAAGTAGCTTACATGGGCAGATCCAGGAATGGGGGGAGGGGTCAGGTTCCGGAACCCCCCACCTTCCACCGGATCTGCCAATGGCCTAGCTAGGCCACAATTTCCCCCTTTTGATATAAGAGCAAGGTTGGGAAAGAAGTGGCCTAGCTAGGCCAGAATCACCCCACTTTTCATAGAATACAGAACAAAATATCCTAGTTTAAACAGGGGGGAAAGTTTGGCCTAGGGGATGAAACTTTAGCCCAGCCCAAACTTTCCCCAGGGAAAGAATATCCTAGGACAAAACGTTCCCGTGGAAAGTTTGGCTTAGGCCAGATTATCCCTGGGGAAAGTTTACAACGGGGAAGAAATGGCCTGCTACACTGGGCGTTTGGCGTGATGGGACGCTCTAACCACTTGGCTACCCCACCGCCCCCTCTGTTCTCAGAACAGATTAAGCAAAACTGGCAACATCCACTCACTTTTTTATAGAGAGGTTCCATTATTTTAGATGCTCATGAAATTGTTCAGACCTCTTTCTTGTCTGGTGGTTCTATGATAATTGATAACTTTGTTTTTTCTTTTGTCACTGCACACATCATAAATTACAAGAAATGAGTAATAAATGGGGTGATATTTGGAGGGTCTTTCATGGTTGTACAGACATCAGGCTTTTCGTATGTACCTTTGCATATACCTTGTCAGGGTTGGGAATGGGCCACAGGTGTTCGAGACCCAAGATCTGGGCTACAGTAACCCATGCTTGCTGACTTGGTTGACACATCATATCCCAATTGCGTAGATCAATGCTCATGCTGTTGATCACTCGATTGTCATTTGATTATTTACAAACCGCCGCCATATAGCTGCGATGTTGCTGAGTGCGGTTTAAAGCTAAACTCTCTCACTCACAGGTTTCGAGGTGCAGTAATTTGCTGTGCATGAGTTGCATCCCTTGGCCTCACTATGAAACCTATGATTAAATCCAGGTTCATCTAAAAAAAAATTTTGTCAGTATGTTTGCTCGTTGGTTTTAAGAAGATGGTAAATGTCTAAGACCTGCATCACTCTGGTCTTTTTTCCCACATCCAGCTAACATGCCGCAACAGAGCTGGAATAGTGTCTAAATTGGGATTAAACTCGACCCACACACTCACTGTAAGGGTTGGGTATAAACATATTGTCAATTTTCTAAATGGTGAGTAAATTGTGCCAAAAATGATCACAATTTTAACATGGAACAATTCCCCTTACACTCAACCCTCTCGCTGATATGACACAATGTATGTTTATGTTGTTAAACAAATGGCAATAACCAGCTTTACAGAGTTGTCTCCCTTGGGCACACATATTGGTTTGAAGACGATTTGTCAGTTAATTTCAGCTGTTTGTCAACTCTAAAGCATTAGTATAATTTTGTTTAACAGTTAGATATTGATAATTTACCCTAATATCACTAATTAAAACAAATTAAGTAGATACCTTCATAAAATTTTGTTCTGTGAGTTTATTTATGGACATGAGTGAAAGCCCAATGACCAAAAGCCCTTCAAGTTTCCTGCAATGCTTTGGGTTCGGCTATGGACTGGCAGCTCATCTCCCTCCTCGGACTACACAGCATCCCCTACTTCCCCCCATCCTGTAGGTGTGCCAGTACGCCTGTGTCATCAGCCAAACTGTGAACCTGTTGTTGATATTGGTGAGAATTTATTGTCAGTGTGATATTATTTTATTCACAGTTTGCTCTTGTAATACGTAGGATGACTATGTAAGTGTTTGGGAATTCTGGTTGTGTGAAGCCCATTTCTGGTGTCTCCCGCTGTGATATTGCTGGAATATTGCTAAAAGCGGCGTAAAACTAAACTCAGTCAGTCACTGACAGTTATCTGATGGACATGAATCATAGTTGTTTTTCATATAACTTTTTTTATTTATTTGTGTGAGTTTAAGTCTGAATCATCATGTTCAACCAAAACATTAATTGATATCCCAAAAATATTTGACCAACATGAATGGATGTGGGAGGTCAGTATTATGATTTGATGTCGTACAACCTTTCCTGTATATAGCATCAGATGGGGATAGGTCTGAGACAAGTAAATGTTATTTTATGCTGTATAGTTTTACAGTAATATAAATGCAAACCTTGAAGTTCCAAGGATTCTTTTTTTTTTAACCACTGCTTTTGTGTACTATAATCAATGTATTTTTCAATAGGAAATATGTTGTTTCTTAATCAGGGTCATAACATATGTTGAAATAAATATTCATCTTACCGTGATACAATATTCCTCATGAGGTGTCAGTGAACTAAGTTATTGTGGTATCAGGCAGCTGAATATTATGTTAAGATTATGAAATTATCCTTACTTCAGTATTGTTGAAAATATGACATTTACTGGAACATAAATTTGTTCAATATCAACGCACTGGAGACATAAAGTTATTTAATATTTGGAAAGGGACAACAGTGGTGTAACTGCAATAGTTGAATGACAATTGTGCTGCACATAGTTTTTCTGGTGAGCGATTGTCTTTTGTGGCATTCCAACATTCTGTCCATTGCAGAAATTGCTCTTTTCCAAAGGGAGGCTACTCATGTCTAAGGGAGTCTACTCATGTCTATGACATGTCTCTGTGTCACATGTTTGGAGCGTGTTACCAAATGCTTCCCGATATCCCTTAAAACAACAAAGTGAAAACAATAAAGTATTTGGGGAAAATCCAACAAAACAATTCTGGTAAAGACCCATTAGGTCATTAAGCACAGATATGGAAAGTAATCCAGCCAGTCCCATCTATAATTCTGTCTCTCTGTTGGATTTTGTGTATCACTAAACAATGATGAAGTGTGAGAGTATTATGTTTGCTGAGATTCCAGTTCGTGACTGGGTTGTTAATTTCAAAACTAATGCAGTAATGTGATCCTTTCAACTGGTAAATGTTTACCTTACCTTATTCAAGTAATTAAGTTACAAGAATTTAGTTTTATGTTCTCATTGTTCTTATTTCTGGGTCTGAGCGGTGGGGTAGCCTTGTGGTTGAAGCGTTTGCTGGATAAAGCATTTGCTGGTAATGCCGATGACCCAGGTCGATTCGCCACATGTGTACAATGTGTGAAGCCATTTCTGGTGTCCCCCGCCATGATATTTCAGGAATATCAAATGGTGTAAAACTAAAGTCACAATTTCTGGGTTAATTGTATTTGGGTCAGGTTTGGCTTAGTTTCTTTCAAAACTGACATGAAAAACAAACAGTTGTACTGTTGGCAAAAGTTCAGGATAATCATCTTTAATTTTATAGTTCACATGTGTGTCTCCTGTAACTGTGGGATCATACACACGTGTGTCTCCTGTTACTGCAGGATCATATACACATGTATGTGTGTCTCCTGTTACTGTGGGATCATACACACGTGTGTCTCCTGTTACTGCAGGATCATATACATACGTATGTGTCTCCTGTTACTGTTCACTGTCATATACACATGGGATCATGGCATCATACACATGTGGGATCATACACAATACGTGTGTCTCCTGTTACTGCACACGGATATATATACATCGTGTGTGTCTCCTGTTTCTAGTGTGTCTTCTGTTATCATCATACACATGTATGTGTGTCTCCTGTTACTGTGGGATCATACACACATGTGTGTCTCCTGTTTCTGGGCGGGATCATACACACACATGTATGTGTGTCTCCTGTTACTGTGGGATCATACACACATGTGTGTCTTCTGTTTCTCTGTGGGATCATACACACATGTACGTGTCATACACACATGTGTGTCTCCTGTGGGATAACTGCGGATATATATACACGTGTGTCTCCTGTTCACTACACGGGATCATATCACACATGTGTGTCTTCTGTTACTGCGGGGATCATATACACATGTATGTGTCTCCTGTTTCTGCATACACACATGTGTGTCTCCTGTTTCTGCGGGATCATACACACATGTACATGTGTGTTTCTCGCGGGGATCTTCTGTTTCTCTCTGGGATCATACACACATGTGTGTCTTCTGTTTCTCTTGGGATCATACACACATGTGTGTCATCATACACATGTGTGTCTTCTGTTTCTGCATACACACATGTGATCATACACACATGTGTGTCTTCTGTTTCTGTGTGGGATCATCATACACACATGTGTGTCTTCTGTTTCTCTTGGGATCATACACACATGTGTGTCTTCTGTTTCTGTTTCTCTTGGGATCATACACACACATGTCATGTGTGTCTCCTGTTTCTGCTTGGGATCATACACACATGTGTGTCTTCTGTTTCTCTTGGGATCATACACACATGTGTGTCTCCTGTTTCTCTTGGGATCATACACATGTGTGTCTCCTGTTTCTCTTGGGATCATACACACATGTGTGTCTCCTCTGTTACTTGCGGGATCATATACACATGTATGTGTGTCTCCTGTTTCTGCGGGATCATACACACATGTGTGTCTCTGTTTCTGCGGGATCATACACACATGTATGTGTGTCTCCTGTTTCTGCGGGATCATACACACATGTGTGTCTCCTGTTTCTGCGGGATCATACACACATGTGTGTGTGTCTCCTGTTTCTGCGGGATCATACACACATGTGTGTGTCTCCTGTTTCTTCGGGATCATACACACATGTCTTCTGTTTCTCTTGGGATCATACACACATGTGTGTCTCCTGTTTCTCCTGTTTCTGGGATCATACACACATGTGTGTCTCCTGTTTCTCATATCACACATGTGTGTCTCATATACTGTTTCTCTGTTTCGCGGGATCATATACACACATGTGTGTCTTCTGTTTCTGTTTACACACATGTGTGTCTCCTGTTTCCTCTTGGGATCATACACACATGTGTGTCTTCTGTTTCTCTTCTGGGATCATACACACATGTGTGTCTGTCTGTTTCTGCGGGATCATACACACATGTGTGTGTGTTCTGTTTCTGCGGGATCATACACACATGTGTGTCTTCTGTTACTCTCTCCTGGGGATCATACACACATGTGTGTCTCCTGTTTCTGTGTGTCTCCTGTTTCTCACAGCGGGATCATATACACATGTATGTGTCTCCTGTTATCTACACACATGTGGATCATATCATACACATGTATGTGTGTCTCCTGTTACTGTGGGATCATACACACATGTGTGTCTTCTGTTTCTGCGGCATCATACACATGTGTGTCTTGTGTAACTGCGGGATATATATACACGTGTGTGTCTCCTGTTACTGCGGGATCATACACACATGTGTGTCTTCTGTTACTGCGGGATCATATACACATGTATGTGTGTCTCACATTTCTGCGGGATCATACACACGTGTGTCTCCTGTCTGCAGGATCATACACACATGTGTGTCTTCTGTCTCTGCGGGATCATACACACGTGTCTTCTGTAACTGCGGGATATATACACACGTGTGTCTTCTGTCTCTGCGGGATCATACACACGTGTGTCTTCTGTCTCTGCGGGATCATACTCACACGTGTGTCTTCTGTTTCTGCGGGATCATACACATGTGTGTCTTCTGTCTCTGCGGGATCATACACACACGTGTGTCTTCTGTTTCTGCGGGATCATACGCACGTGTGTCTTCTGTCTCTGCGGGATCATACACACATGTGTGTTATCTGTAACTGCGGGACATATATACACGTGTGTGTCTCCTGTTACATCAAGGATCATACATACACGTGGGTCTCCTGTAACAGCTGGATCATACACATGTCTGCCTCATGTGTTGTTTCCTTTGCCTGTGATACAATGTACAGTGAGACTAGAATGACTCCGAGCGGGGAGTGAGAATTCTGTTTGTATGTACAGTGTACATAGAACACCTGTTATAAATTTTGTGAAGAAAATGTCTTCTTACATATGGTTATAAATAATAAAAGTGTGGTGAAAAGTATGCGATGTCATTGATTATTAGAAAACTTTCATTGCCCTTCTTGGATTATGTTCGTTTCTGGAAACGCATATCCTTTGGCGGTTAAGGGTTTGAAATTAGGGATCGTTCATAATTTATGGATTTTTTTATTTATTTAATTTTTTTTAATTTATTTTTTATTTCATTATATTATTAGTTTTTAAAAAGAAATTGGGGGAGAGAAAGATTATTTAAAGGGGGCACCCATTTTGTTCTGGGGAGCTAGGGGTCATCAATTTTGTACACACGGGTGGGGGTCAGCAATTTTGTACATAAAAATATGTTTAAAATTATGCTTAGAAATTATGGGAAGGGAAGGGGGGGTCATTGACTTTGTACATGACATGCAGGGGTGGTCATCATATTGCTAAAAGCGAGGTAAAAATAAACTCACTCACACCCGACAGCTGTAGCGTTATTCATAATATCGATCACTAGTGTCCAGACGCGATTATTTACAAGTTGCCATTTTGTTGCTGGAACATTGCTGAGTATGGCTTTAAACATCTAACACATTTTATCATGTACCTAATGTGAAATATTTGTACCAGAACATGTGAGCGGAAATTGTACGTGACAGAGCATATTCATCATTCTGTCAAGCAACCTTTGCAAAACATGACACTCCCTGGGGAGAACTCAGAAGCGAGCATTCGTTACGTCATTCCTTGACACAACCCAACTATTGCAAGTAACGGATAGGGGCGAGTTGTGACAAATGAGCCCATTTAATCCCCATTTAACAAAGACGGACAATAGGATGACAGGTGACGTGAAATATTGTAGATCAGGACCAAGGTTCCATTCTTCTCACCGACGGTTGGACTGTTGTTGAGGGCTGCGTAAAATTACAGAATGACACGAAGGCCGGCGACAAAGACTATCACAAAAATGTTTGAGGAACCGTTAAAAATATTCGAGTCTGGACATGACAATCCTGTGAACAACAATCCACGCCGTCGATTTACAAGGACCCTCAGTGAGCCTTAAATTTTATCCTTCCCGAGTGGATCCGAGTTAGAATTGGTCTTCAGCAACCGATGCTTGTCGTAAGAGGCGTCTAACGAGATCGGATGGTCAGGCTTGCTGACTTGGTTGACACGTGTCATCGGTTCCCAGTTTCGTAGATCGATGCTCATGCTGTTGCTCGCTGGATTGTCTGGTCCGGACTTGATTATTTACAGACAGCCACTATGTAGCGGAAATATTGCTGAGTGAGGCCAACCAACCAACAAACAAACAAACACCAAAAAACAAACAAACAAGTCTCCAAACAGACCGTACGAGCTATAAAGTCGTCTTTAACGACCAACATTGGTATCTGGGGAGCACTTCTAATCTGTATCTAAATGAGTTTTTCGGTCTTCGATTCTGTTTACGAATTAGACCGAATGGAAGTGCAAATTGCAGTCTTAAATCATGGTTAAAAAGATTGTATTTTATTCGTACGTGAACAGTTATTATAATCATATCATAATTATTTATCAACTGAATGGTTTCATCAACAGCAACTGAAATGTAATCTCTACAGGATGTAATCTTCAGCAGCTGCAAACACGTCATGGAGAGATTAAATTATTCTTTGAACCAATTAAATACCTATTCATTTTCTGTTTAACTTGTAATCATACTGTACTTTCAGCAGATTTGGCGTTTTTAGGTGAGGTGAGGTGAAATTGGGTTTAACGTCGTGCTTGAGAATATTTCGCTCATATGACGACGTGCATGCGTGTGTATTTGTATGTGTGGCTGCTTGTACTAGCCCAGACTTAAGCTGGTTTTATAGTGCTAGCCCACTGAGATGCCATGCCGCAGTGAAGCATGAATACCCCACTCAGACACATTATACTGACTCCGAGCCGACCAGTCCTTGTTGTACCCATTAATGCCGAGCGCCAGACAGGGACCAACAAGTACCATATTTTAACGTCTTTTGGTATGACGCGGTCGGGGATCGAACCCGCGACCTTCCGCTCTCCGGGCGGACGCTCTAACCACTACACCACGGAGGCGGTCTTGGCGTTTTTAAAACAGTCGACTCAAACAACTTTCAAAAAGTTGGTATTTAAATGTTCGTAAATTATTTCGAGCTAATTGGTTTAGGGTAAGTCCGTAAAACAAAAAAGCATTAAATAGTGGAACCCAAGCAACGTTTATCCGAATAAGTGTTTTATGTACCCGAGCGGTATAAAGAGGTTTGATGTTATGTCGAAGTCACACTGTCAGTACAATGCCATATCGGTATCTATCTGATAACAAGCTGTATCACATGACGCCCATGACGTTTACTCCCGAGGTGACATATCGATAACAAATGGAAGTTTAATGTGATATTATGTTGTTCTGACTTAAATATCCGTAAGTACTATTTTGGTTATGTCACTAGATTTATCAGATATATGTTCTTTCCCATTGTCTGTGAATTTCCACGATTATTGTTCTTTTGTGATAAGCACGGTGACATTGGTCTCGTCCAGGGACTACCCATTATATTCTCTAAGCTAACCGTCAGTCTGATCTTTGTTTCGAAACAAGTAATCCTATTGCAATGACCAAAAATGTGCTTTTATGTATAGATGAAATTATACAATGAGAAATGGCTGTGTCGATTCCTAATGTGGTGTGTTTACCCAAACAATACTGTCACTTACAGATGACAAATTGGCTGTCATCCGAGTCACGCGAGTGCATCCACTGAACGCCGAGTTGCTTCCCTTGCATGTGTCACGATACGATGATCGTGGGTTTAAATTCCAAATTTAATCTTGGTTGGTTTTATAGTTTTAGGGCGACGTGGGCCAATATGAGGCCTATTTGCGCCCAACACATAACCTTGATTATTATATCACAGTTTATTACATCGCCAAAAGGAATCGTTTAGATAACATTAAAGAGACGTCAGCACTATTTATATTCATTTGGCTTCACATATACATATACAAAATAACCTCAGCTTCATTTTACGGATTAAACCCTTAAGTAATCACTTCCATTTCTGAAACATGAAATACTCATTCATTAAAAAAGCAGTAGGTTAAAATGACAGAGCGTTACATTGATTTAAAATCACAGAACTAAATATGTCTAAATTACATCATATTTTCTAGATGATCAGACAAAATCTAAAACTGCCTGTTACGACGTAAATTGTAATAAAAACGCAAATTGTAATACTTGCAGCAAATTGTAATAAACTTGACGTAAATTGTAATAAAAATTGACGTAAATTGTAATACGCAAATTGTAATAAAAATTGACGTAAATTGTAATAATTTTCGTTGCGGTAAAATGTAATAAATATTTACGTAAATTGTAATAACAGTTTTAATCACTCGTAAATACGTGGGTGTTTGTTTTTCGTTGCATTTCATACATCAAATAAGCTTGTTAGGGCGATAACTCAAGAAAGAAATGATGGATTTTGTTCAAATTTGGTACCAAGGTATATTGGCGAGATTCACCGACACAAGTGAAATGGAGTGACCTTGAGATAATTTTCAAGGTCACAGCAAAATCTGAGGGTTTTGCCAATATACAGATTGTTAGCGCGATAACCCAAGAAAGAACTGACAAATCTTAGCCAAATGACGAAAATGATATTCGTCCTGATATATAATCGATATAAAATCTCTTACTGTCCTCTGTATCATGTCTTTTCGCAAATATCTTTTAAGGTTTTGATATGTATAAATATAAAGTGGGGTGGGTTTCTAACGGGTATATCAAATCAAATCAAATCAAGTTAGACATTTGTATAGCGCTACATATCCAGAGTCCTGCTCATGTGCGCTTAGTCGAATGCTCGTTTGAAGAGGATGGTTTTGCGACAAGATCGGGAACAGTTGATATTTTCCGTTTTCTGACATTTTCAGGTAATCAATTCCAGAGTACAGCACCCGGTCTGCTAAATGATCTGTCTCCGTATGTTGTGGTTCGGACAAATGGAATAGCCTAGCTGACTAGCAATGAAATGCATCACAAATTAAACACAGGAAACAAAATATGCAAGGAACATTTTTTGTATGTTTGAGATTGGTAGAGGTCGGCTAGAATCAAACTTAGATATTAAACTGCACAAAAACGCAATTTGAAACTACAATCGCTTGTTCAAATGACTCCCCCTTCGGTTTACTGAAAGAACTCGAGAAAGAAATGATGGATTTTGTTCAAATTTGGTACCAAGGTTTATTGACGAGATTTACCGACACCACTTGAATTTAGTGACCTTGAGGTCATTTTAAAGGTCACAGCGAAGGTGTAACAGTTTTGCACATGCCAAGCTTGGTAGCCGCGAACTCAGGAAAGAATTAATAGATTTTGATCCAATTTTATATCAAGGTGTATTGGCGGGAATCCCCCAACACCAATTGAAACACAATATGCAAAAACATGTTGGATGTTGGTAAAAGTCAAAGATAGATATTAAACTGCACAAAAAAAGCAATTTTAAACTATAATCGCTTGTTCAAGTGACTCCCCCTTCATGTTTACTGAAAGGGCTTGTTTTGGAGACAGTACCCACCCCCTTTCAGTTGACGTCATCATAAGGATATAACTCATCCTAAAGTTTTCACTTATTCATACATGGTGTCAAGGGTTCAAACTAAATACTGAATGGTCACACAAGTGTCAGCTCTCAATATGTTGACATGATATTTGGACACAATGTTTTTGAAAATTTAAAATGAGGGTGTCCTAAAAAACCAGTCCCCGTCTAAATGTAAATCAAGCAATCCAAATCTTTGAATGTTGATGATGACGGGAAGTCATCCAATACCATGCTGAACATATTTTATATGATACTATCTGAGGATATACCATTATCCAAGAGATAGCGCAATAGTGCAGTTGTTAGGCGTCTGCCTATCACGCTGAAGGCCCTGTTTCGAGGAGGCACCGAGGTTCGGTTCCCGAGATGGCACATTTGCGTAGTATCCTTGGACATGATACTTAGATCTACACTCTCTCAGTTCACCCAGCTGTAAAATGGGTACCCGTGAGTATGTGCTGGCAATGTGAGTGTTTAGTTCATTGCGCCTAACATGCAGCATGGCTGTACAGTCCCCAGGGAGTTGAAAAAGTATCGTAAACTACGATAGTGTCCTATGATCGGGGATAGTAATGTACGTAGCGCCGTGAGCAGGCAATGTGCCTGGATGTGAGCGCCATATAAGCGGACTATTACTATTACTAGATACCAAATGGGAGATCGTTTTCCATTTTCTGCAAATTTGCAAGAAACATAATACCCCAATGTTGTGATGACTAATATCTCGTTAACCACATTACCCACATGAAATTTTGGATATGACTTTGCTAATGATTCCTTCAAAATAAAATGGAAGCTTTTTTCAAACATTGGACATCGAGAATATAGTTAGTTTGACTACTTTTTCAACGCCCCTCGTAACATACTTAAAAGGAATGAGAACGTCTAAGGAAAGAAGCATTTCGATCTCTGAATATTTCTGAGCTATTTAAATACAAAAAGCAAAGGAATAAAGTAAATAATCTGAAAAGAATAGCCAAGGGAACCTTTATTCTAATTTTGATAACTATTTATCACCTCAGTCTACTCAATCAGGTGGTTAGTACTTCATCGGGGCCCACTCCCTTCTTGTCACTGATGATTCTGGGATACCTTCAGTTTTTACAGATTTGGATAAAGCTCAAACATTAAATGAATATTTTGTATCTGTTTCAAATGTTACTGATGGCGGCAAGACTTTGCCACCTGTTAGCCATCTCTGTGTTAACAGTATAACAAATGTCATTAACACGTCACAATTTAATTCTGGACTCACAAAAGTCCAGAAACTCTCCGCACTGTGGGTACTTTCTGACAAGTGATTTGACCAAATTAAACATGCAGGTGTTAGGAATATATGCCAAGGATGAAAAAATGAAATTTTTTTTTTGCGAAAACTTTAGATTTAAACTCGCTCGAGAATGTTTAAGTTTGCTCAGAATTCATGTTTTGGAGGTTGTAAATGAATGAGTGTATGTTTATAAGCATCATGACACAAAATTCAACTAATTTTGACTTAATTCGACTAACTTAGGGCGATATTAAAAAATCTCGCCCATGGGCGAAAAATATGTTGGCCCATGGGCGAGAATGTTTAATTTCGCTCAGAATTCATGTTTTGGAGGTTGTAAATGAATGAGTGTATGTTTATAAGCATCATGACACAAATATCAGCTCACTTTGACTTAATTCGACTAAGTTAGAACGATATTAAAAACTCTCGCCCATCAAATTATATTTTCTGTGAGACATGAAATGAAAAATAGTGAAAAAAAAGATTTTTCGTAATGTTGCATTGCTGTACCTTTACCCGTCGGAGAAGTCCTTCTCAAAAGATATATATTCAGTTGTTTGGAGCAGGCCTATATGACTATTACGCCCCAGTGCTGCTAAACAACTCTTAGACCTTTAGTCTGACATAGACGCATACCTTGCATGTTCAAGTTCACATCTGATAGGGGCCGAAAAAATTGAATCCAACATGAATGCAATATCTCATTGGGTTATTGTTTTCCTAAGTAAGTGGAGTGTCTTCTACAACATTGGAGACAAGTGTATCGCTGTCCTCCTGATATTCCCCCGAACGGAAGCTCTACCCATTTTAGGTACAATGTGCATGTTATAGAATAGTAGGGAATAGTCTTAAGACGTTTCAACTTTGACCAAGATTCTCCGAACTTGTAACAGTCGTTTGAGAGATCAAAAGAGAAAGGGGTAGTGCGCGATGTATCTGACGGACGTATGTGGAGAACGTTTGAAGAATGTTACTGTATAAATACAATAATTGAAATACCAGTTATGTTTAAAAAGTACCCTCAATCTGATAGCCAGAGAGATTATTGTGAAAGATCGCAGTATTTATCTTCATAAACGGGCCAAGATAAAAGTACATGCCATTCATCCCCATATTATATCCTTTCTATATACAAGGGACATCGTTGTTACAGGTAGGGCAAACACTTTCTTCTATAGGTATCTACTGGTTTCACGCTACATACATGTATTCAGATTATTGAGAAAACTAGCGACGCAAGATCTCCTCCATCACACATATACATGTAATTGTATACATACCCAGTGATTAGTGATAGCGTTGAAGCAACTTATTAAAATTTACGACAGACACTATCAGCTGCAGTAGTACTGTCATACCTAGCATCGTATTTATTACTCTCTTACATAAGGTGAAATATCACAGGGTTGTCATGGTAACGATAATTTGGCATACTATTTATTGTCTTACTCTTTAATCAGCGATTAGAATTTAAATCAGTTTTGAGGTCAGCATGTTAAGAGAAAAGAAGTTGTAAAACGAAAAGTATTGTGATCGAATCTATTGGCCTTTGTAAAAGCAAGTTTCAAGCCACCTACATAAAAACCTGTTTTCATGATAAATATCTGCTAATCCGTGGCATGATTCCGACCATATCATGAGCATGTGTTTGTGAATCATAATCAAATAGTGATGTTACAAGGCGTCCATGCCGCGTCAACAACACATGCAAATGCAATACGAGAATTGCAATACGAGCCCCTACACAACACCAATGATTCTCCGTGACCTGGAGACACTTGTGATTGAGCGTATGTATATTTTCCAGTTTCAACCAAATGTACATTCGAGGATATTGAAATCTAGGTTAAGCTATTTGAATCATATTTACAATTAAAAGACCCAAACAATGGTCTGTAGTCCAAATTGTTGGTTTTCCATACCTTGTCCCAGTCTGTATCACAATCACAGACCGATATTTTATTTGCCCTTCTGTCCAGCCCTTACTGTAATATGCATACTGCAATACTGTATATGTTGCACATATACTACACAACGTATTATGCATGTAGTCAATGCTATGCTAAGCAACGTCCACTCGTATTCAAGATTACACCTGGTAAGAGATGCAAACAAATGTGTATTCGTATGTGCATTTTAATGAAATGAGGAACCAAGCAAGCAAAATCATAGTATGCATTAAAATCAAGTTGGTACACTGGGACTCGTTATCATCGGAGGAAGCTCACAGTTTACTTGTATGGACGATCTATTATAAGTACGTGTTGTCTGTCTGTAGTAGACAGAACCGTTACATAGCATGTAGAGCACGGATACACTGCTCGTGCATCCCACACACTCACGTGCACATGCTTCAGAACATTCGCAGCGCGTTCACCGTTAACATCTTGCGGTGCGTGTCACTGACTGAAGACGTGAAGGGAGGCATTGACAACTTCATGAGCACATATTATTATATTTATTTAAATCATATAAATTGTTCATGTCTGATGATAGTAAAATGAGAGAGCCACGCCACCTGACGATGGTGCCATTATTTTGATTGGTTAATCCTGTCTGATGACGTCGCGCTAAAAATAGGTACACGTTTGTTTCTAAGGGTTGGGCAATACGTGGGAAACCCCCCGTAGCTTTTAATAGGACTACATTCTTTCAATGAGAAGTAGGTAACATCATGATCAACTTGAAAGGGTTAACATGCCGGGTGACTATGGAGAGTCGAGAAAGTACTTATAGTGTTAGCTTATAAATATGGGGTTTGTATTCTTTTACTTCATTTAACACGTAATCATGCCAGCTGAAGGATGGGAGGACTATTTGTCCAGTATTTACTTTAATCCCAACCATCCAGCATCCTTCTCGGGTCCATCAAAATTATATTACATCTTGAAAAGGGAAGGAAAAACTAATATAGGTTTACATCGGATCAAGAAGTGGTTAGCTAATCAGGATGCTTATTCTCTACAACGTCCATTGAGATACAAGTTCAAACGCAACAGAGTGATCTCAACAGGTTTGGATTCACGTTGGGACTTAGATCTAGCCGATGTATCGAACATAGCCTCTGACAATGATGGAGTCAAATACTTGCTAATAGCCATCAATGTATTTACACGGTTTCTATGGGTGGAACCCCTTAAAGATAAAACACCAGATGCAGTCATCAAAGCACTGAAGAAAATATTTTCTCGTGCTACTCTTCCACAGATTATAAGATCTGACAAGGGTCGCGAATTTGATAACAAGAAAGTGAGATCTTATTTTAAAAGCAAGGGTATCACCTACTATGTCACTCAGAATGAAACCAAAGCATCTTATGCAGAGAGAGTCATACGGACTCTCAAGACAACCATGTACAGATACTTTACATACAAGCAAACATACCACTATCTTCATATTTTACAAGATCTTGTAAGGAACTACAACCACAGACCCCACAGATCACTGAATGAACGGGCACCTGCTGATATCAACAAAAACAATGAACCAATTGTTTGGAAAGAACAGTACGTTGATCCACTGCACAAACAAGTCAAACCCAAATCAGAGAAGATGAATGAAAGAAGACGGAAAGCCTTTAAATTCAAAGAAGGGGATCAGGTGCGACTGTCACATTTGAGACATGTCTTTCAACGTGACTATCAGGAGAAATGGACAGAGGAAATATTCATTATTAGCCGACGGTACTTCAGGGATGGGATACCAGTCTATAAAGTCAAGGATATGGCAGGAGATCATGTCATTGGTTCCTTCTATGCGAATGAACTTCAGAAAGTCTATAAGTCTGCAGACACCATGTGGCGTGTAGACAAAGTCTTGAAGAAGAGGAAGAGAGCTGGTAGAAAAGAGGTGTATGTTAAATGGATGGGTTATCCTAAGAAATTTAACAGCTGGATCCCAGAGCAGGACCTCCAGGGTGTATAAATAAGGATAGATGTGATGCACTTCTCATTGGATACAGAACCACCATGGAAGCAACATGTCCCGATTGTCAGAGACGGTTTTCAAGGAAGGATGTTATGCTGAGACACAGGAGACATAAGCACATTATTGATTATGAAAATCCACCGCCGCCGCCGCCGCCGCCGCCGCCACGGACGCAATTACCCCCGCCGCCGCAGACACAATTACCGCCGCCGCAGACACAATTACCGTCGCCGCCGCATAACTCAATGCATAAGCAACAGCGAAACCACAATCAATTCAATGATAAAGAACATTTCAAGTTTACCATCCCCTCTAATGCAGTTGTTGTGGGTCCTACTGGCAGTGGTAAATCTATGTTTATCTACAACCTTCTCATGAAGGGATGTATACAGCCAACACCTAATCACATTGTCTGGTGCTATACCCAATGGCAGCCCCTGTACCAGGTGATCAGTGAACAGTTGCCCCATGTGAAGTTTGTGAAAGGACTTCCCTACAATGTACTTGACGATACCTACTTGGATGCTAGAAATAACAACATGATGGTGTTGGATGACATGATGTGTGAAGCTAAGGATGATAAACGTGTCAGTCAGTTATTTACACGAACTTCTCATCACAAAAATGTTATTGTCTTTCTGCTGCTACAAAATTTATTTCCGCGGGGGAAGGAGTCACGTGACATCGCTCTGAATTCCCACTATGTGACTCTATTTAATTCCCCAGTGGATAGACTACAAGTTCAACTGTTTGCTAGACGCATTTTCCCAAACAATACTGATAGGTTTATGTCACTGTATGAAACAGCTGTTCACAAACCTTATGGCAATCTGACACTTGATCTACGACCCACTACCCTCGAATCAGAACGACTACAGCCAAATATACTCTCAAAAGATGACAGAGGACCATCTCAAATGGAGACAAAAGGACCGCCAGTTTCGAGACAGTTTGTGACATTCAGCAAGAGTATAAAAGAGGAGCCAAACGAGTCCTTGAATCAGTTGCCAGCAGACACTCAAAAGGTGAACATCTCTGACCCTGTTGATACTGACAGCCTTGAAGACAACCTTGAAGACGAGAGCATGCCCTCCTGTGACGAGTGTGGGATTGTATTTGAGAACAATCACGACCTCCAGCGTCATGTAAGAACTTGGTGTCCTGAGAATGATGGTGAACCTTTAAGGAAACGGACTAAAACCGAATCCCTCAATGAAAGCAAAGATGACATCCTACGTCCTATTGAATCATCTAAAGTCACTGGTATTGACAAAGAGAGAGAAGTGAAGGGTATAGAATACATGTGGGATCAGACACTGAAAACATGTAAGGGGGACATCTTGAGAAAGAAGGAGGAATACGAAGATAAAGGCAAGAGTGAGAGATGGGTTGAGAACAAACTGAAGAAGTGTTGGGAACAGACATTCTTGGAAAGACTTGTAAGAGCCATCAGGTTCGCCAGCTATTTTGGTTATGGACCGCTCTTCAAGCCTCTTTTGGAGAAAGTGAGAGGTCTGGACCCTGACATGGATCATGCAGATATGGATGTTAAAATCAGTCAGTGGATGAAACCAATAGTGAAGGACATCCTCTCCAAGGTGGACCTGTCCGAGGTTGAAGATATAGAACTTGATGACCAATCTGACAATGAACCTTCAGATGATGAACTTTGATAATTCATGAAAAAACACTTGTGGTTGTATAGGACACATATGTACACCGAATATCTAATCACTAACAAGAATGTACATGTATGTTTGTGTGTATCCCTGTGTATGTATTAAAATGTGTAAATAACACCGCACAGTCGTTTTTATTTTTATTTATTGGAACCTTTGTGATCCATACTCAATCAACTTTTAAGTTGAGTTGTTCATAAGCCCGTGTTATATATATATATATATATATATATATATATAGATGTAGATGTAGTAAACCTTGGGTGCTATGACACTGATAATTTCGCTAAGATATAACAACACTCATAAAGAATAACACAATTCTAAATAAAAGTTAAGATATTTATTTCATGAACACACAAACATAGTATGATAATTACAAAATTCTATTCATATCTACAATGTAAGTTAATAGAAATAACATCTGTATAAACTTTATAACATAGATGTGTTTACATCAAGGATTCAAATATATTCACATTGACATAGATATGATACAAACAACAAATGTGAAAAATACGTCAGAATAACGAGGGTCTTATTCTTTCTTGTTAGAACAGACATATTGATATTCCCCAGTGCAGGTTAAATAGCCTACACACTGTGGTACAGTCATACAAATATAACAAGGTACTCTACATCCAATTCAAATCAGTGAAAAGGTTATGTAGTTCTGCATTCAGAAACATACATTTGTATATACTTTGAATAAGCTAGGTATGAAATGGCTTCCATACATCAAACAGACACACTATTGATAGATTTAACTGTTTGTATTAGACTTGATCTTATAATGACCATGGGCAAGTGTGTGGATCCCATCATCTAGTACATAACGCTTGTCATCAAAAGGTGAAAGACTGACCTTATTGACAGCAATTGTATAGAGCTGATGTTCATAGCTCCTGATTTGGTTCATCTCATGTCGAAATTGAGTTTTGTCAAAAAGACACTGCTTGTAGAGCTCATGTCTCAGCTGTCTCTTAATGACAGTTTTGGAAACCCCTTTTGCTGTATGTTTTTCTGCCATAACTATTTTTGTGTCATTGTCATGACCATTTTCTATTTTATTCTCTTTGACTTCTTGTTCAAAAGAAAATGAATATAGTTTTGGACGTAGTCCAATAAACTCCTCCATGATATGACCACCCAGCTCGTCCTTGAACTTTGCTAAGACTTTAGCATTAGTTTTGGAGAAAAGAGAGTGTTTTGGAGGATAATTACTTGTATCAAACAGATGCCTATGTTCTCCTATGTCAGCATACAGATCAGGAGTTTCTATTTTGTAACACAGAGAGTCAGTGTCAGTGAAGCACAGTAATGATTTTCCCCCATATTTAGGTTTAATGAAATTGTAATGAAAATCATACATGACCAGCTTTGATAGATCTAAAATAGAAAAACCTGCATAGACAGGCTGGTTGAGTGTCAGGCTGGCTCTCTTCAAATGAACGGCTGCCAGATCTGGGTTAAAGATTTTAAAGGTATCAAAAGTAGGCTTGGCACAAAGCTTTTTTGAGACGCTTAGCTGAATTCACCAGCTCAACATTCACATGCTTTCTCACATTCATCATGGAACGTCCAAAACAAGAATTGTTCAACAGTTTGAAAAAGGCTTTTTCTGTGTCATTTTTAGCTTGTTTTCTCTTCTCTGTATTATATTCAATGAAGGGGCGTAACCAGGCTGTCTGTCTGAACTGAATAGCTCTGTGAATTTTAGTTAGAAGCATACCATGATCGAGATAGAATTGTAAATTTCTGTAGTGTAACACGTAATTGTTTTTGTCAAACAAGTTAGGTACTAGTTTTTTCACGGGTTTTCCCCTTCAGGTTTAGTTCTTCTTTCAGTTGTTTTGAGTGTTTAGAAAGCATGTCATCAGTGACTATCATGGGTTCAGAGGCTAGAGGATAGTCATTGTGGAGGTCATGCAAATGAGAGGGGTATTGTAGATCCACCTCTAAGATGTAACCAAACTCAGCATCAGGGGCTATACTCATCACATCAATTTCATCAACATTCTCCACCCAATGAAATTCTCGTTCAGGCAGGGCTTGAGACATGGCCCAACCATAAAGATTGTTTGCATCCCAATACATGAGATAGCTTGTCGGGACAACAGGATTAAACTCCTTGAGTTTTGTCAAATGGTTGTTGCATGAAGCATATTTTGTTGAGATACAAGATATGCCGCCTCTCAAACCTGCTTCCACCATGAGATGCTGATCTACATCTGTCAGGAGTTCAAGCTCTACCTCACCCATTTTCAACATGGCATCCCAACCGAACCCAGGAAGTGTATAATAATGGGCACTGTCAAGTTCATAGTTTTCAAGACACATATCTCTAAACTCTTCAAACACATCCGCCAAAAGTAAAACGTCAGTTTTCATGTACAAATCATGGTACTCCCCCATATTTTGTATATGAAATTTGGACCACACTTGCTGGGCATGAACATAATCTTCATCGGATAACGAACTCTGAGTCAATCTATTATAAAATTCATTTTGTTTTGGAAGATTGTTCAGCATGAATTTTGATTCGTCATTCATGAAGTCATATGGATAAACCCCTTTCTTCAGAAGTAATTTTCTTTGTTCATCATTGTCAAATTCCCAAAATAAATGATTGAATTTAGCGCTACATTTATTCAAATTAATAACCTTTGTCTTGTCAATTTCGTCAGAACAATCATTGACCATATTGTTGACCAAAGTGTCTAGAGAGGTTTGAAGAAATTTGAAAGAATCAATAAACCTCAGTCTGCCTAAAGAGAAAGAAATGTATTTCTCCAAATTCTGAGCAATGCATTCAAGTTTTCCTTTGTAAGTTTTATCTAAATGTTTTAGCAACAGGTGAGAATCATAATTAGATAAATTATGAAAGATGACAGGCAAATAGAATTCATCCTTCTCTTGACCCTTATCCTGACTTTTCTTCTGTTTACTCTTTTTAAACTTGAGCTGAAGATTACAGGTTTGATGGGCGGCACCTCGGTAATTATGGATTTTCATCAAATGATCATGATCCCTCACTTTGATCGAATTTTCACCAAATGTTTGATGACAGATGTGACATGTATCAGCTGACTGATATGCCTTCTCATCAGCCTCTGACATATCTATAGGAAATGATTCACTCAGTTTTTCACGAATAACCTTTTCCTCTTTCAACAAACAATCAATGAAGTGTGCAATAACATTTGGGCCCCTGTACACTACAGCAGGTTGGTAATTGTCTGGATCAGAGGACACGACTTTGTAACAGAAACCGGACGGTTCATGTTTCTGATAGATGGAGGTAAAGAGGGATTTCTGTGCTTCTTGTTCACAGACTTGTTTCGTCAGGCATTCAAAGTCACAGTAGACCACGTATGGTACTCTGAGCTGATTTTGAATGTTTTTGAATTTAACCCATGCTTTTTCCCCCTCGGGCATTTTGATTTTCTGCATTTTATGATCATAGCAAAAGGGTGCGTGGTTTTCTAATAAATCCTTTCGAATGAAGCCGTGAAGACAATGTCTACAGTAGAAAGCACTTCCATTATGCTTTGTTCGGTCTCCCATTAATCTGCTAAAGTTTCTGATTAAGCAAAAATGCCTCTTTTCCTCCTGATTCAACAGTAATAGATCTACCGTTTTATCACACAAGAGCTTACTGACATGTAGAGGAAACACTCCATCCTTCTCCTCATAACCATACACATTCACGGAAATATTGTTTTGTTTTTCAAATTTTGAAATTTGAGACAGTGGGACAGGCATGTCAATCCCACACATGTTCAATTCTGATTCATAGGCATCATATTTTGAAACTCTGTTTGCATGACCTTTGAATGATAATGGGTGCAAAGCTGCAAGAATAGACCAAACAAAACATTTCTGATCATTGTTTTGAATATTCAAAATAGCAGTTTTGTTTTTCAAGTAATTTGGTAAAGGAATGAAACTGGACGCGGACAAAGGAGCATACTCAGCTGTATTCACTTCAAGGTGTATGATGTGATCTAAGATCCACCCACTCCCCTCAGCCTGAAATTCCTGAGCAGAAGAGTACAACTTTTGGAAAGCCTCGGCTAACTGGTCACTGATTTCTGCTAAGTTTGTTACCCAAAAATTTGTTGTTCTCAGAACAGGCTCAGCCAAATGACTTTGATTATTTTCATCATATTTGATATAACTTAACTTGAGGGTGAGGAACCATTTCATACCTTTCTTCTCCAACAAAAACGCATGAAGAATATCGATAATGTTTGTCTCTTCATCTGCGAGATATTTTAGAATGTCTACATCATTTGTTTGGTTTGGAGTAAGTGTGGTCGTCCTCAGCGTCCCTTCTAAGGCTGACCTTTGACCTCCTCCGTACTGGTTAACGCGCCTGGCTTGATACCGTCTTACACACGAGTCACATTCGTGAACATTATTACTGAAAAAGCGTTCACCCAGAGGCCTTCGACAGCTTATACATTCCCTTCCATTGTGTGAACAATATTCACAAAATAGTTTCCCCGGCAGTAGGCACTTGAAGTGGCCACACCAATTACAGGTGTTAAAACGTGCTGGAGGGGGGTTTTCCGCTGACTGCAGACATGGACGTTTAGCTGCAGGCCCTGATGAAGACTGTTTTCTCTTCAAAGTGAACAGCTGACAGCTATGGCCTTGAAGTGCATCGAGGCGAGAATAAGACTTCTTACACTGCACACATTGGAATCGTTGGTTATTATGTACGGTGCGAACATGACGCAAAAGAGATTTATTCTGTGTAAATTTCCGATTACACTGATGACAATGGTGCGGCATGGAATGTGTAGGTTGCTGTTGAGTACATTGCTCTGACGTTTTCACACTTCGTGTGGCTAACAGTTCAATGCGTTTTAGGGTCACTTCGGGATCATTTGCACAGTGGTGATTTGAAGCCCATAGTTCCAGTTCTTGTAAGGATTTCACCTTGCTGAGGAAATCTCGCTTCTGCTCCATCTAAAAGGAATGTAAAAATATATTTATAAAAAAATGTGCACTTTACTCAAAACAATATTATGTAAGTACATTTGAAACATAGAAATTATAGTTCTTAGGGATGTACATATTTAAACATTACATGATATATGTGATTTCTTATTTTGAACATTCAGTTGAAACTAATCGTAGGAAATAGACTGGCTCTTACCTTTAATTGATAGGTATCAGTTGTTTCTGTGAGAGAGCTCTTCAAAAACATCCGAATTGTTTAGCTGTTGGTTATGGAATGAAATTTTAATCTTATGCCAGCTTTTTTACACTCGTGCTAAAGGATGAGTTCATGTTATGTAGTTTATATGCACACGTTATATGTAATTTTAAGATTAAACATTTAGCAGCATAGCTTAAAGAAAAAACAAGAAGCAGTATTTTACCCCCTCCCCTTAATAATGTTATCGTCATACTTAGTTCAGACATGTCTCACCATGTCTACTGTTCAAACCAGACAATCGTACATCAATTCAAATTAAAATTGTTAAGTAATCTAACACTAATGAGTGAGTCACGTCATAATGAGAGTTCCCTTAGAAACTGGGAGCTGGTTTTCAGTAACTCTATTCAAAGATGCATTGCGAACATAATAGACCAGGTTCTCGCATCGTTTGAACGGGGACGCTCTCTCATTTACCATGACTAACCCATCTCGAAGTGAGCTATGGGAGCGACCTCCATATGAGAAATCAACACTTCAATTATTCTCATACAGTCGGGTTTAGAACCAACAGTCAGCCTCCCTAGCCGGTGCCGACAGATCTTATTAAATCATAATCAAATTACCTTTAAGAAAGATGCAGTGATTTCCCTTAAACTATCACTTCATTCATTTACTTTCCATAAGAATGTTATATAGAAAACAAAAACTTGTAAGACATCACCTTAGGTTGAATAGGAAATACATTTTAATCTAACACTATTGAGTGAGTCACATCATAATGAGAATTCCCTTAGTCACTGAGAGCTGGTTTTCAGTAACTCTATTCAAAGATGCATTGCGAACATCAATAGACCAGGTTCTCGCATCATTTGAACGGAGACACTTTCTCATTTACCATGACTTACTCAATTCAAAGTGAGCTAGGGAGCGACCTCCGTATGAGACATGTACACTTCCATTATTCTCATACAGTCGGGTTTAGAACCATCAGTCAGCCTCCCTAGCCGGTGAATGAAAATTTAATTCTCACCTGCAAACAATATATAGTAGCTAAGTGGGAATGTATAAACTTAAAACAGTTAAATACAATAGTTTTATAAAGCAAAGGAGACAATTCATTCATACCAAGCTTTAACACTACACCTGTCTCTCGCTAACGGTAGGAGAGAAGCTGTGAGCGACACAAAGTATCTGTCTCCCGAGAGCTCGAAAAAAACGCGTCCTTCTCGATCCGCGACCGCTGATAAAATGACTCTTGAAGCAGGTTTTCCCATGCAATGTCAACGCTGACAGGCAAAAAGCTGTTTGTCCCACGTCCGACGTCTACTGCTGGAGTGATAAGTGAATGGCGTAAACTTTCATATAAGTTAACAAATAGAAGGGTTCATGTTAGCCAGGGGGGGGTGGCGAGGTGACATTCATTCATTGTGTAAGCCTAGTCACCTTAAATGGGTCAGTGAATCACCCCTTTATCATTAACTCGGCCAACCGTTACTCAAAGCCCCGCCCTGTGGAGCCAGTGAAATGCGTTGCGAGAGATATCTAGATCACACGTTATCATAGCAATTCAGAGGGTTTGTTTATGATACGTTGGCGCACCCATCTACCAACCATACAATTCACACAGGGGTGCGAGGGATTTACGCCTCAGCAATTCACAATCTCTCTGTATATCGGTTTGCGGTATACACTGAGTTTACGTAAAATATTCTCAATGTTTAATAAGTTTGGTGTTTGAGTATGGAAGTCATATTCCTGTATGTGTATTACAGCTTTGTTTATCGTGGACTGATGACAAAGCAAAATAAGCTGGCAGTAAGTGAAAGGGTAGTTGAAAAAGATATGCTTGGGTGCTGACACAGTCATTTTCATTATGTCTCAGCCTGTGCAAACCTGACAATCGTTCGTCGATTTCGAATTCAAACTGGCTAGTGCGACCTACTTTTTTTAAATTTAGCTACACCACATTTGTGTTGTAATAATAGTGAATCCGTTTGTAACTAATTGCAACCTCAGTAATTGTTGATGCTTCTATAGGTTAGATAAACTCACTTTATGCACTCTGCGATATAGATAAATCAAAACTTCACTGAACGTTGTAAACACACTTGCCCTATAGCCACTGTGTACAAGAAGCAAGCGCAAGGCGGGAGAGATGTGTACCGGTAGTGTTGAACCAATTTGCTATGACCTCCATAGCCCATAAGCATACACGAGCATGTTAACGTGGTGAGACTGTACATAAACGCCAGGCATTGCCAAGTTCAGCTAGAGCTGTGTTAAAGACAACCATATCTATTTTTAGCGCGACGTCATCAGACAGGATTAACCAATCAAAATAATGGCACCATCGTCAGGTGGCGTGGCTCTCTCATTTTACTACGGTCACTCACTCGTTGATTACAGAGTAACAGCATGCTACGAGATTCCTCCTTATCGTTTATTTGCATATCTCATTAAAGGCATTGTAACTCTTTAATCTTGCATGAAAACGCATTTAGATGATATCAGCTTTTACTGACATTATTGTAACATGCAATTTGTATGTGTCTCTGTATGGTTCATACACGGACATGGGCGACGGCAAAATAGTCGGGGCTGCATGAAATACATGGACAGTGTCGGTTATAATGAAGTGAGTGGGTGAGTTTAGTTTTACCCGCTTTTAGCAAAATTCCGGCAATATCACGGCGGGGGACACCTAAAATGGGCTTCACACATAGTAACCATTTGGGGAATCGAACCCGGGTCTTCGGCGTGACGAGTGAACGCTTTAACCACTTGGCTACACACAGCCCAAATAATGGCTGAACGTTTGTCAAGTTATATTTATCAATAATACCAATTGCAAGGCATTACATGTACTTGACTTCATACTCATAGGCATATATGGAGAGATTATTCATATTGGTCAACCCATTTCGATCGTTACTAAAAAGTTATTACTGCAAAATTTACACTAGTCTTTCATGTTAAATACCTGTCTTTGAAAAACAGCTTCTATTCCGAGCTGATTTGCTTTTCAGTCACTTCCCGTCCCACGCCCAGCGATGACATTGGCATTATGTGATCTGACAACGGAAAACAAATGGAAGTTCTTGTGCTTATTTACTCTTTGAAGTGTAGCGTTTCTACAACTTAACACATGCTAAATGATACATAATAGTGGATAAAAAGAAACCTTGCTTTTTTAATTTAGTTTGTAAACTACTGACTGTTTTTTGCTATTGAACACTCACTGAGTACATGTTGTGACAACAACCATCTGTCGTCGTATATCTCATGAAGCGAGAGCGTGTAGTGAACGCCTGTGTTTGTTCGTGCTGGTCTTTCCTTTGGGAACATGAATCTAATCAATGCCCTGTATGGTGTTTATGCATAAATCCATGTTGAGTCACTCACTCAACAACGCAGGGAGTTTTAAAAACTCTTGTTACCTTTGATCGCGCAGTGAATATCGAAGATATTCAGTCGCAGATGATATTGTGAAGCTAATTCATAACGTTGACACTGGCAAGCTCGGTTGTAACGGCGGCTTAGCTGATTAGCTACTGTGAGAATGCGGAGCCAGCCAAGGGAGGTAATAAAATCATCGCCCTAAGCCGTGGATGCATCCAGGGTATAGTGGAGAGTTATCGTAACGTATACCCTGGAGATTATCGAGGATGTCTCTCTTAGAGCACAGCCAAATATGCCACACGTACCAACTCGTAATTCTTAAGTCTATTTCTGTAAAATATTTTGGCAGTACATAATTGGAATATTATTGCGCTGCATGTGACCTTTCTTAATAGTCTCACAGTGCCGGAACCATGTTATTTCTCCTTCCGCTCAGCCTTTGCTGTAACGCCATACATCAGCTTTAAGTTGTCCACATTTGTTTCAATAACGCAAAAGTATGCGACAACAAAAAAGGAGGTATCTGATAAGACCTTACCAGCAAACAAATCTAGTGGACCTGTTGGCATTAACATGAGAGGGGTAAAACGAATTTGTACATCTATAGCTGAACCTCTTTGCCTGTTGTATAATATATCACTGAGTGACTGTATTTCCTACATTGTGGAAAACGGGTAGTGTTACTCCTATTTTGAAAGAAGGAAATGCATCCCTCCCAACTAATTACAGACCTATTAGTTTAATACCTATCCTTTGGAAAATCCTTGAAAGAATAATGGTAAAGCATGTGCACGACCATTTCCATGAACATAACATTTTAAGTAAATTCCAGTCAGGTTTTACTGCTAGTCATTCTACTACATCTCAACATAGACATTTATCATAATATATGCTCAGTCCTAGATAATCACCACCTTTACTGTATGCTGTTTTGTGATATTTCAAAAGCTTTTTACAGGGCATGGCATAAAGGTTTATTGCACAAATTAGAAAATGATGGTGTTCGTGGAAACGTACTTAGTTGGTTAACTAACTAGACGACAGTGTGTCTCTGTTAATGGAACATTATGAAAAAATAAATGTTACTGCAGGGGTTTACCAAGGGCGGATCCTTGAGGAACCCCTGCAGTAACATTTATTTTTCATAATGTTCCATTAACAGAGACACACTGTCGTCCATTGTGATATTTTGTTAATTTCCAGGTAAATCGTTGATATATTATATCAATGATTTACCTGGAAATTAACAAAATATCACAATAATGTTGGCCGATGAAACATCAATCGGTGTTGCGGGAAAATATGTAAAATCCATAGAAGCAACTCTCAACTATGATTTAGCCCAATTGAATAAATGGGCAGAAAAGTGGTGTGGTGTGTTCTAACGGTTATATCTAGCATACTTTAAGACATAGAGGGGATGGTGGTGGTGGTTCTAACGGTTATATCTCAAATACATGTAGAGGCGGGAGGCCTAACGGGTATGAACAACAATAAAAACTTTCATGCATTTATGACCCACATTTTTTAACCTTTTATCAGTCTCTAAAAGGGAGCTGGCAATAGATTTTAATGAGCTTCGTCCTTCAAGCCTGAAAACCTTTTAATATGGTTGATTAATCCTTTGCCATTTATCAAAAAAAGTAGTGAGGTTGTGCTTTATTGTTATAGATTTCTAAAATATATGGACACTATTGGGACGTTGGTAACTGTCTTGGTATTTTCGGAACCAGAGAAGGGATATGCCGATATTTAGGTCGTTAACCTAGCATATTATGGTCACGAATATAATTTTCTATTTATTACCGAAGTCTTTAATTGCGGAAATTACGCGATAATCTACTTTCCAACAAAGGCAGGCTCCCCGTCATCGTTGTATTTAGAAGGCGGCTTCTTAGAAGCAACGTGACGTCATAACATTGTTCATGATGTCATGTCACAATGACAAAGTGATATTTCACCCGGTGCATATCGCATGAAAAAAATTTATCCCCGATATGTTTGCCCTCGTATGCTATAAGCATTGTTATGATCATTCTCTGAGGTTAATGCCACTCGTTGAATTCTTTGTTGTATTTTGAGCGGTGAAACTAAATAAATGATTTATTTGGTCTACCCATAACAATTAAGGTGTCAACTTCCACTGTATACCTTACAGAAAGAAGTTTTGACTTTACTTTGATAACGAGCACATCTGATCGATTCCTTGAAGCAAATGATGCAATTCAATATCATTTCTACATTCTGTTTTATATGCATCAATCAAATACAACAAATAAGTAGACAGATTGACTGCTATGTGACAAGGAATAACCAGGCGCCGGCGATTTATGATATCCTTAGCAAATGTAACTTAAAATTCCCTCTCATAAAAATACAATAATATGTAGTAATATGATGAAGAGAATAATATGAACCAGGTTAAACTATGACAACGCAATATATGAATGTATGATCGAAACATAAATCATAATAAATCACATATGATTAAAACATTAAATTAACTTCAAATATGTCATTGCGTCAATATTGAAAATAATTCGAAAATGAAGAAAAAAGAAACGTACATTTCAAAGCGTAAACAAACAATATCCTGTTATTTTGGAATATGCTATGAAGAACTTCAAAATGTAATAGAAATAACATTAAATTATTGAAAGCTATTGCTCGTAAAATATGTCCTTGCGTCAACATCGAAAATAACTCCATAATGAAAAACAATTAACTTTAAACATACACAAATAATCTCTGGCTTTTTTAAGACGTGTCACAAATAATTTCACAGCTGGTAGAATTAACATGAAATTATAGAAACCATATGCTAACAAAAATTTGAAAATGAGTAATGACAATGCGTTTGTCACAAACATAGCTATTACCCCCGCCACATGTCGATATCTGAATGTCGCAATTATCCTCTGTCTGACCCTGAAAATTATGTAAACGTTACCGAAACTGTCATCTGATGCCTTGATACAAAATGCGAACAAATTCCACCCATTAGGTTTGGAGATATCGCAAGAATACTCGCTGTGACCTTGAAAATAATCCGAAGGTCACTGAATTGGACTGGCGTTAGACGATACTCCCAACGCATCTTGGTACTACCTTTAAGCAAAACATATTAATTCTGTCTTGTATTTTCGCACAAAAAAAGTTAGACATGTGCAAAACACTTTTCACTGTGAACTTAAAATGAGCACAAGTTTCCCAATCAAATGGTGTTGGGGAATCCCCAATACACCTCTGATATAAAATTGGATCAAAATCTTTTAATGAACTTTTTTCTGATTTCAGCGGCTACCAAGCTTGGCATGTGCAAAACTGTTACACCTTCGCTGTGACCTTTAAAATGACCTCAAGGTCACTAAATTCGAGTGGTGTCGGTAAATCTCCAATCTCCAGTCAATAAACCTTGGTACCAAATTTGAACAAAATCCATCATTTCTTTCTCGAGTTCTTTCAGTAAACCGAAGGGGGAATCATTTGAACAAGCGATTGTAGTTTTGAAATTGCGTTTTTGTGAAGTTTAATATCTAAGTTTGATTCTAGCCGACTTCTACCAATCTCAAACATAGCATATTTTGTTTCCTGAAGTTTGTGATGCATTTTATTGCAGATTTTTACGTTTTTGGGGAGTACCAAGCCAAGATACAAAGTCTCACAAAATGGGGATCGTGAGGCTGCAACATAGCAAAACCAATTTGCTTGAGGCTGACAGATAATATGTAGAAAAATAAAACATAAAAACAGCTGCATTTGTATCATATTCTAGGTGAGGCTGACTACTATTTGAACGTCCCTCGTAGTTATACCCGAACACCCACCCACCTCTCCGACTCTACATGCATGCAAGTGTGTTAGATATATCCGTTAGAAACCCACCCCTACCCCACCCCCACTTTATATGTATACATATCAAAACCTCAGAGATATTTGCGAAAAGACATGATACAGAGGACAGTTTATATCGATTATATATCAGGACGAATATCATTTTCGTCATTTAGCTAAGATTTGTCAATTCATTCTTGGGTTATCGCGCTAACAATCTTTACATTGGCAAAACCCTCAGATTTTTGCTGTGACCTTGAAAATTATCTCAATTTATTACAATTTGCTGCAAGTATTACAATTTGCGTTTTTATTACAATTTACGTCGTAACACCCTTGTTTACCCAACGCAACAGTGAATTGGTACGCGGTAGGATGAAATGGTGTTAATTTCAGACATTACGCGTGAAGATCCGGGTAGAATTGATCTTCAGTAACCCATGCTTGTCGTAAAAGGCAACAAACGGGATTGGGTGGTCAGGCTCGCTGACTTGCTTGACACACGTCATCGTATCCCCGTTGTGTAGATTGATGCTCATGCAGTTGATCACTGGATTGTATGGTCCAGACTCGATTATTTAAAGACCGCCGCCACATAGCTGGAATATTGCTGAGTTCGGCGTAAAATTAACTTCACTCACACACTAATTACAGGCGGCTTGGGTTGAATACTCCCAAGGAAGCTGAGAATAAAATTCGAGTGCACTTCAATCCATCTAGCTCGGTAAAATGTAGACCTATGAATGTCTTAGCCCTTTGATAAGTTATGAATTGTACGCTATGCAAAATACATGAATAGAATTGGTGGGTGTCATCAAATACGACCTGCGTCAGTCAAGGTTGTCCTTCCACGTTAAACATAGATACACACTCACACTTATTTGACTAAAAGACTGAAAGCATTCTTCACCACAAACCAGGAGCACAAGCTTTCGAATAGACGTTTCTAGCTTTGCAAACAAACCGCTGAGTAAACATTGTTCAGGGAGTCCCCTTTTTGTTTGGTTTCATCAAACATAATCAAGCCGCTCGTCCATGTTGAAGCTGATTATCCTTGATGTTTAACCCAACACTTACACTATAATATGGGAAATGAAGAAAACCTTTGACTAGTGGGATACCCGTTCTCTTGCCTATAGGTAAAAGGGTGCACATGAGGATGCTTTAGACGGCTAGACCAATCCCGTTTGATGCTTGGTAAACGAATTTCAAACTAGGTCGCTTGGTAAGGTGTCCCTTTGTTAGCAACCCAGCTTGGGACATCATTATGAACGTCGTGCATTGCAAAGAATGAATGCATTGCGGTTATTGCCGCTGTTCACCAACAAACCCCGCCCACCCCCGTCCCCGTCCCCGTATAGTGTTTGCACATGATTACACAGTGTATGTCAGATTGCATAGTAACTGCAAGTGGGTTCACAAGTTTGCAACATATTTTCCTTTGTCGTTGTTAAACAAATGCCTGCAGCTGGAACACAAAGAACAAATCTTGAGCTTTCAGGCTTGGTTTCGGGGCGGTGGGGTAACCAAGTGGTTAAAGCGTTCGCTCGTTACGCCGAAGACCCGGATTCGATTCCCCACATTTCTGGTGTCCCTGATATTGTTTGAATATTGCTAAAAGCGGCGTAAAACCCAACTCACTCACTCACTCAGACTTGGTTTCAGCTCCTTGGTTATGCCTGGTTATGTTTTATTTTTGACCACGTTCAACTGATGCAGTCGACCACAATGGAGATGAATATAGAGAGGCGGCCCCTGACCCGCTCCCCAACCAGCGTCAGTGACTACAGTAGTGTTAGCAACACCGCCTTCAGCGACAACATCTCACGGGAAGGTATCTCAACACCTGTTCTTTACTACTAGACTCACTGTTTTATAAATGATACTCTATCTGATGAACGGCACTCTTTTTGATAAATGATACTCTATCTGATGAACGGCACTCTTTTTGATAAATTAATCTCTATCTGATGAACGGCTCTCTTTTTGATAAATCATACACTATCTGACGAACGAGTCTCATTTTGATAAATGGCATCCCATCTGATGAACGACACTCTTTTTCATGAATGACGCTCTATCTGATAATTGATTCTCTCCTGTCCGACCGAGTCACATGACGCGTTATTCTTGCATTCTAGGATTAGTCCTTTGCTCATCCTATGGGAATGCAGGGGTAGAATTGATCCGAGGTAACCAATGTAAGCTGACACAACATGATGTATGTGAAGTAAAGGGCGTGAAACGAAGAACGCTCACTAATATATATGCCATATCACGACCGTCCCATGCCCCTACACTTGTTAAGATGAGCACATATAGCCATACTTACTCAGAGACTCTCAAAGAACTCACTCAGAGTTTCTCAGAGAAATCAAACACACATACATGTCCTCAACCATCTGAGAGACATACATATCCTTTCTCAAAGGCACCACTCAAACATCTGGGAAAATACATCCGACTCCCTTTAAACATCTCCAATACACTAGTCACCACTCAAACATTGGGGCAAAAATCATGTTACCCTCAAACATACCCTATACACAAGACACCACTCAAACATGGGGGAGATATCGTGTAACCCTCAAACATAACCTATACACAAGGCACCACTCAAACATGGGTGAGATATCGTGTAACCCTCAAACATAACCTATACACAAGACACCACTCAAACATGGGGGAGATATCGTGTAACCCTCAAACATAACCTATACACAAGGCACCACTCAAACATGGGGGAGATATCGTGTAACCCTCAAACATAACCTATACACAAGGCACCACTCAAACATGGGGGAGATATCGTGTAACCCTCAAACATAACCTATACACAAAACACCACTCAAACATGGGTGAGATATCGTGTAACCCTCAAACATATCCTATACACAAGACACCACTCAAACATGGGGAGATATCGTGTAACCCTCAAACATAACCTATACACAAGGCACCACTCAAACATGGGGGAGATATCGTGTAATCCTCAAACATAACCTATACACAAGGCACCACTCAAACATGGGGGAGATATCGTGTAACCCTCAAACATATCCTATACACAAGGCACCACTCAAACATGGGGGAGATATCGTGTAACCCTCAAACATAACCTATACACAAGGCACCACTCAAACATGGGTGAGATATCGTGTAACCCTCAAACATAACCTATACACAAGGCACCACTCAAACATGGGGAGATATCGTGTAACCCTCAAACATAACCTATACACAAGGCACCACTCAAACATGGGGGAGATATCGTGTAACCCTCAAACATAACCTATACACAAGGCACCACTCAAACATGGGGAGATATCGTGTAACCCTCAAACATAACCTATACACAAGGCACCACTCAAACATGGGGGAGATATCGTGTAACCCTCAAACATAACCTATACACAAGGCACCACTCAAACATGGGGGAGATATCGTGTAACCATCACACATATCCCATAAACAAGGCACCACTCAAACATGGGGGAGATATCGTGTGACCCTCAAACATATCCTATACACAAGGCACCACTCAAACATGGGGGAGATATCGTGTAACCCTCAAACATAACCTATACACAAGGCACCACTCAAACATGGGGGAGATATCGTGTAACCCTCAAACATAACCTATACACAAGACACCACTCAAACATGGGGAGATATCGTGTAACCCATCAAAACATAACCTATACACAAGGCACCACTCAAACATGGGGAGATATCGTGTAACCCTCAAACATAACCTATACACAAGGCACCACTCAAACATGGGGAGATATCGTGTAACCCTCAAACATAACCTATACACAAGGCACCACTCAAACATGGGGAGATATCGTGTAACCCTCAAACATAACCTATACACAAGGCACCACTCAAACATGGGGAGACATCGTGTAACCAACAAAAACATAGCCTATACACAAGGCACCACTCAAACATGGGGGAGATATCGTGTGACCCTCAAACATAACCTATACACAAGGCACCACTCAAACATGGGGGAGATATCGTGTAACCCTCAAACATAACCTATACACAAGGCACCACTCAAACATGGGGGAGACATCGTGTAACCCTCAAACATAACCTATACACAAGGCACCACTCAAACATGGGGGAGATATCGTGTGACTCTCAAACATATTCTATACACCACGCGGCACTGAAACATTGAGAAAATATCATGTAACCCTCAAACACCAGGCGCAACTCAAACATCTTCTCCCCGCAAATATTTCGTAAACATCAGTAAAACGCCTCCCGTAAAGATCTCATACCTGAAGAAAACGATACGGGTCTGCCGAGACATCATGTGCCATTTGGAGTGCTCTTTAGTCTTATATAAATAAGGTGCTCTTACTGCACCCACCGGGTGGGGGTAGCCTGGTGATTAAAGCGTTAAAGACCCGGGTTCGATTCCCAACATGGGTACAATGTGTGAAGCCCATTTCTGGTGTCCCCGCCGTGGAATATTGCTGGAATATTGCTAAAAGCGGCGTAAACCCATACTCACTCACTTTGAGTTTCAGATGACCCCCGGGTCAGCTACCAGCCCTCCCCTGAGCCCCGGCGACAGGAAAGCAAGACCTTGGATGAGGTCATATACCGCATTCGCTATTCCCACGAGAAACAAAGGTAGACCTCTTTGCTCTTCTGACTGAAAGTCAAGTGTACTTTTTCGTCTGATTTTCCTTCTACAGCATGCATATTTTCGAGATCTTCCCTAAAACTATATGGAGCTAAAATTTCGTGTGAATGTGAATGATCCAACTTCATGTGAATGATCAAACTTCGTGTGAATGATCCGTCAAGAACGGAAACGCATCAACCAGCAATCAACAATGTATTGTATTTAGAACAGGTGTAGTTGGTTGGTTAAGTGTCAGAAAATTATTTAATCAAAAGTCGATTAAACATCGATTTTTAATTTTGAAATTGTATCCATTTAAAACTAGATGAATAATGATATGGTAAGCTGCAGAGCACCGTGAATTTATTTGTGCCCATTAGCCAGGCGACCCGTGAAGATCCTCGTCTTGAGCAACCCATTCTTGTTGTGAAAGGCGACTGACAGGATCGGGTGGTCAGGCTCGCTGACTTGTTGACACATTTCATCGTGTCCCAATTGCGTCGATCGATGCCCATGCTGTTGATCACTGGATTGTCTGGTCGAGACTTGATTATTTACAGACCGCCGCCATGTAGCTGGAATATTGTTGCCTGCGGCGTTAAACAACAAACCAGCCAACCAACCAACCAATTAACCAGGCATTTATTCGACATTATTCTGAAACTTGATATGCAGAAAGTGTTCGGTATGCGATATAACATTGTTTTTGTTAATTTTTTAATGAAACTTTTAACTACCTGCTTTTTCAAGCGTTACTATGGCATCTTCTCTGGAACTGTATATAAAGTCTGTTGAACTGAACTAAAGGATCCAAACTATCGTCCTCCTTTAAATATGTCTTCCGATATTTCTTCATAATTTATTTGGGGGCTATGGTCAAAGCGTTCGGTCTTCACGCTGAAGACCCAGGTTCGATTCCCTACATGGGTAAACTGTGTTAAGCCCATTACTTGTGTTCCCCGCAGCAATACTGCTGGAATATTGCTAAACACTAAACTGACACACTCACTCACTCTCCATAATTTTGGCGTTACAGAGCCGAGATAAAAACATTTATGTTAAAACGATAGTTGGTTTTATTGTCAACCTCTTAAAAAAGATTAGGTGTTCAAACACCTATCCTGTTTGAAGGAGTAAGCTTCTATTACTGTGTGAAGCACTTTATTGAAAAGCCCATGAAAATGTTTGCACAAGTCGCCCAGCCCCGTTTAAATTTCCTCTGGTTTTCATGTTCATAGTATTTTTTGTGCTCAAAAATGAAAAAAAGATATCTTTTGAGGCACCTAGCCATGAAACTGACATATTTTCAAGTACATTTGGTAATAAACAAATACAGTTCCAGACTATTCGTGTAAACCAATGAAAATGGTCGATAAACATTAACGGGACAATGCAACAATGTCTCCACAATGTAGAGGCTTATTCGTCAGAGGTGAAGGTTGCGCCCCATAGTTGTGACAGGATCCTCTGATAGTCGCCTCGAATCCACAACTCGTCCCATTCATGATCTTTGAGTTCGTGTATCACGTGGGCTTTTCTTCCGCATCACCCCACGATATAACCTACTGGCAGCGTATAAAGCAGCGTAAACCCCATCTATCTCACTCACTCATTCACTCACTCATGGCAGCTTCGACTGGTCGAACGACATCGAGGCGGTGAATTCAGGGGAGATGGATGCAAGGAGATCGGTGCATCAGGACTTCCTCAACAAATTACGTGAACAGCCTCTCCATATTCAGCAAAAGATCAGACTATCCAGGTATTACCTTTTGCAGGACTCATGATAGCTGTTAATATCTCCACAACAGATGCTTTGTGATTGTCTGTACCAGAATAGACTTCGGCAAGAGCCTTCAATTGGTAAACCACAGATAGTCAGGTACCTTCTCCAGTGTACCACATGTAGGCAATTGCCCTCAGTAGCATAGCACAGGTTGTAAGTTGCCTTCTATCGGAAACCACAGATAGTCAAGTACCTTCTCCAGTGTACCACATGTAGGCAATTGCCTTCAGTAGCATAGCACAGGTTGTAAGTTGCCTTCTATCGGAAACCACAGATAGGCAAGTACCTTCTTCAGTGTACCACATGTAGGCAATTGCCTTCAGTAGCATAGCACAGGCTTGCAGATTCCTTCTATCGGAAACCACAGATAGGCAAGTACCTTTTTCAGTGTACCACATGTAGGCAAAATTTGTCTTCAGTTGGAAACCAAAGATAGTCAAGTACCTTCGGCCGACAGCACTACGATGTGGAAATTTCCACAATAATCTGCAATGAAACCCGGACAGTAAAAGACAAGTTAAAAACGCAGTTCAAATCTTACACCTTCGTTTCATCAATCTTTTGATCTACACGCTGATACGTGATATTTCATACAATCTTGACGGTTTTGTTCCAAATACTGATAATGTCTTTTTCTGCCCCATTTACAGATATCTCAGAGAGAATCTTGATGCAGATTCCATGTACACAAACTTTAAAAACCGATCAAAGAAATCACAGGTAAGGATACAGATCAATTAATAAACAAGTTTTATTTTATTTATATGTCAGTAATTTGAACGCAGTGAGGGAACGGATACAAAGTAGGACGTCAGATACTGTGTTTGAAGTGGCACCAAATCGTGGAGATCCGGGTTAGAATTGGTCTTCAGTTACCCATTCTTGTCTTAAAAGGCGACTAACTCGATCTGGTGGTCAGACTCACTGACTTGGTTGAAACAAAGCATTCGTAACATTACGACCTGTCAAAACTGTGTGGTCAGACTCACTGACTTGGTTGAAACAAAGCATTCGTAACGTTACGACCTGTCACAACTTTGTGGTTAGACTCACTGACTTGGTTGAAACAAAGCATTCGTAACGTTACGTCCTGTCACAACTGTGTGGTCAGACTCACTAACTTGGTTGAAACAAAGCATTCGTAACGTTACGACCTGTCACAACTGTGTGGTCAGACTCACTGACTTGGTTGAAACAAAGCATTCGTAACGTTACGACCTGTCACAACTGTGTGGTCAAACTCACTGACTTGGTTGAAACAAAGCATTCGTAACGTTACGACCTGTCACAACTGTGTGGTCAGGCTCACTAACTTGGTTGAAACAAAGCATTCGTAACGTTACGACCTGTCATAACTCTATAGTTTATCATAGGCTTATGGATGTCGTAGAGCTACTATCGTTTTGTGGATCGGGACCCTGAAGACTTTGGTCAGGGCCTGGACCTGGTTCCACAAAGCGATTTTAGCGCCACGGCTACTGTTGGCCAGTGTTAAAGTATGGGACTTGTGATCACCTTAACACTCAGATTAATTCGTAGAACAGGTCCCTGCATCTTCTAAAGTCTATGGATCCTGATGGCAACCTGCAATATATTTTATACTTCAAACACAGAATGGAAGTATTGTCCAAAGGGACAACCCATCTGACGGAACGGCGATGCCATTGACAGTTCGGTTCCTGGGGGATGTTTGTGTTTGTTTTTCCTTATGTTACGTGATTTGGGAGTGAGTGAGTGAGTATGATTTTACGCCGCTTAATAATATTCCGGCAATGTCACGACGGGGGACACCAGAAATGGGCTTCACACATTGTACCCATGTCGGGAATCCAACCCGGACCTTCAAGTGGCATGGGCTTACAGTCAAATACATGTATATAAGGTCAACGAGCCTCAGTTATCTGCCGAAACAGATTCCACTGGGCACAAGGAAACCTATGGTGAAAGCTGTAAGGAGGGATCTCTTAAAGTCACGTATTCTTTAAAGCGTGCCCCGCCCCACCAGCATTACCTGCAACCTACATGATGTTTTATGACGCCTCTGTTGTGGAAACAACCCGTGAAGGTCCGGGTTAGAAAGGCTTTTCAGTAACCCATGCTTGTCGTAAGAGGCGACTAATGGGATCGGGTGGTCAGGCTCGCTGACATGGCTGACACATGTTATCGTATCCAAAATTGCGTAGGTCGATGCTCATGCTGTTGATCATTGAATTTTCTGGTCCAGAATCGATTATTTACAGACCGCCGCCATATAGCTGGAATGTTGTTGAATGCGGCGTGAAACTAAACTCACCCACTCACTGTTGTGGAAACCGCCATATATCTGATGTGGTCGGTCTTGTGGATGTTGTGACATATGTGGAAATATATCTTCATTCATGTATTCCAGGCTGCAAGGATCTACGGGGATTTTGGAATCGGATTTTGGAGGAAGAACATAACTAAGATTTCTGGTAGGCATCATAACACTTATCCCGGGCTGGTTAATGTGTTTTGGGTATATCTGTCTCTTCAAACACAGAAGTCCATCCGTGGGTCCACAACACTTTATTCGGCGTCTAAATATGCAGTTACATGATAGTGCAGCAACGGCCAGGCAGCATCACAGAGGCGATCGTCAGCCCACCTGCCTAGCCGCTGTCCGAAGGTCCAGTCCCGTTACATTAAGAATTCATTGTCTAGATACTACTGACTGTAAGGCTGCCCTGTATCGTATTCCGATACATGTGTGGTCAACCTGCAGTATCCAGCATGCACCTCATCCACAATATTAAACTTCCGTGGCCAACCGGCCATATACTCTAAGGTTAATTAGGGTTAATTACACGCAGGCAGCTGACCTGTACATGGCTGCTCTGATGGTCATGATAATAAGCTGCTGATATTTCATTTATATTGTCAGCACTGTGATTTAGATAACACAACTTTAACTTAACTCAGAGAATATACAAACATGTCCATATTCCCTGATAAACCCATACCCCATCAAAGTGCCTACGATACACTGTTGAAGATCCTAATATACATGTATTTTGTAAACAATTAAAAAATCGACTGAGTAGGAAACATGTGGATCTGAGTGAGTGAAATTAGTTTTACGTCGCAGTCGACTTTCAGTTCACCTCATATCAGGAATGAGCAGTCTATCGCTCAGCAGGTCAACCATCCCAGTTGAGCCGCTGGAGATCTGAATATTCCGTAAGAATAGGTCCCTACCAATGTAAGAGTCGACTTAGTGGATTGGATGGCCAGGCTTGGCGATTTGGTTGTTGCGGCGGATCGTTACTCTTCATATCATTCACTGTATAAACTGGTCTTGATTCGATACTTACAGATTCCGTGAAGATCCGCTTTTGAATTGGTCTTCAGTAATCTATGCTTGTCGTAAGAGGCGACTGACGGGATCGTATGGTCAGGCTCGCTGACTTGGTTGACACATGTCAATTGCCAATTGCGTAGATCGATGCTCATGCTGTTGATCACTGGATTGTCAGATCCAGACTCGATTATTTACAGACCGCTGCCATATAGCTGAAACATTGCTGAGGGAGGCACTAAACAACACACACACACACACACACGCATGCAGATGCAGATGGACATTACAGTTTCAGGGAAATTATCTTGTACATGATGGCGATTCATGACACTTTGATAGTGATTCATAAAACATGGTGATCATACAGTCGGAAATGGAACATCGACTCGCAGTTTTTAGTAGAAAGTTCATATAAATGTTGAAAGAGTTTTGTCGCTTTTTTATTATTATGATATCTGTTTCAAATACTGATTCATGACATGTTTGCTCTCCCCGCAGCCTACCACGGCAGCAACGTCGCCTCCTACTTCCTCTTCCTGAGGTTCCTCACCTACCTCAACATATTCATTGCCCTGCTCCTCCTCGCCTTCATCAGTTTGCCACAGGTAGGCAGATTCACTTTCGGTTTAAAAAACACCTGGCAAATGCTTTCATCAATGTGCCACAGATAGGCAGATACTTACACTAAAACTCAAATAGGCAGACCCTTTTTCAGTGTGCCACATGTAGGCATACACGTCAGAATCCTGTCAGAAACGCGTTTTCGTCAGTATTCAACTGTCAAGACACATGCCCTCATCAGTATAAAAAACTAGATAATTCTTAGGTAAACACAATCACTGATCACCAGTGTACCACAGGTAGGCATATGTATTAAACAGAGTGCCGCGGGTAGATTATTTCCACAAGTCTTCTGAAAGGTACACAACAATTACAAAACACTTAACATACAATTCGACTTCTTACATGTTACCTCAGATCTGTGCAATATATATTAACATTATTCTAGAACATTTCCCTGGTAGCGGTACCTTCCGTATTTGAGGTTCGTACCATATGTCTGTTCCAGATTCTCTCAGGGGATGCAACCATTCCAGGCGACGTTGTCGGATATTTTGTACGTATATGATACATTATTGATGCATAGTTCATTCCCCGTGCCACCCGTGAAGATCCGGTAAGAATTGGTCTGGTCTTCACCTAGTTCAACTCATGCTTGTGAAGATCCGGGTAAGAATTGGTCTTCACCAACTCATGCTTGTCGCCTAGTTCATTCCCCGTGCCACGCGTGAAGATCCGGGTAAGAATTGGTCTTCACCAACTCATGCTTGTCGCCTAGTTCATTCCCCGTGCCACGCGTGAAGATCCGGGTAAGAATTGGTCTTCACCAACTCATGCTTGTCGCCTAGTTCATTCCCCGTGCCACGATTCCCGTGAAGATCCGGGTAAGAATTGGTCTTCACCAACTCATGCTTGTCACCTAGTTCATTCCCCCCGTGCCACGCGTGAAGATCCACCCCAACTCATGCTTGTGAAGATCACCAACTCATGCTTGTCACAAAGTTCATTCCCCGTGCCACCCGTGAAGATCCGGGTAAGAATTGGTCTTCACCAACTCATGCTTGTCGCCACGCATGAAGATAGTTCATTCCCCGTGCCACGCGTGAAGATCCGGGTAAGAATTGGTCTTCACCAACTCATGCTTGTCGCCTAGTTCATTCCCCGTGCCACCCGTGAAGATCCGGGTAAGAATTGGTCTTCACCAACTCATGCTTGTCGCCTAGTTCATTCCCCGTGCCACGCGTGAAGATCCGGGTAAGAATTGGTCTTCACCAACTCATGCTTGTCGCCTAGTTCATTCCCCGTGCCACGCGTGAAGATCCGGGTTAGAATTGGTCTTCGGTCCCTGGTATTGTCCAGCTACTACTACCAATAACGAAGTGACTACTTTATACATAACAACTTCTTGTTTATTACATATAGAGACGTTTCGATGTATATTCTCACACAATCATCAAGCTAACAGCAATAAAAAGATCCTTGAAGTTGTTATTCATAAGGTCGTATGCTTCGTCGCTGACAGACCAGAGTCTAGAATGCCGATATAACTACAAGGCCAGACATTTTGAAAATGATTAAAGCTCGGAGGCTATTTTTTCGCACAGGATGTAATGTTGGTGGCTAAAATGTTCTTCTGGAATAATTCTTTTCTTGCTCGATACAATCCCAGCCGCACACGGACATTGACAACATTCAACCCCACAACCTCTTGTTCATCAGGACAAGTTTTACCATAAGTGCAACTTAGGAATAAAAATTAATTTTGACAATAGCTTTGAGCGTGCCAAACCGAACAAATATGGTGTGGGATTTAAAGAGTCTGTCCGTCATGAGAAAACAATTGTATGACGTATTGAAAGTCACGTATTTGTACAGGGTGAGCTTTCCACAAGCGTGATGTTCTACGGGGCTTACAGCAACACACCATGGGGGTACTACGAACGACCAATGGCGTACTTCCTCACCTGGGCTTCGGTCAACCTACTGTCTTTTATTGTCATAATTCTTAGGTAAAACTATTTTGTTCATTTTGTCAAAGTGATGAAAATATGGTTATACTAGCCACATAAAGAAACTGTGCACACAGAAAATTCCTTCAGAATTGGAATACAACACAGAAAAGACGAAATGATGTAGACACTTTATAAGCTGAAGTATCGGGCCACAACAACATGTCAAAAGAACATGAACAATATCCGTAACGATGACGTCAGAAGTTCAAAATTGTGTCGGGGGTCACACGTCGAAGTCACAAAGTCAATAACGGGTATGACCATCATGCGCGTGAAGCACAGCAGTGCATCGACGACGCATAGAGGCTACCAAATGAGCATTGAAGGCCTGGGGAATGGTTTGGGACGTGGTCACTGCCGTCTGGAACCTGTGTCTGAGATGAGTCACCCGAATCCATCTGTCCTGTCTTGGCGTCGTTACTCGGGGACGCCCAGAACGTGGGTGGTCGGCAAATCATTACTGTTTCCATAACGCCTGACCAATGCAGATATCGTGTTACGATGACATTGGAAATGTGCTGCCACCTGTTGTTGGCTCATGCCTGCTCGAACCATTCCAATGGCTTCATGACGTTGAGCAGATGTTAATCTTGGCATGATGTGCATGTGACTTCTCATGTGAATTTGTGAACGTTTGAATGACCAAAGATCAAGCTTTCGACAGTGACAGCAATTTCTGAGTTTCACATGTTGTGTGCAGCTGCACAGGCTGCACGTGCAGTAACACATTGCAAGTCCATAGGCCACCATCAATGACGTCACGTCGCCTGGCACCTGCATGAGCGTTTGATTGTCTCCAATACTTGCTATGTTCACACCTTTATTTATGTATAAAGACGCTGTCTGCCTATCTTTATATTTTCTGTGTGCACAGTTTCTTTATGTGGCCAGTATAAGCCCGGAGAGCTGAAGGTCGCCGCTTTGATTCCCGGCCGCGGTACGATGGACCGCGAGCAGGATGTGCTCCTCAGCTCTGCTCACGTCATGTCCGAGCGGGGAAGTCCGCTCATCATTGTCTTTGTGTTGCCGGAGAGCGGAAGGTGGCGGGTTCGATCCCCGACCGCGTCATACCAAAAGACGTTAAAATATGGTACTTGTTGGTCCCTGCCTGGCGCTCGGCATTAATGGGTGCAACAAGGACTGGTCGGCTTGGAGTCAGTATAGCAAGCACCATAAAACCATCTGAAGTCTGGGCAGCCACACATACACACGCATGCACTTCATCATATGAGCGAAATAATCTCGAGAGCGGCGTTAAACCCCATTTCACCTCACCTTTTATTGTCTGCCCGCACAGTACCGACTTCCTGGTACTGTGTAAGTCTTGTATTGAGTTATTGTATGGTAAGACCAGGTTCCATCTCCAGCATGCTGTTTCGGTTCCGGAAGACCAAACACAGCAGCTCTGACGAGGAGATGACGTACACATGGCGCCTCTTTACGTCCTGGGACTACTCTGTGTATGAGAAGCAGGGAGCCAGTGACCGGAAGGAAGCCATTAAAACGGAAATGCTGGTAAGGGAAAGTAACTCTAAACGAGGACAAAAAGGCCTCATTGAAAACAGGATAATACTATTTCTATTTTGTTGTATGAGTTTAATTTAAGTCACGCCGGCAGTATTTCAGCCATATTGTGTTTGTTGTATAAATTGTATGGATTGATTAATCATTAATTGTATATAACAATTCACTTCTTTTTGCTATGTGTGTCAAATTCAAAAATGCAACACCTCATATTTTCTAACCTTCTTCACAAATGAGGGCGTGGAACGCCTTAGACATTTGTATAAATACGACAGACAGGCATAGTTTTGTGTTTTTTTGTATGTGATTGAATTATGATTCAGGTGGCCAATCAAATATTCTTCATACAAAAAAGAGCATATAGTCTAGAAATCAGGTTTAAAACACGAGGCCAGTAGGTATTTCCGCCATATCGTGACTAAATGAAGTTATAGATTCGTAATAATTAAAGGATAGATTCGCGGCCAGACTTACGTTTGCTTTTGCGCAAAGAAAGTACAAAGGATGGTCAGAGCAGTGACAAATAAATATAATTTTCACTCCTTCATAGAGACTAAACAGTAGAAATTCCTTGTCTTTCCTTGCACTCGTAGCAATGAATTAGGGTATTGCATCAACATAATCCACTGATTTCAGGAACTTGTGCGGGAAGACCGAGGAAGGAAAAAAAGAAAACAGCGTGGGCTATGCTCAAGGTAATGCTGATTGTGCTGCTGCTGCTGCTTGGTAGTGCTGCTGATGTTGTTGGTCATGCTGCTGTTGATGATTGATGTTACGTTGATGATGCTGATACACATATGTCCCCTGCGACACTTGTGGGCTTTCCACAGATTATACTGAAATACCATGAAAACTGTGGTACCCAGTCTCTGTACATTCTTTACACCCCCGTGAAGATCATGCTAGAATAGGTCCTGAACAAACCATGCTTGATGTAAGTGAGCGAATGAGTGAGTGAGTTCTGGTTCTTGAGTTTTACGCCGCTTTTAGCAATATTCCAGCAATATCACGTCGATGGACACCAGAAATGGACTTCACACATTGTACCCATGTGGGGAATCGAACCCGGGTCTTCGGCGTGACGACCGAACGCTTCAACCACTAGGCTACCCACCACCTCACTTGATGTAAAAGACCACTGACAAAGAAACATGTCAATGTAGAGAATGAAATCACAACGTGTACAGCCTTTTCGTCTCTGCTTGCGAAGGTGCATGCTGCTGATACTGAGGGTGCTGGTGAACCTGTTAGTGTTGGCGGTGTTGGGAGGCAGTGGCTACCTCATCTTCCTTGTGGCCAACATCAAAGGGACGCCGGTACCGTTACCAGATTTCTTCAGCGATTTCCTGGATAGATACGAGGTGAGTGGAATCCTTAGTCACTCAAGGCAACTCTTCTTGGGCACAAAACCACAGGCTGACAGAGTGAGCATGGACATCATGCGGACAGGGTACGCCACATGCTCGTTTCCTAAAGGGACACATCGGAGTTATCCAGTGACCTACATCCTCCGAAGCCAGGGGTATATTTCAAGAACATATAACCAGAGTTGGTTGGTTGGTTGTTGTTTAACTCCGCACTCAGCAATATTCCATCTACATGTATATGGCGGCGCTCTGTAAATAATCGAGTCTGGACCAGACAATCCAGTGATCAACAGCATGGGATACGGTAACATGTGTCAACCGAGTCAGCGAACCTCATCACCTCATCCCTTTAATCCCGTTACAACAAATTCTAACCCGGATCTTCGCGGGTCTATACCCAGAGGGTTAAGCGGAATTCGCGTTCAGGTCGATCGACAATTTTCAAATATAATTTTACTGATTTGCCTTCCAGTGAAACCACGTCATCTTTTTTCAAATTTAGATCAGTGTATGAGGAATCAGTAACTAAACCTGTCTAAAAACTGCAGTAAATAATTATTTAGATTATTGTCGAAATACTATAATGACTTTCTAATCATATATATTCACATAGCTTTAATTCAGTACTATACAGAGATCCGTGAAGATCCGGGTTAGAATTGGCCTTCAGCAACCCCTACTTATCGTAAGAGGCGACTAACAGGATCGGGTGACCAGGCTCGTATCCCAGTTGCGTAGATCGATGCTCATGCTGTTGATCACTGGATAGTGCGGTGCACACTCGTTTATTTACAGACCGCCAACATAAAGCTGCAATATAGCTGAGTGGGGTGTAAAACAACAGACAAACCAACAAAACCTAATAGTATTAAGAAAATTCAAAACTGAAATTTAGATTTTGATAATATGCCCTAATATTTCTTATAATTATATTTGTGTATTGCAGCTCCCCCTGGTGGTGACAGGTCTGAAGTTGATTGTTCCCTTTGTATTCAGCCAGTTGATCAGGTTGGAACAGTGGCACCCGAGGACAGAGTTGAAACTGACACTTGGCAGGTACTTGTCACATCCAAAATATTTTGTTTGATGATTTGAAGATCCAGGTTAGAAGTGGTATTCTGCAACCAATGCTTGTTACCTGTGAAGATACGAGTTGGAATAGGTGTTCTGTACCTCAAGATCGGATCGAGATCGGTTGGTTAAGGCTCGCTGAGCGAGGTATTCTCCGGGGTTGATATTTTATGTTTCACCAAAGTTTAAACGATTACGATTGTGCATCACTTTGGTGTTCGGATCCTCCAGTTGCCATTCCGTAACATAGCTGAAATATGTGTCAAAGCGGTGAAGATCCAGGTTAGAATTGGTCTTCAGTAACCTCTGCTTGACTTAAGAGGCGACTAGGGGGATCGGGTGGTCAGGTTCGCTGACTTGGTTGACACATGTCATCGTATGCCAATTGCGTAGATTGATGCTCATGCTGGACACTGGATTGTCTGCTACAGACTCGATTATTTACAAACCGCTGCCAAAAAGTTGGAATATTGCTGAGTGCGGCGTTAAACAACAAACAACAATCGATGCTTGTCTTAAGACAAACGGGATCAAGCGGTCAAACTTGGGGACTTGGTTGTATGTAAAATTATCGATGCCCGTACAGTACTCACACTTCATAATCTTTTATCATCAACAGGACGACGTTGTTCTACATCGCTAGCCTCATCGTCTTTGTCGTCTCATTGTATGACGTCACAACCGAATGTATTGTCAGCACTGCAAACTCGACCAAAGAGCAGGTAGTCTGTATGTCATGGTGAGACACACGGGTGGCCCACTGGATTACATAGTCGCACCTCGCTTTATAGAGCCCTCCCATAACTCTGCAAGGGACCCCTTCAGGCTCCTCCACAGCGCCACCAGGTGTCCCAGAACAAAATAGCGATCTGCTTGCGCCGCCTGAAGATAGTGCAAGGAGTTTTGATTGACTGGGTTCAGGCGGACTCAGGCATGTTTGAATGCAAATTCACCCCAGTAGTATAAACAATGATAGTCCGAGATCACTTTTAAGAAAGGTCGCTGTAAAGCTTTATTTCATAAATAAAGCTTTTGTCAGGCCTTAGATCTCGCCACCATTGTATATACTACTTTTGAATCCCCAGTTAACTTCCCGGTCACTATGACCGCGAACCAGCACTTTTCTGATCATGTGATAGCTCTATGTCGTGTTGACCTCGATGAAACAGTTTAATGTGAATCGCCTATGATCTCTTTGGTGTTCGTAATGAAGGCTTGCTGGGCTTTTCGTACCCCTTGTTCTATGTACTTTTTTTTCTCGTCTTCGCTGATAGCAGACTTACGAGGCTTGGACCGGATTTCTTGTTCCATCTTACGGTACTTGTCGAGTTCAGAGAGGATTGAACGAAACTCCTCCTCTGAGATCTTACTGTCAGTGAGTGCCGTGGAAATACGCTCACTTACCGTGTTCAGCTTTGCTTCGGCCAGAACCCTGATCTCGTCGTGTTTCAATGCCTTACGATGCAATCTGCGGGATGTAACCTTAAACACCAACCCTGCCAACCCTACCACCCCAGCTGTTATTTCAATGCCTAGCACTATAGGTGCGGCCACGATGGTGGCCAACAACCCATCACCTGCCGCCCCTAGTCCCATGCTGGTTGTTGTAAGGACAGTATCAGCCCCATCCACGATATTGAAAGCTCTATGGTACTTCTTACATAGTGCTTTCCGCGTGTCGCGGTCTTGTTCTAGTTGGCGTTTTACATCACATAACTGTCTCAAGCGGAATCCGTCTACGGTTTCCAGTGTCTTTGCTACGTCCTCTACGACTGGGTACAGGCCCATCCTGTACATATAATATATTCTATGAAATATCTTCTAATTGTGTGCTATTTAATTCTTGCACAGTGTATTTGAGGCTTATAAGGCTCAGCCTCTCGTGCAGGGAAATAGGTGAGAGGCTAATAGGTAACTCTGCGCCCACACGAACACCATAGAGGCTTACTGAGGGGACTATAGAACCCGTTAAGAGGTCCGGTTGTATGACGATACGGCAACGTTGGTTAATGTGTATGGTGTCCCAGTGTATTGTCAACCCGGGTAAAAGTTGTAGTTCTGCACTATCAGAAACGTGCCAGAGATAGACTTCTATGGCGAGTGTGGAGCCTGGTCTCACAGTCATAACCCCCAATTGGGAATCGGGGCCGTCAAACCTTAACTCGTCCAAAGCCTGAAACTAACATGTTGCTCGTTTGATCCTGTGTTATCAGAACACTTACATCAAGCCCCGGAATGAAAGCCCTGAGCAAGATACCGTTGTTCCTAATTTCGGAGACATGACTATCTTTGTTTAACGAGATATAAGGTGCGGTGAGGGTCATGTTGATCAACCATTTGGGCTCTCTAAAGTCGTCTGTCAGAGGCTGCCGCACGTACGACATCGCCTCTTAAGGACAGGACGTACGAGGTGCCGTTCACACCAGGCTGATCGAATCCCTCTATGCCTCCTAGGTCCCCGAGTGTGATGTTGGGCCGATGATCGGCCATTGCCGCCCGCCTATACACGTTGTCTTTCAAGTGTGTCTTCCTCGCCGGGCAGATCAAACCCCTCCGTGTCTCCTAGGTCGTTATGCGTGGCGTTGGGTCGATGACTAGTCATCGTTATATTACTATCATAAGATAGTTTCCAACTGTTTTTCTGATAATTTCTCAGGGGTGCACCTCACCCCTATGAAGTGTATGTTGTCGGGTAGGAAGATCTTGGTGAGTGATATTGTGTCTTCCACGGTCACGGTGACCCCCTGCAGATTGGTGTGGGAGTCGACACCCACCCGCACATAAACAGTGCAAACCTGATACTGGTGTTGTTTCCCCCACCGGAGTTTGATCCCCTTCACGACTTCGACTTCGCGCTGTGGTTCACCTAGGTAGACTTGGATGACCAGCGTGGAGTTCGCCGGTAGACTCTCCAGGATGTTGACCACGCCTTCGAATTCAGACACCACCTGCAATGCCACGTTTTGCATCCGGGGCTTGCTCAACAGCATGTGGGCCGCCATACTGGAGAGTGGGCTGATGATAACACTACATCTCTGTGCTGGGATGTAAGCCATGAGCAGGGTTCCGTTGTTCACGACTTTGTTTAGGTAGTTGTCTTTGTTCTCCGTGAACACGTAGGGGGAGCCGAGACTAATGTTGAGAAACCAGTCGACTTGAGCGGGTAACAACACCCATTTGTCGTCGTTGGTGAAGAGGAGCGTATATGGCTTGTTTCGGGCAACAGTCGTGCTCTTATCATCTTCTAAGTCGAACAGTTTGCCTCCGAACGATGGGTATACCGACCATCTATCATCACCGAAGCGGACTAAGTCGAACCGAGTGTTGAGGGCCGCTCCTGAGGTATCTACTATATCACCTAGGGTTCGACCGATGGAGGGGACTTCAACGCGTTTGTAAATGTTGTTTTTAAGCTGCAAGGCGTTCAATTTACCATCTACTCAGGGGTCGTCGAATCCGTGTGTGTCCCCGAGGTCGGAGATCCCCACATTGATGCATTTTTTTCAACCTCATTCCAGGGCCTTGTGCGCTAGTCATTTTATGTGCAGCGTTATGCTGAGGTATCCTATATTCACAGGATTATGCTTTATATCTAAAACTGATATTATCAACTCCGGGATGGTGCCCCGAGTTAACCTCTTGTACTGTCGCGATGAAAACGACTCGGTTCTGCCGTCGTTGTACTTCTCCGTTTTCACCGGTACAGCTCTCAGTATCGTGGAAGGGTGGCCACCTTGAATGTTGTCCATTGTGCTCAACTGACCGAGATGAATGCACAGCTCTTGGTACGGTACTAGGTTGGGTAACTTCGTGCCTGTGACGGTAGTTGTGGGTTTTATCTCGTCCGGCGGCATCCCGAGTGTCCTCGCCAATGGTCGGCCGAGCCTCAAGGGGTTTATTCCGTTGTTGGTTGTTTATCTTGTCGTTTATCTTGAGTTCGGCTCCCAAGGGTTTGAAGACCTCGTCGCTTAGCGAGCACACGCTGTAGTAGCCGTCAGTTATCTGGTTGCAGGCGCCACTGACGAACAGCTTGTTGTTGCTGGCGTTGATGTTAGTCCATCGAGGTAGGTAGGTGATATTGCAGAGTGCGACTTTGAGTTGGCCCAACGTGTTATCGATCGCGTGCATCAGCTGAACGGACTCACCGCTCGTTATTCCTGGAAGTGTTACGTACACGTTAGAGTATATATACCCATTATATAATACTTTAAAAATGTACAAACCGGGAGTGTTTTACCTTAAACTGGACATAGATTTCCCGCACATGAAGATCATGGTCGACGCTGCTGGGTTGTATTTCGGAGCCCAGTTTATAGATGTGTTTGACAGGTATAGGTTTTCGGTGACTAACGCTAAGGTAGTCCACGCCTGGTTCAACACCCCTATGCAGTTCTGGCAGAATCAACTCAACTTCGCCGTCTGGTGACTCTCGGCGGGGCCAGTTGGGTAGGTCTGTGTTCACATTTCACGTGTACTACCAGGTCAGGCGTATCCTCAAAGAGATCAGCGCTCCGCTCCCACAGGACAAAGCATGGGACGCAGTAAACAACCCATACGATAGACGGGCCTACGAACGCGTTTGCAACGAATTCGAACTAGACCCAAAGACGGATTGGCGTTTGCCGGGCCCGAACCATGGTTTGGGCATCCCCATCGTTCACAATATGCCACTCGTGGAAGCCAGCGAAAAGATGAAAGAATGGGGGTACAAGTCGTATCATCACATCACAACAAACGAGTGTGATGACCGTTACATGGCTTTCGATGACAGAAGGATTACCGAGTCTGGAGGTTCGAGCAGCGTCCTGCGGATGACTGGAAAAAGTTCATGATGGACACGTCGAGAGGCATCGAACGCTTGAACGACTCGATTCAAACGTACGTGTGGGCCGTGCTGGGCGCTCAGAATCAAACGCGTTCCGGTATCATCGGTACGGGTACTGCTTTAGATGTGCAGAAACAGTTTGTGTCCAACGTCGAGGATGCCATCGCCGCCCCGGTCAATCTACTGGGTGCCATCCAACGCTACCAAGACGTGTTGGAATACGCCTGGTCGAAAGTCGACTACGTGTTCGACGTGGGACTGTACATGCCTCCGAGCGACTTGCGACTGAGAATCAACAAAGTGGTGGGCTACAACAACAAAATCGTCGTAACCACGGCAGGCCAAAAGTTGGGCATCAACCCCGATGTCAACACACCCCACGTGCCACCACTCACACATACTGGTGCGATGGGTATTCGTACCACCCCCAGAGCCTAGGGTTCAACCAACACCCCCACAGCCCCAACCCCCACACGTGCAGGCGTCCAATCAGCAGCACATCGACCGTAAAACAGCGCTGGTGGTCGGGGTCAGTGGTCGCGGGGTCGGTGGTCGCGGTCGGTCTCATTTGGTTAAAAATTCCTTAGCCGCTACGTGCACCAGACCCGCCACGGCGACGACGGCTGCCCACAGGTTTTGGCCGAGCCACGTGACAGTTTTAGCCAGCGTGCTGAGCAGCCACGAGACGATGCTAGCCAGGATGCCGGGCAGGGCTTCGGCGGCTTTACCAGCGAGTTTAGCCAGGGCCTCCCGGAGGGATTTCAGAAGTTTTTTTATCCAGTCTCTAACATCACCGCCACTTGGTGGTGTGGGTGTTGGTGTGCCACCACCCCCACTCAGCGACATGACCAGGGTTGATATAATGAAGCCCAATGCAGTCAGAATGCTGGCGATAGT